TTTCCGATTGACCTAATATATTAATATGGTATTATATTAATTTTTTATATTAATATAAATATAATATATTACTTTATCCCATATTATTTTTTTTATATTCTATCGTAATATATTGTATAATATTATGCTACGATGATGTATGTGTAGCACAAATTTCTGAAAATTTAAAAGTCCTCGTCTCTCCTTCCCTCCCTCCTGATTTTCAGCTCTCTTTATTTTTACTGCCCAATCTTTTTCCTGTAAAACGGAATTGTCAGCCATTACATCGCGCATCAAAATAAACGCGAGTTTGACGCGAGTCAGGGAATAAAAGTATACATATAAGCAGTCAAATCCGAGCGTTTGTCCACACGACGAAGGGCTGCTTCTTCCGTTCGCTGAAAGAGCGCGATTCTCTTTATTTCAACTATTCATCCGCGAGCCACCTACTTCCCGCAGTTGCGACGAAAGCTCAGCCGTGATGAAAAGATGACGGAGAGAGTCGTCCTAATCTTCCATCTTCCCGAGTGATTTCGGCAGAATGGTGCCGCCACAGGCACCGCGAAAGGCACACTAGCATAATCCGAAGCGACGGATTCGAGAGTACGATTAATGACCTGAGAATATTGGCGGGCTAGCTCGATCAATCATTGGTGACCCGACCGGCTGTCCAACTCCGGTGCAATTAAGCTCCGGGACAATTACGCGCGCGAGCGGCTCCCGCCGTCTGCGAACTCGAAAAGAGATATTTCCTTGCCCGATGAAAGCACGACGAAACGATCAAGCCAAGCGTCTCGAGATCGAACACATCGATTGTCCCGAAACGAGTGAAACGAGAAGATCGTGACAGAAGAAAACCAACCATCAGACAGATAGAGCTAATTCATCAAGCCCATGCTGAAATCAACAATACATATCACGAGTAGAGATGTGCGAACTATTCGAATTCGAATCGAATCGAATCGAATCTAATTCGATTCGATTCGAATCCGAATCCCTATGATTCGAATCCGAATAATTCGAATAGGAATCAAATACATTATCATTTGCGTGCATCAGCTACAAAACGGGCCATCTGGGCCTGTATGTTTGAACCCTTAACTTGTAATTAACTTAACTTATAATTAATAACTTAATTATAAATTACTTTAATTATTTAAATATATATTTTACTTTAAGATGATATTACAATATCAATATTCCCTTTCGTATTAAAATCTTCCATCATTATTTGCATGTTTAATAGTCATGTTGAATTTTTTTATGATACGATTCGATTTCATTCGATTCGTTTCGAACTCGAGTGAAATTTCATAGATTCGATTCGATTCGAAATCGGATTTAAAAAATGAGATTCGATTCGATTCGACGTAAAAATTCTTGATTCGCACATCTCTAATCACGAATAAATATATCAAGATCCTAGGAGAGCGTGCTTTTCATGCGCGCTATATTTCACCTCGCGCACCACCTAGTCGATATGAAACAGCCCGCGAGAGTCCTTCGTCCCGCGGGAAAAGGAGGACGAAGAGAAGGGGCAGGAGAAGTTTGTGCACACGCTATACGCGACAGTTTATAAAAGGTTGAAACAGCTGTTCCGTTAGCTTAGTTTAATATCGACGGCACGGCACGATACGGTGCGGTACGTTACGGGTACGGTACGGCAGGCGCGGGCGTTTCATTTTTCCACGGCTCGTCGGCGATATGAATGCACGACGACGACGACGACGACGACGACGACGATGACGGCGACGACGACGAATCCGCCATCGAGTATCTCACCGACGCGTACATACCGCGGAAACACCGTTGCGCGGAGCGGAAACGAGCGCGCGGAATACCGGATTCCGAGGAGACGCGGGTATTCGAGCGACGCGAGTCCTGCACGTACGCGGCGGTTCGGGTATCCCGAGACGATAGGAATCGCAAGGATGCAAATCTCGCTCGTCTTTTCCGACGGTCCCTCCGACGATCACCGAGAGCGAGAGAGAGAGGCGACTGCAGAGGTGAGTCTACAGAGAGAAAAAGAGAGAGAGAGAGAGAGAGAGAGAGAGAGGAGATAAAGGGGAGGAGGAAGGAGGGAAATCGTGAACAGTCCAAATATTTATGTTCCGCTATGCCTTTGAACGAGACCTTTTGACGCTGGCAATTCGCATTATTGCACATCCACTGCGGCGCTCGAAGCGGGCGAATCCGCCTGGTATTCCGGGATCGGCGGGCGAAAGAATGATAACGTTGCCGGATAATACAGATGTCGAGCACAGAAGGAGAGGGGGGGGGGAGGGGACGGGGAGGGGAGACGTGGAAAAGAAACGTCCGAGAAGCTTGAAGTCCTTCGCGAGGACTCCTCGAGGAGAAATGTATTCGCGTGCCTGTCTGTGTCTGCCTCTGTATCTCATAATTTCATAATTTTCATCGAAATATAAAATTTCACGTTTAAACAAAATATCGCGTGTAAATTTCTCGGTCTCTCCGCTCGTCCGTCGCTGTGCCCCGTGAGAATAATGCCGCGAAAAATAACGAGCTGCAGAAAATTTCGCGAGGCTAAATTAGATTATAAACAACGGGGGAACTATCGATCCATGTGAAGGGCCAAGGAGGCGGGGGTGAGGGCAAAGAGAGGGCGAAGAGAGGCCGGTGTAAAGCGTATTACGTAATTCCGACTAATAACGATCCCGAAGACGGCGCAGAGAGATTCAATTATCGTTTCCGTCGTCGCGCGCGCGTTAAAGCGAAAAGGAAATTATTAAATTTTATGCACTTCTCGTGTCATGGGCATTGTGTCCGCCCGGGCAGCGGAGGGCGGGGGGAACGGAAGGGAAGGTTGAAGGGGCGCAAGGAATTCTCGTCACACAGAGGGCGGCCAGGCAGGGGCGGGGGGAGGGAGGGAGCGGCATACTAACGAAGAATTTCCTCGCACACCGGCAGGACGCCGGGGAGTTATCGGCTTATTCGTTCGAATTTATTCGCAACGTAATGCATAACCGGAGGCGCCGTGTTTTATTTTATACACGGCTGACGCATGGGGCCATTTGCAAATGAAGCCGGCCGGGCGGAGAGAATGCACTTCGATGTATTTTTAATGAAGTCGACCCGGACTCGAGAGCAGCTGTATATATACTGTATTACCGCCGGAGCACCCGCGAGTCCGTTGCGCCGAGTAAAATTAAAGTTCCCGAATGGCGGATTGTTTTAATTAGTATCGCATACGCAGCCTCGAAAATAACGGCCGATGCTATGGCAATGAATATTAACGATGTATTTAAAAAGGAAAAAATGTGGATATGATATGTATGTGTGTGTGTGTGTGTGTGTGTGTATGCTACTCATAAGCGATCATGGTAATTATTAATATGCATAAGATTTTAATAACTCGAAGCGCGAACAATCAGCGTGATAAGCGCGTACATTGAAAAACGCGCAACTTTGTGCTCGCGCGTACGTGTAACGTTGTTCTTTGACGAACTTAAAACACGCGCATTCACACAGCTAATATATTACAACAATAAGCTTGAAACACGCGAGACTATCCTCCTTCCGCTTTGTCCCTCTCTCTCTCTCTCTCTCTCTGTGTTTCTCTCTTCCTCGACGAGAATACTCGTAATATTCATAAAAGCGGTAAACCGGACGACACTCCGCGTCGCGAGACAGCCTCATGATTGTAAAAGCCGAGCGTCGCGCGGAATAGATACATCCATTAATAATTTTAATGTTTAACAATCCAAGTAAAAGCATTTTCACGGCGGTAATCCGACAACGAGCGTCGGTTTTATATGCGCGTCTCCTCAGACGGGGATCATGAACGATACCCGAGAATGTGAAAAGCTAAGCTGTGCGGCTCGAAATATTTACATCTGCATCTCGGAAGAAGAGCAGAGGTACGAGGTATCCTCGTCCTCGACGATAGACCGCGATTGAGTGCAAGATACAATCCTCGAGAGAAGCGCAAGAGTAAAAGAAATCAACGACTCGCATGGTGAAATTAAGCGAGAGATAACGAACAAGAATGGGAGAGACAATTTCACTCATTTTCAGCATTTTCATTCCGCGAGTTTCTTTTTTTATTTATGTTTCTTTTTTCTGTTTTTTTCTTTTTCCTTCACGAAGGCACTCGACGAATTAGAGGGAGGAAAGGAGCCGAAAGGACCAGGCAGGCTGTCTCGATTGATAGCTTCTCGAGTACGATAGAAGACGCTCTTTTGTTCGCAATCGCGCTGATCTCCTCCTCCACCTCGCCCTGTTCCTGCTCCAGCTGCCCGATGTCTCCTTACAATATCCTAGCGCAGTATTCGCGATAATTACGCGGTAACAAGTTGTCTGTTAATGACCAATTCGCGGCGACGACAAAGGTATTCGACGTGCGCTACTTGATCGATTTCGATACGGGGAATTCTATTACGGCGCGGTAATTACTTCCTTGCCAAACTTCGAAATTGGAGCATAGGGTGCTGGGGAGAATGAGCCGGAGCGATAACGATCCAATTTAGAGGGCCGAACGTGAAACTATCTTCTTGCAGCGCTCTTTATGCTCATATCGCCGCGCGCGCAGGATAGCAACTATCCGCTCTCCCGTTGCTGCGATAATAATTTGACGGTAAGTGATTAATAAAGGTAAACAAACGAGGAGTGACAGTCTTGAGCGTGGGTGCTGTGGGTAGGTGGGATCCCCGTTAAACGACGATCGTTCGAGAAGCAAGTAACACAGATCGAGCGAGTCTTTCATATTAATAGCCGTTACTTGAAACACTTGTCTTGCGTTGATACACTCGAATCTGAATGCATTGTGTTAGATTCGAATTTTTCATCTCAATCGCAGTGTGATGTCATATCCGTAACCGCGACTCAATCAAATTAATAGCAGTTCAAGCTACTCGGAGAGAAAGAGAAAGAGACGAGGGAAAAGAGAAAGAGAAATGGATGCCCTACAGAAGGAGTCGTACGACAACGAATTGCGCATCGCTTCTCTCTCCCTTTTCGTCTGTAGCACGTAACTAAGCTGGAGAAAAAAATCCGTAAAAGGGTATGTAAAAGCTTTGACGTGCATCATTTATTCGCTTATATCTCACACGATTTACAGATCAGAGTTAGATGTTGTAGTCTTTTAAGATAATTGCCAGCGCCTTCTTCTTTTCGATGATCTCCTGGTGAATTTCGTGCCACGGGCCATAGGTGAAGTTTACGATTTCCTCGGCACGATCGAGATACCGCCGCGTTTTTTTCAAGACATTTCTGCAACGAGATTGTATGACGCATAATGCCACGTAAGTGTCTCCTCGCATGTGTGTCGTGTACGGTAAAAATTATCGGTGCAACATGCGGCGCGAGATACTCACTTGTACCACTTCGTCGTTCTGTTAGGCTCCTCCTGCAGGTATCTAATACATATGTCGGTTAATTTGTTCAATTCATTGGCAACTTCCATGCTCGAACAGCCGTATCGTTCCTCGATCGCAGCCATACTGTGCTCGATGTGCGAGATAGACTCGAGCCATCGTCCTGAAACCAAGAAGCGATCAATTTAACGTGCGTTCATTCTACTCTTTGGCGCGTGTCGCGCTGATAAAACGCTGGAGGTCATATCGCGGCTCATACGGACCCATAATGGCGTATACTTTGCCGAGGATATCCAAAGTGGCGGTGAGATCCTGATGGTACTTGTACAATAGGTTTCTCCTAATGCTCAGGCACTCCTTCAATTTTACCACTGCCTCCTCCTCTCGCTCGAGCTCGATATAAATTTGCGCCGCGTCGAAAGCGGTCACGGCGTTCTTCAGCTCGATTTGACAATTAATGTAAGGCGTCGCTCCGCAGTCTAAGCAGTGCATGGAATACGAATGGAACTCCTCCAACGCGCCGCCGCATTCCGGGCATTTGATCGCGTGAAATCTTTCCTGTGCGAACAAGGCGTACGAACCAGCTTAGGACTTGAGTCCTTCGCGTGGTAATTCTAACGGACAACACATGGCAACGTATAATGTATAGTTTACCATGAAATTCTCGTATTCCGGCATAACGCACGGGTCGCATCTGCACTCGAAGCCATACTGGTTCTTCAGAATTTCTTGTCTATGCTCTCTCGACATTCTTCTGAAGTTAGGTCCTGTCGCAACAACAGTCCAAAGTGAGAAAGAAAGATTCCATCGCTGCGCACCGACACAGCGAAGTCTACAAATCACTCAACACGTTGACCGCCACGCTGAATTCATGTGCGTAAGTTTCACTGGGTTCAAATGCTCAGTGTTACGTCAATGATATTGAAACAGCGATGATGCTAAACAAATCTTTATACGTGTGGTCCACGTTATCTGATGATTTAATATTTGGTTTTCTCTTCGACACTTTTTTTTTCTATAAATTTCGAAATTTAATCTTTTTCTTTAATTATCTATACAGATTGTCTTAATAAATTTCTGCCAAATTTAAATTGTCTTGCTTTTTTTATTCAATATTATTCTTCTAAATTTAATTTCTTCTTTTATATTGTCCATCTCTTTGCAATATATATTTTTCTTCACTTCAACTCTCTCTTTCTCTCTCTCTCTCTCTCTCCCCCTCTCTCTCTCTCTCTCTCTCTATTTTGTTCTTTATTCAATATTTCTCCTCAAAAATTTCTAAATTTATTCCCTTAAGATATTTGCAACTTTTAATTTCTTTCGAATTTAAATCTCGTCCTGTTTTCTATTCGATATCTCTTCTAACTGCTCGGTAAAATAATTTCTAATCGAATAAGCAAAACCCTCACGCACAGATGCAGGGTGTCAGAACCCTTGCGGAAACTCACACACACACGTCTCTCAAATATACGTGATGCGACGCTCAATGTGTTGATCTAGTATTTGGAATTCTGTTCACGTACCGTAACAATTGGAAACCTCTTCACCTGCCTGGATATCCTTCATGGCTCTCACTATTAAATATTGGTCCACAAAGCTGAGGGACAACAGCGTTAACGTTAATAAACAAGCGAATGCCAGTCTTACTCATGTATACGCAATGAGCGAGTCATTGTCTTTTATAAATTTTTTTTTTCTCGTATAATCTAAGGGTCTATATATTACCTAGTAATTATATTAGGATCACAAGAATGATTCATCATGCTCGCAGAAGGATAAATCGCTGTAGCTATTCTATCTTGTTGCTCGACACAGAGCTTATCTTTATCTGATGCTATCTTGTTTAGCTTTGTGATAGCATGCCCGTTACAAATAAGCTGTAAAACGTGCCTCAGTAGTAGAGAACTTACATATACTCGTTCATCGCTCTCTGTCGCGAGATCATTGTTGAAGTTGAAAGTGTTGTCGGTAAACTTCGACACTAGGTGTTCTCTGACATTGCAAACTTTAAAATAATCTGTGTACTTTGTTAAATACAGTGTGAGCATAGTTGCCGTCTGAAAGAAATCATAAAGGGATACCGGGTTGAAGTCTGAAAGTTCCTAATGAGATTCTATGTGCGCGCAACGCCGTATCTCGCAACGTGTATCCGGCTGTTTATTATTTTATCATTATGATCATCATCATCGTCATCATCATCATCATCATCATTCGCCGGCTCTCCGCGCGCGTGCGCGTAAATAATGTCACTCACGATTCCATATACAATAAGGTCGTTCGCTGAGAGATTATCGAAACCGGTCACTAGCTGCTGTACTCTGTTAAACATGCTATTGTCGGTCGTCATCGTGCACTTGAGGAGCGTCTTCAAGCCCAAGTGCGCCACCCCGATCTGCTGCCAAAGACGCATCTGATTGCCCACGCACTCCCAGCGGTGATGAGACGAGTACGCCTCGTTCCAACAGTTCACGTCGCAAAATACAGTGTCGATGCATCCTGAACACCTATACAACACGTATACAAAGCGTTTGGCACTGTGCTAATGTGAACGCGCTTACGACTCTTACTCTTGTTAGATCGCAAGTTAGTCCCGCGGCCTATCTATCGAACTCAATCAAATTCGCAGCGAAATCGGCGAGACTCACGGTGTAAGGTTCTTGCCGCACGAGCGACAACAATTCTCACATAAGTCACTCGCCCCGTCACACTCCAGTGTCACGAAACTGAAGGGCTTCTCGACGAAGAGTATCTGGCTCCTCTTGATATCTCTATTAGCTACCATGTGTCGTCCCTTTTGCGGCGTATACTTAATGTCTAAGGCCGTCGACGCGAACGGCAAATTCGGGTTCTCGCCGAACAAGATCTCGGGCAGTATGCGATGAGATTCCGTGACACCCGTGACGTCGTCGCTCGTGTCTACCATCTGTGATACGGAGGACGACAATTGAACTAGCTGCTTCTCTAGAGTTTCTAAAAGAAGTTGATCGATTCGTCATTTACGTTGACAAGCACCGAGTCCGCTTGGAACGATCTCTTTCTTTATCTCCCTCTTCTTCCTCTCACTCTCTGTCTTTCTTTTTTGTCTTATCGTGCTCGTCTTATTCGAACTCGAACAGTACAGACTGTGAAATACCTGCCTTTCTTTGTGTTTGGCATGTCATCGTACTCGTTGATTAGTGCGCGTAGCTGATGGAGTGCCGCCCTGGCGTATTCTTTCTTACCTAACTTTAAATAACACTGAACTGCACGTATGTACAGTTTGTAACATAATTTCCGTGGATACTTCAACTTGGTCGCCAACTCGATGTCTTTGATACAGTCCTTCATTGTCAGGCGCGCAAAGTTGATCGGTTACATTTTACAGCGGAAAACAAACGTGTCATCATTTTAGACAGTTTAATCGCAGCGATTCATAATAGGAAGGAAGACCGAGGGAAATTATAGGAGAGGTAAGCTCTTTCTCTCTGATACGCATGAAGCGAAATAACCAAAGCTTACATTCTAGGTTCACAGCCCTTAAGTACTCAATCAATGGTACTCACGTGATATTTGCCCAAGTAGAACAAAGCAGCAGACCTGTTAGCGATTGCTACCGAGAGATCTTCACTGTCTGCTGGAGCATATATCGCACTCTTTGTGTACGTACTCACTGATAAGGCATATTTCTTCGATTGAAACTCCCTATTACCGACCATCTTAAATATCGTTGCTTTCTCCAGAGATTTGCCCTCCCTTTTATTATATGTCTCGTCTAGCCACATAGATATAAGCTTTCTGCATCATAATGAAGACCCGTGTCACACACACTGGAGAGAGCGCTGATTAATTAGTGGCGTAACGAAGAAGGGACAGGGTGATACGATTCACAGTATGATGAACAAAAGTATACTGCGCACATACTGCGATTAGCTGGAACCGCTAATTAGGAAGCTGGTGGGGAAGAGAGTTCCGTTGGACTAGATGGAACACAGAGAGAAAGAAAGCAAAACGTACACAAGGACGAGACAGGTTAACTGTGTTTATTGTCGCGTTTGACGGTGTTCAAAGAAGAACAGCGCTCGACGAGAGAGAGGATCGTCGCAAGCACGAGGCTTGGCCGTGAAAGACGTGAGATCCTCGGGAATACGAGCGGAACGATGCAAACGTACTCACATAATTTCATGATCGGTCGCCAAGTATGACATTAGCTCGTCCTCGCGATTTATCTTTGTCTTCAAGGCTATGTCACTGGCCAATCGAGAGGAGCGCATTTTGCGGCCGAGAACGTCGAGGAAGTTTTGCCATTGCATCGGCATGATTTTTTGCAACTCACGGTTCTTAGTAGCTGACAAAACAAGCGTGATTCGCTTGACTCGACTCGACGAGGTTATGTTGTGTTGCTTAGTGATGCTACAGGCATAGACATAAGAGAAGACGTAGACACGAAATCTTCCATGAGGAGTGACCGAGATTGGTAACGAAAAGAGACTGGGCGCTTCACAGTTAAAACTTGAAAAGTATAGGCCATCGCACACAACATTGCATAGTTGCATATACATAAAACCGTTTCGACCAATGAACATCGAATATTAAGCATCGAGCATCAATATGGCGACTTATTCTCGATGTTCATTGGTCCATACAATCTTATGTTATGTATATGCAGCTATGCAATTTTGTGTGCGATGGCCTTATCTATCTTGTTATTGTAGTCATTTACCACTGACGAAGTAATGCTAAATACTATCGGTCCTGAGTAAATTGACAAAGAAGTCCCAAGAGGCCTGGAGGTAATTCAAAAATCATGACAATACCGACTGTTTCAGCTAAATCGAAGATAACGCGAGCAGTTGCATCTTTCTTGCCTTATTTCTATGCCTTGTAAAATTTATTTTTCAATTTTACCTCGTCAGTGCCAACGGTCTTTATTATGGCATATTCGAGTTGCATGGACCCAGGTTCTTAGGTCGAGAGCATGCATGTGTAAACTTTAGGCCTGTTCGTTTTGTCTGCACTGCTGAACTGGTGCAACAAGTTCGAGTGAGAAAACCTATGTTTGTCTCACTTTTGGTCTGTTCTTGCTCCTGCACCGCTGCACTGGTGCAATAAGTTAAAGTGACACAAATATATACTTGTCTCACTCGAACTTATTATACTAGTGCAGCGGTGCAGAGGAAAAGAATAGACCTTTTAATTTAATGCACCAGTTCAGCAGTGCAGACAAAACGAACAGGTCTATTATGATCAGCTAGGCTGTGTTTTCAGTAGCAGTGGATTTTGGAACACAGCCCTTGTAGTCCGTGTAGTTGTGAATTTGAGAATCACTGCTTAACCAAACTGCCCAAAATAAAAGATCGCAGGTCTCTCTCTCTCTCTCTCTCTCTCTCTTGCGTAAGTGATTCTCAAAGGCTGCATTTAGCAGACTCAACAGTTGGACAACATTACTAGACTTTCCACTGAATCTCGTTCCTGATTGGTAAATACTTCTGGGTCTACGAAGAATCTAAAAGAATGCTCCAATCACAGACAATAATTACTAAGCGCTCTCTGATCACTTTGTTCCACTGAACGCGGCCAATCCAACACGAAAACAAACACGGTGTGCCGCTGGCTTTAGATAAGAGTATCAAGCATCTGCACATGCGTGAAATTGGTAGTCCACAAGGAGAGGAGCTACATAAGTAATATGGTCGGTCCAATTAGAAGAAATGTGTTTTGATTCAACCAATCAGACGTGAATGTTGGACCACCAGGACTGTACATATTTTTCGGTGTCATGTATTGAGTCAGAGTTAGCAATCTAGTTATACTATATAGAGTGTGTGGTGTCGCAACTGTTGTACCCCCTCCACTGGTATATATTCGTTTCCATCAAGCGAGCGGCATTGATTCACGATCGGATGTTCTGTAATAGAAGATCGTAGAGCAGCACGTGCGAGTAAAAACACATGACATATATTGAGCTACTTGTAGCGTTCCTGTCATTATTTATTAGGTGATCGCAACGTCTACTCACGCGGCTGGTATAGCTGCTCTAGGTTTCTTGATGGTTCTTGTCGGGTGGATAATATATATATATATATGCATGAAATATATATAATGTGTACATTTATGTATATATATGTACACAAACTAACCCTACGACGCAGTCGAAGGCGTATATATGCGTTAATAATTAGCGTCAGCGTCGATTTCTTTCGAGAGACCAACAAGATACGAATGATAAATTTGTAATAACGTAGTATGAGGTGGGATTAGCCCTGATTGAAGCACCAATGTCTGAAAATTAACGAGAGAATTTCTTTTCCAGATTTATAACGAAACTGCTAAAACATGCCACAGGGAAGAAGAAAAACTCCGTTCAGTGGCAAAGCCAAGAAGCAGCAGATGCAGGCTAAAAAGCAGCGGCAACAGCAACAAGTCTTACGTGGTAAGTGTTTATTGAAAAATTCCCACGGTTCCTGATAAGTTTATTATCACTTTAATTAGCTACAGTAACTGTGAGTTTTGAGCTAAATATTCTGTCTGATATATCCGTTAGTAGATTGTAACATATCATTGTCAACATAGTAGATATAAAACAATATGTACATTTATATTATTAGCAAACCAAGACTTGGATGATGAAGACTGCTATAATACTATAAGCCACATTGAGTATGAGAGGGAAGTACAGAGGATAAACAAACAACCCAAGGATAACAAGTCGTCCAGAAATAGGTACACACTACAATTTTTCCAAGAGACTAAAGAAGAGCTGCGAAAGCGCAAGGAACAGGCTTTGGAGAGCATTGTGCCTGTGAGTCTTATAGATCAAGAGGTCTCTGATAATTACTTTCCACCTGAGATTGACATGCCTAAGCGGCCACCGTGGGATTTTAATATGACAAAAGATCAATTAGAGATGAGGGAACAAAAATACTTTAGGGTATGTGATTCTTAGAGTATTATGATTTCCATTTAGATACTAGGCAAGATTTCAATTAATCTCTAGTACAGAGTGAGGAAAAAAGATGGGAACCCTTAAAAATGTCGAAAGATATAAGTTTGACAGAAAAGTATTTCAGACAAAAGTTATAAGGCTCAAAGCGATGTATTTACTGATCTTATCAGTTTGACCTTGAGTGGCGTTGCCAAGGTCAGGTCAAGGTCAACTTGTTTTTTTTTTAATAGAAATCCCCATTTTTTATTACATCATCTTTTTCTATCAATTAATTTGAACAACTTTTGTCTGAAACATTTTTTTATTTACCTAACATGTTTTGAGATATTTAAGGAAAACTTGATGACTTTTTCAATACTTAACTTACTTATCTCGCTAACTATTTGTTGGAAGAAAAAATGGTACTAGACTTGTTTACTCTATTTGGTTTCAAGAACATATCGTTACAATAGTTTCCTAATTTTTGTTAACTTATAGACTTTTGGAAATTTCAAAATCATCAAATTAACAAAAGTCAAGGTGCTATTGTAACAATATATTCTCGAAACCAAGTAGAGTAAAAAAGTCTAATAGCATTTTTTCTTCCGACAAAATAGTTCCGACAAATAGTTGGCGAGATATCGTAAGTTAAATATTGAAAAAGTTTCCGAGTTTTTCTTAAATATCTCAAAAAATATTAGGCCAATGAAAAAAAGGTTTCAGACAAAAGTTATTAAAATTAATTGGTATAAAAAGATGATATAATAAAAAATTGGAGTTTCTGTTTGAACAAAATAAGCAGACCTTGACCTAACCTTGGCAACGCCACTCAAACTGATAAGATCAGTAAATACATTGTTTTGAGCCTTATACCTTTTGTCCGAAACACTTTTCTGTAAAACTTATATCTTTCGAGATTTTTAAGAGTTTTCATCTTTTGTTCTTACCCTGTATGTATTAACTATGTATTAACTAACTTTCTTTGTTCAGGAATATTTAAATAGCATGGGAGAATTAGGTGACCTTAGTTATTTCGAATTGAATTTGGAAACTTGGCGACAACTGTGGAGAGTTTTGGAGATGTCAGATATTCTGCTAGTCATCGTTGACATTCGGTATCCCGTCCTGATGTTTCCTCCTTATTTGTACGATTATGTGACGAACAAACTGCAGAAAGACATGATCCTAGTATTGAATAAGGTCGATCTGGCACCGCCGGCCTTAGTGGTCGCTTGGAAGCAATACTTTCGCAGTCAGTACCCAAAATTGCACATCTTGATGTTCACGTCGTATCCCACGTACAATCTCCGCGGTAACACGAACAATGACGAGGGTGTAAAAAGAAGACGCCGGAGAGGGAAGTTGAGGATGGCCGCGGAAGGAGCACAGAAGTTGTTGGAAGCCTGCAAGGATATCGTCACGGACAGGGTTGACCTGAGCTCTTGGCACGAAAAGATTCAGGAAGAAATGCACACGGAGTACGACTTGGACGACATAGATCGCAAAGATAACGTGACGATCGAAAAGGAGGACACCACTTATTTCCAGCACGAGAAGTACAAAAATGGCGTCCTGACCATCGGATGCATCGGGACGCCGAATGTTGGAAAGTCGTCGTTAATGAACGCGCTCATGGGTACGTGATAAATCTAACATTTTTTTCATTTTCCAATAAGTAATATGCCGGCAGATTCAACCAAAGTTGCAGATCCAGCCGTCTGTATTGCGCGAATACAAATTTAACAAAACTCCATCATGATCGCAGGCAAGAAAGTCGTCAGCGTATCTCGCACGCCCGGCCACACTAAGCACTTCCAGACTATTTATCTCACGAAGACCGTGTGTCTGTGCGATTGTCCCGGCTTGGTGTTTCCGTCGATGGTGCCGAAACAGCTGCAGATCCTGATGGGTTCGTTCCCAATCGCTCAAGTCAGAGAACCGTACACTACCGTGAAGTTCATGGCCGAAAGGATGAATCTGCCAAAGCTGTTGAGGATCCCACATCCGGAGAACGACGACACGTGGTCCGCTATGGATATTTGCGACGGTTGGGCCATCAAGAGGAACTTCACAACAGCCCGCGCGGCTAGACTGGATACTTACAGAGCAGCGAATTCGCTGTTGCGACTGACACTGGAGGGAAAGATTTGCCTATACATATACCCGCTGGGTTGGACTGTTAATAAAGGTATAGCATGTATTTCTTTTTTATATTTTTCATAATTCTTTCTTTCTTTCTTTTGTCTCTTAAAGTCGTATTTTAAAGTTATTATTTACAATGTGGTCTTAACTTACGATTACTATGGTGTCATGTTGGCTCGCTCTATGAACTAAATGAAATAGATTCTTTTTTATACATATGCTCTTTCTCATCAGTCTCTTTCAACTAGATGAGATGATCTCTTTTGTGAAACATTTGCGACGACTCAAGTATCACCTGTGAACTCTTATTCTGTTTTCAGACAAATGGGAAAGTCATGCGGACGTTGAGATAGTGAGATGGATTCAAGCTAGGAATCAAGAGACGGATGATTGTGACACAGTAACTATGTACATGTCTTCTTCGGAAAACGAAGAAGAGTCCTACAACGACAAACATAAGAAAGCTGCTGGAAGCGTAACGAATAAGCAGATCACTGGATCGTCCAGCGAGGAAAACGATATACCGTCCGTAGCTAATAAGTTCGCAGCATTGTCTACGGATTAAAGGCAAAAGGAAGCAATTCTATGTTGATAATTTGACTAGTTAATTAATAAATTAATAAAGTTGCTGACAAGTTACACAGAGTGCTTTATTAGGTTTGTACCTTTCTCGGATGTTTTATTTATCCGTTTCTTCTTTTTTTTTTATACATATATATCTTCTGAATGTACAATGAGCAATTCGATGACGACGGAATATAGTCGAATGGTCTTTCTGTGTTTTCGCCCGCGAAACACAATCGTCGCGATGTGACTGGATATTATGAGTAAAAATAGATTATATATATATATATATCTGGTGGTGTAAGCCGCTACTCTCTGCCGCTAATATTTTTTTTTTACTCTGTTTTCGTAGTGTTTTCTCCTTTCTTTCTTCTCCTAAAGTCACCGTCACACGAGTTATTATTTACAACATGGTCCTAGCCTGCGACTATGTTCTGGTGTCATGTTGGTCCACTATGAACTAATCGAATAAAGATCTCTTGTTTTCTCAGCTATAAGCTACACTACGAAAAACGTAACAGCACAGTAATATGACTACATCTTCGAGACTCATCAGATCGTCCTTAAACCGACTGAAAACAACGATTACGATCCTACGACACTGCGACGAATTGCGATGATCTAAGCCCCCAAGATCTTCTTCACGGAGTAACCTGGTATAGCGTAAAAGAATAAGAGCATAAGTACGATCAGTCCGATCGCTACCATGGCCTTCAGTATAGCCCACTTGTAATTGTGCCAAACTATATACTTGATGGACTTCAGCGGATTGAGGAACCACATGAAGGACGCGTCCGGTCGGCTGCGAAGCAGAAAAAGTATAGAAAGTCAAGGGTACATCGAGCGCACAAGAGGGTACGAAACAGATAAGGTCATACAATCTGTTTCATTGTTGCGATTATTATACTGACTTGGGCTTGTCCAATGGATCCGGCTCGTTCCTACCGAACCCGGCGGGATTTTTCTCGGCCTCCTCTTTCGTGAGTAAATGTATCTCAGCCTCGACCTTGCCCTATGCGAGACACGACATGAAATGTATATTCGACGCGTTAAATTTAACAAAGTTTAAGCAGTTTAAAGAAATTTCGCTACATGGGAGATCTCGACATATTTATCTCTGATACATTTAAAACACACGGCGAGCAAACACAATTAACGAAACGAATTAAAGCATTATAATCGATGAAATTGAAATTATTATTTCTGCATCAGCGTGTCGCAGATCAGTCCGGTTAAAATAAAGCTATTAAATAAGACTCTCGTGAAAGAAGGGGAAAAAGGAAAGAAGAGAGGAGAAAAGAATTCTGGCAAATAAGAGCCTTCTCGCACGATTCGTAATCGTTTCTGGACGAAAGGATATAATTGCCTGCCTCACCGTCAATTCCATATCCTCGTTCTCCTTCTTCACATAAAACGGCCACCAGCCTTTTACGCGCTTCTGCTTGAAGATGTTGACCGTCGGAACAGAACCGTCGGTCTTCAGCATGCTCAACGAGCACAGTTTGCTGTTCTTCGCGCCACGCGGGAATCGGTTGAGATCGAGGGTGATCGCGCCCAGGAAATCATCCGCCGAGAAGTGATCCGCGTCCCAGACCTGGAAGCAGCGTCCGGATCGTTCTGTTCCATTTCTGTGCCCCGAAAGGGACACGCACGATGTTATTACCTGCAATTCCAGACGCGCCGGTATCTTGCACTCGGTCTCGTCCCAGCTAAACAGACTCTCCTTCCGGTTGATCACGATCTTCTCTTCCGCCACCAGATAATCGAACGGAAATATGAAGCGCCAGTTGAAGTTCCCTTCGCCCGTCAATGAACGGTAATGAATATCGGTGGACTGACAGTCCTCCGGCCCTTTCAGCCATCTATTGCAGACGACGTCGAATGTTTTTTCGTTTTCTCCACCCCCCCCCCCTCCATATTTTTGTCTTGTATTTTCCAATGAAAATAGATCGAATAATTCGATCCATCAAAGTATCATCATCTGCTTGAGCTTTTAGTCGATGTAATCCCCAATCAGAACGATTCGACGTTGATTCAACGTCGATAAGGGTTGAATTCAACGTTGATTCAATGTTTCATCGACCGTTTCAACGTCAAATCAACGTCGAATCAATGTGTTATGGTTCTGAGTGGGACTCAGCGTGAAAATCGCCCATTCGTCAAAGTGAAAAACTCACCCCTTTACGTAAATGTCACTCATCTTCTCGCCGGTGAAGAAAGCGTCATCCTCCAACACCACGTCGTCCGTGTTCCATATGATAACCCGCAGCTCGTAACTCTTCGGCTTCCTGGGCGAGATGTCGATGGATGATCCGGGCGAGGGCATGTCCATCGGGAACATGTCCACCCACATCTCCAGCTTACCTTGCTCGATCCCAGGCTTTTCGGGGTTGTAGAGCGGCCGGGTTTCCACGTGTTCGGGTGCCAGCGCGCATCCTATCCGTGGGAAGGCGCTCCACTGATGGAGGACCGCCAAGGCGAGATGCTCCTCCATTCCTGAAGCGAGTAATCAGCGAACATCATTTGTTTAATAAAATCATTATAATCAGCAATCGGCTTTTTTATTTTTATTTTTTTTTTTCGAGTAATCAGCCTTCCAATCGCACTTGCGCGCGAGATATATCAGGCACCGAGTGTTATGCAATAATTAATGCAATAATTAATGGAATAATAATTAATGAAATTCGCGCAATAATTAATGAGATTTGCAAGCACCTTGGCTAATTGCTAGGTTAATTACGTAATTTGGATTGTGGAGTAAGTGGGATGTACCTTTCGTGTGCACGTAATACTCCATTTCCTCGTTCGAGAGGGAGAAGGTCTTTCTGCCGATCGTGACTCGTCCGTGAGAGTAAACTGGTCCGTCAATTTTGCCGTCCTTGCACAATTTCGAAAGTATCTGCGTCGGCTTCATCGCGTCCCGCCACTTGTTGTAGCCGGATCTAAAGCGTAAATAACGAGCGAATAATCAATCCCTCATGTCGGAATTCACCTGCGTTCTCGCATTATATACAGCCGCGTTATTCCGCGCACGTTGACACAAAGACCAGTGCTCTGGAAGGCAGTACGCGATTATTTATCGCAGCTTAATAGATACACATCACGCGAAGTATGTAATGACGACGAGTCTTGTTAATGCAGGAGTAATGTAATAAAGAATAACATGACCTCGGGAGAGAGGGGGCAGGGGAGAAAGAAAGCGTGTTTTAGATCAACGGCGATTACAGCGCCGAGAAATAGTCATTAGCTCCGGCTAATGTCAGCTCGGAAGCTCGTTACGAGCAAATGGTGACGTCGTACTTCGTCGTAAACAGAGAAAAATTCGTCAGTTTTAAATAAATGCTCACTACATACTGCGACGGCGGACATAAGAGTCAGCGTTGTTAGATTACCAAGTCGCGTGACGCGTCTCATTTCATCACGAGGTTCCACAATTTATTCGCCGTGCACGTCGCAATAACTGTTACTCGCTCAAGTTACTCACTCGTCGTATTTCTTAGCGAGGCCGCACGTGGCGCGATGCCTGCTGTAGAAACGATTCTCCAGATCGATCTTGGTCTCGCCGATCATATCGTCCGTGCCGACCAAGTCCCAGTCGAGGACCTGCACGGTCAGCAGAGAGTCCTGCGGAAAAGTCGCCTCTATCTCGAAGCACCTTCAAACCATATTGAAAATTTATGTACGTAATATTGTGAGACGCTGTTATCAATTATCACTTCTTCGAGAGAAGAGATGTCTCATTTTTAAATATATCGGCCAAAGCGAATGGGTTAATATTATGATATTGACTTATTATTGACTTGGCGTTTAAACGCCAAGCTAAAGTTAGGTGCATAATATATTACAATATTATTATTTAATTATATCCAATTATACTTTTATATTATTTTTAATTTTTTCACATATAACGCGCGTGGGAAGTACGTACTTGCCGAAAACAGGATTCAGTTGCTTGGACACATAGTTCTCCTTGTCGCTGATCCTCTTGCCGCCCAGTTGCAGGACCACGTAGGGGTCGGCCTTTCCGTTCAGGTCGCAGGGGTGCAAATCATTAGCCTTGACGATATACACCCGCACCAGGACGTGAATAGGTTCGTTCGACGGAACTCCTTGAAAGAAGCCGTATTGCGGATCGAAGCCCATCACGGTGTGATCCACCAGGTCCTTGGGCAACGGCCACTTGTACACCTTGAGCGCGCCCTTGAAGCTGCCGACGATCCTCGACTCGTCCTCGGTCTCGTCGCCGGTCTTCTTGCCTCGATACAGCTCGAAGGTGTGCAGCCACTCCTTGAACTGCTCGAACTCGGGCTGCGCCTCTAGCTCGTTCGGGTAAATTTTCAGGAGAGCGGTCTTCTTGGAATTGTGCGCAATGTGCTTCGGGCTGAGCTTCGAGACGAACTTGGCCGCGTTCGCTGTTGACTTCAGGCCGAACAGCTTCTTCGTGGCGTTCATCCCGGGGCTCTTCTCGGCCGTGGCGGGCAGGTGGCTTTGCGCGACCGCGTCGTCCAGAAACATCGTCAGCGTTCCGTTCGGCTGATTCTGGAATATCGATTTCTCCTTGCGCAGCTCCTTGTTCTCCTCGATCATCGCCTCCACGGACGCGAAGTACTTGGTCCACCAGTCCTGGCAGCCGTCGCTGTCTTCCAACATGCTCAAGTCGCCTGAAAACGCAGCGCTGTCAAGCCTCCACCTTCGTATTCGACTCACTCGATTTTAGTTGAATAAATTTTCGCTGTTAATGTCTGATGATAAATTCTGATAAAGTCTGATAAAGTCTGATGATAAATACCAAGGACACGCGATAAAAATGTGCGATTTGAGATAATTATTAAATGGGATAATGATAAAACGGACGATTGAGAATTCCTTCTCGCGAACACACACCCATACTGTTGTCGTTGGCCAAGCTCTGCTTCCTGCGTAAATTCTGTTCGGTCTTGTCCTTCTTCGTGGATCCGCATCCAGGCTCGAATCCGAGGGTGATGATGGTGTCGCCGTTGTTAGTCTCCAGGTCGGTCAGCGATTCCGGCAGCGACGTTTGTTGGTATCTCGATTTCGACTGGTCGAGGGCTGCATCGAGTTTTTTTTTATTTTTATTCTTTTTATTTATATATAGCTGAAGATACTATAGCTGAAGGGAACGCTGCGGACTTAATCTAGAATCCACAACGAAGAGAGTGAGCGAGTGAGTGTCGACAGATCCAAATAATTACCCGTGCACTGCAGTTGATACAAGCTCTTCTTCCTCTCCTGAGCGTCCTTCGCTCTCTTCGTCAAAGGGTAGTACATGTACTTGTGAATCGAATTGATGGTATGGGTGCCGACGAGGGTGTACCTGCCGAAACTCCGGCAGTCCACCGCTCTTATTGTCAACGGCGGCCGATAGAGCTCCTGCTCGGGGAGTTCCAGCTCCAAGAACTTGATCGGCGTGTTGAAGTTCGGGTTCTTCTTCGCGTTCGCGATCACGGACGAGTAGAGAATGTGACCAGCACACTCGACGTCCACCCGCGGCTTGTCGACCGTCAGCAGGTGGATGCGCTTTAGGTCCCGCAGGCCCCAGAAGAGCACCTCGATCCTGAAATCGTCCGTAAGGCGCGACTGTCAGACCTTCCGGCTCGTTCGCTCGCAGCTTTCGCGAAAGTCACGTGTTACCGGTATTTCGACAAGGTAGGCCGGATGCCAACGGGCACCGGGAGAATCGGGCCTTGGTCTTGGCCGGAACCCGGCGTCTGAGATCCGCAGCCGGGGTCTTTGGGATCCGGCAAAGTCGGGAATCCAAAATCCTTCGTGGAGGGATGTTCCAGCAACTCAAACACCGCCAAGAGTTCGCCCGCTCTCGAGGCTCCTCTCGTTACCTCGTACCATTCCAAGGACGGCGGGTATTGCGGAGGAGTGTAGGATTCGGAGGCGAGTTTGACGTGGGGCCGTGCGATCGCCCGGCCGATATATTCCGACTTTCCCTGAAAAGTCACGTGGAAATTCCGGCGCGAACCAAGTTACCAAGTTGTCGCTGCTTGATTGTGTGTCGCACGAAGATGCGAGGAAAGAGCGTGGATAAGGAGGGCAGTGTGGTTTGAACTCGATAGACTCGAATTCACTTGCGTTCGAAGTATTCATTACATCGTGAGGAAACGCTAAGGGTCGAAGGTTGAAGTTTGCGCAAAGGATAGGCAAATATAGGTAGATTTTATTCATCGCAGTTATTGAAACACCTTCGGGCACACAGAAGTCAAATGCAGAAAAGTGATGGCTCACAAATAGTGGATATAACGATAATAACCTGTGTTTGTTTTGTTAACAGGAAGAAACATATCTTTCGGTTACATAAAAAATAAATAAACAGGATAAGGATAAAGATAAGGATAAGAATAATAATTCGTACAACGATATAAGTAAAAGTAAATAAGCAAATAATATTCTTTCTTTAATATTCTTTCTTTAATTTTCTTAAATTTCCTCTTTTTTCTTCCCTTACTTTCTTTCACTTTTTATCGTATGAGAATTTTCTTATTCCTATACTATTGTCTCAATCTCTGTACACCAAAGGGGTCAGACCCGTATGTTATTAACAAATAATTAAATAAATATTAAATAAAAAAGCGTTGTTATAAATAAAAAGACTATAAATTGAAGCGAAAGAAGTTTAATCAGAGATACGTTCTTGAAATCAACGACAACAAGTCGTAAATTTAATAGTAATGCGCGAGATTACGATACGAAATATACATATTAACATATTAATAAATAATATAGAGAAATAAAAATTTCGTTTGATAATCGAGAAAGGTGTAGTAGTGGTACACACATTGGCCCAGAGGGGCAAACAGTGAAAGAGAGAGGAGAAGAGTGAAACTGAGTGGCAGTAAGAAATTCGAGTGCCGTGCAGCAAGTCGAGTGTGTGTCATGCGTGTCTTGGGTGCGATTGGTCGAGTGTCGTACACGACGTGCGTCGTGTAACACGGCAGAGATCGATGTCGATCCGGTATAAATGTCAATATGTTGTATACAAACTGTCAAAGCAGAGCCCTCATGCAGTATTATGTCCATAGTTACAACATGACTCTGCAAAAGAAACGATTACGAAATCATAGAAGTTGCAATGCCGTCTACGAGCATTTCGCGTTTAATTAAGCCTCCCAATTAAGATCGAGCGTAGCATCGATGGTGAGTTCTTTTCTCGCGGAGAATTATTCACGAGCGAGCTCGGCGGAGCAAGGTAGCAAAGGTAGCGTTTAGAAAGACTGAAGTAAGCAAACAATCTCCGTCCCGTCGTCGCTGCGCTCAGCCCGGATGGACTCTCTCGACGAGTTTCTCCCTCGAAAGTGGATAGCAACGGAGAGACGCGGCTAAGTTGAGCAACACGAAAGATACGCACGCGAGAAGCGGTGGGAAAACGCTCAGACTCGCAGACTCACCACTTTGTCCTGATCGAACAGCTCGATGACGATGGACGGTGGGTCCTTTTTGATCTCCTCGGCAATGCCGTAGATCAGGATGTCGTCGAACAAAAGTAACTCGTCCCACGTCGGGCTGAGGGTCTCGTCGATCACCTGGGTGCACTTGCAGAACTCACCGCAGATGACCCTCGCGAATGGGTCGGAGAGACCGGAGGCGTCACTACCGATCAGCGATCTCGCTTGATACATGTGGGCTCGCAATTGAAATTTCTGCCGATCAATTCGGAACAGCGCGCGCACTTTCGTTACGCCTCTAATCGGACATCGCAGCCGGCGGAGCCACGGCTTGCGTGCGCAAACTACCGCAGTAATAAACGTAAGACGTAAACTTCAGCTGAAGAAACAATAAAGATGAGCTTTAGGTAAATCGCGTAGACTGTTCAATCCGAAGGAAGGAAGAAGAGACCGTCTAATTGAGATTCAGGCCGAGTAATCAGGATTTTATCTCTGTGACTTCAGTCGATCGAAAGTCACGATCATCCTCCAGGCAGAAGAGAAAATGGAGATAATAAACGAGAAAATAAAATCATGACGGAGAAGCGAGTCTTTATGCACACTTTCTCGTCATTTTCACGCCCATCGGAATGTCGTTGCAATTTCTGCCCCTGGCTGCTGTTAAATTTATCGTCACTTTTATTTTCTTCTGGAGTACGCAGACCTAAAGCAATATCCTGACTTCAGCTCAAGTTTACGTCTTACGTTTACGGTTACGGCGATTTATGTGCGCAGGATCTTACTCGTAAAAATACGCACGTGTTTCTGAGTATAGTGGATCACGGCGGGCGGCAATGCGCGTGGTCTGTCGACGTTCTTCAGCTCATTGCTGATCTCGTATCCCTTCGGCAGGCCTTGGATAAAGTACTTCTTGTGCTTGAGTATCCCCAGCCACATGTAGATCTGCAGCTTGGTCTGAATCGCCCATCCCGCTGGCCCGAATCTCTTTTTGCCTGGAAGCTACGCATGGAATCCGCTCGATCCGCGGGAATAGCGCGTAGCGATTCGAATCGAAAGTGCAAATCGAGTCAGCTGATTGCTCGGGAGATAAGATTGCAAGTGGTTTTTTTTTTTCTCCTCAAACAGTCTCTCTTCAACGACTTGGAAACGACTTCACTTTCGTTCGTGTTGGCGAACGATAACGGCGACGCGATTGTATTCTCAGCGCAACGGGGACGAATGCAATCGTTACTCTCGTCGTTACTTTGCACGTACATGTGGAATACATTTACACAGGACAGACGACAGCGGATTGAAGGATGAAAAGGAAGAATCTCTCGGCGAACAATGCAACGGAAATTGTAACGACTCGTTATCTCTCTTGTGAGTGATAACAAGCGGTAACGGTAACGAGATACTTTCCTCGGCGAGTAACGAGTGAGACGTTACGGTGAGATGTTACTTTGAGAGAAAATAACTTTCCCTTAACTTCCGAGTGTGTGCGCGCACACTTACCTTGAGGAACATAGTCTGCACTTTGCCGCAGTGCCGGCCGCATTCCTCGTCCACCACCGAGTAGATGAGCTCTCGGCCAGGTATCCTCTGGTACGCCAGCCGCCGGCCGGAGCTGATCACCCAGATGAACACATCCGACAGGGAGTCTTGCGGCTGCAAAGAGAAAAACCGGCAGTTCCATCTCGTGAAGCGGCCACGCTTTCGTCTGAACTCTCGCGCTACTGACATCCTCCACGAGGAACTTGAGCTTCTGCAGGTAACTGTGCGCGGTCTTCAGCCGTTCCTTGAAGCTGCTCTTGGTCACCAGGGCCTTGAGGTTGCGCGACATGATCCCGATGTTTTCCAGCTCCCGCTGACACAACTTCGTGCGCTCCTTATCCAGCTTGGTCTTGCCGACACCCGGGCCGGTCACGCTGGACTTGCTGATGCTGACGTAGCGATTGCAGTTGGCGCTCAGCTCCTCCAGGGTGGTCTTCAAGAGTTTCTCGCACGTCGAGTCCTCCAGGTGTGACTGCACCTCCGACAATCCCTCTTCCTGGAACGGAAGTGGTCGGTCTTGTGCAAATCCACTTCGCCGCGGTTCTCCGCGCCTCGATCCCCGCGCGCCACTTTGACCCAGCAACAATTGTACCTCTACTCTTCTCCCAAGGGAGAACGGATGTGAGCTTTGGATAATATATCTCGCGAGCTACTCGAATTGACGGGATAACACGAAACATCGGAGAAATATATGATAAATGATTCGGGTCGCTTTCTGTCGGACTGAATATATGATTGTTATATATTTTATCCAAACTTAAAATATTTATAATTCTGGTCACGCCAGTGACATGTTTTTTATTCATTAAAACATAATCTTTCCCTGAAAGGAGACCAAGCGAAGAATTTGCAAAAATATCGCCTCTCAACAGTCTAAAGAAAATCAATGAATCGATCATCAATTCTTCGGAAACTAAAGACGTCTCACAATTTTGTTCTCTCTTAAATTAAATTTTGCCTCTGAGTTTTGCCGAATGACGAATAATACTTGAATAATAGCTGTATAATTAATTAAGCCAATATTATTTATCAGCTAATATTATTTAGATTTATTAGTCGATTAATAGTTGTATGGTAATATAATTAATTAGCACATGAAATAACATTCCGACTTGAAAATGTCACGGCCAACTGAGTTCCCTACTGTCGTTCTGCGGCGGTCAACTTGTTGAAACCGCGAGCTCTCACCAGCTTGTCGACGATCCTGCCGATTATATTGCTGTTGTACATCCGACGTCTGTAATCCGGCCATACGCTTCTCACATGAAGACACGGCTTGTCGTCCCAGTACGGCAGAAAATAATAAATCTTATCGTGCGTCATCGGCTTATTAGCCGGCGTGGTGCTCTGCCAGGAGCCGCTGAGCACCTCCTGCAGGTCCTCCTCCTCCGTGGTCGCGCCACCCTTCGATCCCATCTCGCACATCTGCGAAAGCGAAATAGAGCTCTCTAGAGACAAAATTGGAGTTCTTTCCCCCCCTCTCTCTCTCTCTCTCTCTCTCCTTTCTTCGCGGAATTTCTCTCTTCTCTCCTCCGCTCGTCGAGGAATACTCGACCGAGAAATGGGAAGAATTTTCTCGGGGGAAGTTTCCTTCGGCTGAGGAATTCCTCCGAGGAGACTGCTTCGCTGTCGGGCAATTAATTACACGGGATTCCTCACCTTGAAACTCTCGTTGTGGCCGTCGAGAGCGTTGCCAGCGTTGCCGATTGAGATCTCGAAGTACATCGGCTTGTCGCCGAGCTTCTTGTCGATCATTGTCGCGTCCATGATCGTCGCGAACAAGAAGAACTCCTCGTTCCTCGCGTAGGCGGTCTCGTTGATTGGCACCGTCGGCTCCACCTCGACCTCCGACGGTGCCATTTCCACGTTGTCGCTGATCTCGGTTCGTATCGCTATCAGTAGCCTAGCAATGCAATTGTTCTCCTGTTATTATCGAATACACCGTGGGAATAACGAGGGAAACTCGCGAGACCTCCTTCTGCCGCTCTTTGTGTCGTGCCGAGAGGGAGAAAACCAGCGGACTTCCGTGTTCTAATAACGATAATATCGCGACCTTGCCCTGTAGGAGATCCCTTCACCCAGGCCGGTGTTCAACGTCGAGTGCTCGTCTATGAGGCTGTAATCTCGGATGCTGCCGTAAAGATGGATAAACGCCGGGCCGAAAGTGGGTAAGAAGCCTTTCTCGCCGTCGTTGCTTATCTGCTTCAGGTCGACGAAGTGTGTGCCGATGACAGTGGCGTGCACAGGGTCGTTGTCGCACAGTTGTATTTTTATCCTCTGACAAAGGGGCGGAAACATCTCGGTGAAAACGATCTGCTCGTTCCAAACCGGGGCGTAGCTGTGCCTCTTCACGCTGGTTTTCCCCTGAAGTGTCAGAAACAGAAAAATGCTGCGTCGTCCCCGTGTGTGACGCCTGGAGCACTCGACAACGCTGTTGATTGCGTTCCACACGTTGCGGAAACGCAGCCGTCTCGGATTAATTGAATTTCCCGTTGTGGCAAATTTTCCAGCGAGCGAGCGAGTGCGAAAGTTCACAGTTTAATCTCCAAGCCTTTCAAGTTCTTCCGTCTCATGCCTGTTTCCGCCAACGTCCATTAAAGCTTTCCGAGCTAAGTTCAAACTCTACTCTACTTAGACAAAGACTTAAAATTCAATTTCAGGTTTAATGGACGTTGCTGAAGAAACGGGTACAAATCGAGTTCGCCACGTGGACGCGTAGGTCTTACGCTCAGCCCGGCGAAGGACACTTGGACGTATGGGTCCACCAGGTCCTTCACTTCCCCGGTGAAAGCCTTCTTCACGTTCGCCATGATGCTGCTGTTCATCTTCGGCAAACCGTCGGCCCTGTAAACCTTCACGACGAATCGAGCGCGTTGTCTCTCGATCGGCACGCCGTCCGGCAGCAAAAGGTTCCCCTCGATATCATCCTCGTCCTTTTCGCTCTTCGGAGGTATCTTCACAGTGTCGCCCTTGCCGATGACGCTTATGTCGCACTTCAAGTAGCCCTTGGGTCCTCCAGTTACGTCATCGGGATCGGTGAGCAGGGCCCATTTGTGGTAGAACTGATGATCTACGGAGAAAGTCATCCATCCGTGACGCACAACAATTTTCCGGAAGAAGAGGGAGAGAGAGAGAGAGAGAGACAAAGATAGACAGACAGAACGAAAGAGAAAAAGAGAGATACAAAGAGCAGTTGAACATTAAATCGAGGAGTTTACCCTGAAAGAGCGAGTGAAGGAATAATGACATTATTTTATTTTCTTCCTTTCGCTTTGATATGAGAGCAGACTCCTCGACGTATGAATATCACATTTACGATCAAACAAACAATTACAAAACTGTAGACAAGGAGGATAGCTGAGAGTCGAAAAGAAATCTGCAGAAAGCCACCCGAGGATCTCGTTTCATTCTCCACGAGGAAACCCGCAATAGCATCTCCTTTTGACTTTGATGTCTTTTAATTATGATTAATTATGATTTAATTATGATTTAATTATGATGTCTTAATAATTATTTATATTATACAGTCTGAGGTGAAATAAGAAATATTTATTTTTTTTTTTTAAAGAGCTCTGTCGCAGATTTAGGGAGTAAAATGTAACGATTTATTGCCTAAGAGGATTTGTTACGATTTATTAGAAAAAGAATTGACTGGGACATATCTGCAGCTTTTTGTGTATTTTCGTTGTTTGTCTTCACATTGGAACTACCGGCGACTAAAGCGACCTGCTTCTGCGATCGAAATGGAAGCTTTTTAAAAAAGGTTTTATGTAATGGCAAGAATGTTCATCCATTTGTCTTCGTTTTATACAACGTTCGTTAAAGATACCTATAAAATGCGTTGCTACATAAATTGAGTAATTTTTGCCAGAAACTACAAACCGACTTTATCATTTTTTATCGCTTGGTAGTTCTAGCGTTAAAGTTCCAAGTGAGTGGAAATTATATCTCCTTTACATCTTGCTCTAATTAAATTTCTTCTCCAGGCGGTGAAAGTGCTATCGAGATAACGCGATCTTGTATTAAGGTTCGCATGTGGGAAATATTTATATGCGCCCTTAACCGCTGAGTATCTAGTCAAAGATTCTTCGTAAAATTTCGCGGAGTTTGGGAGAAACTTTATCACCGGCGAATATTTCGCGGTTCTGAGATACCGAAGAAAAGTCCTGCGTGGAGGTCATATTCTTGCTCCATTGTAGGTGCTTTCGGAGAGACTACGTCGTAGTTACGTAGTTGCATAATGGTTCCATAGTCTTGGAAATATTTTTATCGTTTTCTTTTCCGCTCACATGACCTCTATGTGCGCTTATGTCCATACCGTTGGCTTTGAGGAGTCGAATTTCCAGTTTATAGAAAGGACATCTCAAGAGTGCTTGGTTAAAAGGGCATTATTTTTAATGTTTGAACTATATTGCGATAGATTTCGTTATATTTCGCGATGTGTGTATCTGTAAAACTTCAAATCTCTTTTGAAATTTGCATGCGTTTTATTTATCCTGTGAGATTATTTCTTTAAATTTTGCGTCTTTCCATTTATCCTTTCCCGTTCATCGAATGTGTGTTTTTCTATCCACGATATGAAATTATCCTTCGCAGCACAACACATTTCATTCCGTTTCATCTGTAGTTTTTAAACTAGTTATATTATCGTAAGCGTATCCATTTATAATAAAAGATACAACACCTCTAAAAAATCTAGGAAGCGTATTGTGACGCACATTCGAAGACGAGAAATTTTCGCTCAAGACATTTTCTTTCCACTTCTCGTCAGTTAAGAGACGAGTTTCCTCAGAGACATAAAATCCGATTTCTCTCAAAGGGAGACTATTTTACACTCTAAGCCCGCGATTAAGCACTTACTAGGAGATACGTCTCTTATTTTATTTTGGATTACAATCAACTCTGAAGAAAATCAGAGAGGGCACACCATTGCGGATTTCTCAGCTAAAGCGCACGAAATGGCGAAAAGAATAATCCGGTGCTTCTTGCTTAACTCGTAGCTCCGCTCCCGTGGGTTCGCTTCTTTCTGCAGAGTGCATTTTAATAGAGAAACCTCAGCAACAAAGTAATACAAACGACTACCTCGTCCACTCGGTACTTCTCACAATGTGCCTGATGAAATACCTCGTCCAAGAGCCGCGCGTCTCACGCATCACCGAAGAAAAATATCACCGGGTTGCGAATCGACGGGTTCATTAAAACGAGTGTAATAAACCAACATACGTTTCATGTTATCGCACGCGCTGCGATAATCGTGTGCGATGACAAATCGGTGCGAAACATTGGTCCACCTACCAGAAATAAACGCACAGCATCCGGTTGTAACGTCAAACGCGCGTGCGGGTATTATGCAAATTTAAAGCAATTAAACAGAAAAAAACGATCACGCCTTTTACGACAATCAAGTGAATTTTATTCGTGACCTCCGCAGTCGCGGCGAATCGTCACCTTAACGAAATTCATTAAAGTATCGATTTATGACCGCGATATTACCCCCCGACTCGTGGGGCAAGAATAAAACGGACGGTTTCGAAGTGTGCATATTAAACAGGCGTACGTTGTAGCAGCCGGATCGCCTCTCGCGTTCGCGTTGCAGTTGCGAGATTTCGTGCATTGTAAGGAAAAGAAAGTTTGTGAAATGAGAGCAGTCGCGAAGAAAGATCACAAGTCTCTCGACCGTCCAAACACGCTCTATTCGATCGGGCTCCTTAAGGGGACTTAAGGGGACTGAGTCAGATTACTGAAAAATCGTGCTTGTTTTTGATAATATTTTGTGACGAACCGAATGAATGTGCAAGAATGAAAATTTTAGATATAATTATATAACATATGAAAAGTAGAAAAATTCGGTTTATTAACAAATACTCATATAAATATAAGTCCACTTGAATTTTAAACGCGTTTCTCTCGAAATTTTATTGTTCAACTTTTTGCAGTGATTTCTCCGAAACTGAGCTTCGTATCGATTTGAAATTTTAAAGCAATAATACTTGGTCATCTGGCTCTCAGGTGAACCATAGACAACTCCGTCGAAATATTTCATTTTGAGATATTAATTTTTTTATTGTAAAAGAACTGAAGAATTTGAATTTTTTCCTAATAATAGCTGCCCTTTTGTTGATTTTGTTCGATTTTTTTGTATAGTGCTTCACCGGATAATGATGAGCCTCCTTAAGATTTCTAGCTAAAATTCGCTCTGATCGGACCACCGAGAGCCGAGATATTACTGCAAAAACGACAACTTGAAAAAAAAAAAAAGGAGAGTATATTTCAGCTATATATATCGTATATTTATATGATTATTTGTTAATAAACAAAATTTGTCTACTCTTCACATGTTGCATAAATATACCTAAAATTTTCATTCCTGCACATTTATTCAGTTCATCGCAAAATATTGTCAAAAACAAGCACGATTTTTCAGCAATCTGATCTTCCAGTCGCCTTAAAGGGAGAATTATATGCGAAGCAAACTGTTTTCAATGGACTTGAAATTTTTATAGTATATTTATTAACGTTCAAAGTATAAAATAAATTTATTACTATCTATACGGAAAGTGAAATAAAATAAAATAAAATTTTAAACGCGTTTATCTAGAAACACTATTTTCTTAAACTGTCGACATGATTACGTAAAAACTACTGTACCGAATAACTTGAAATTTTTATTATAATCTTTATTATAATTTATTATAATTTTTTTAATATACATGTAAGTAGACATGTAATTTTCGCCCCTACCTTGAACACGGTTATATTTTATTTTATTCATTTTTTTAAACATGATTACAAGTTGAAAAAAGTTTCATTTTCGATATTTTTCTTTTGTACAGTCATTGTCTTTCCAAACTTGGCTTCATTGCCTTCATTTTCGTACGGGCTATAATGGCAACCATATATTTTAAAAATCTTTCTCATTTTTTGGTTTCAGAGTGGTGAGAGGCCCGAAATTATGTCGACAGCGAACACAGAGCTCGCAAATGGATAACTGCATTTTATCTGCAATTACAAATTGGATCGGTTCTTGCGATTGAATAAAATTTATTTTATACTTTGAACAATTATGAATACACTGTGAAAATTTAAAGTCCGTTGATCTTACCGTTTCTGTTGAAAAAATTCGTAAAAATAGCCATGAAAACGGCCTTCCGCATATAATTCCCCCCTTAACCGGCAGGATTAATCATATCGGTAGCGGCCGTTGCACACGAAAGTTCATTCGTCCACGGACGATTTATTACACCGGCGTATAAAGGAAAAGCCATAAAATTTGTAACCGTGCCACACGCGGGCCTTTAGCGCGTGCGAGAGTGCGTGGGTCAGGATTAGCTGCCTTTTAGGCCGTACACACATTCACGGAACATGGACACATGCGCAGCGGGAAACACCGTGTCTGTATATGTGTGTATGTACGTATAAAGATGAAAAGCCTAGCACATGCGAACGCGACTCGCGATAAAAATAGATTGTGTCCGCGCTTCGTAAAGAATGTCAGACGGGACAAACGATGACGGACATTTCGCCGGCGGGCGCCTCGCCGTATTGTTTTCCGCCTAACGATCTCCTCCGTAACGCACGTAGGTCTACCGGTCGATCGATCGCGCGGAAGGATTACGTGCAGGATCAGAGTGAGGAAGCGCGTCATTGGAAAACGCGTCGCGCGCTGGGTCGACAGGATAAAGTTTCCCGCGGCGCGCGAGGGACACCCACGAGAAGTCTCAGATATCCTTCCACCAGGTGGTCCGTTCGCGACTACTAGGTGTGTCTGTTAGTCGTTTATCGTTATGCGCAAAAACTCCGTGAGTACACGACTATGTGGATGTCTCTCGCGTAATGGATATTCTAAGAATGGCCGGACGCGTCTTCTTAAAGTCAACATTTTAAGATTCTTGCGTATTGTATCCAATCGCTAATGACGCGCTAAAGTCCTCCGCGTTAATAAAAACGACAGTAATAAGACAAGCGTTTTATACGGAGGAAAAAGTTTGTTCGAGTTGACGTAACGCGGAAACGGGGAGCGAAATCTTTACTTCTTACAAACCTTTGGCTCTCAGAGCCAGAGATTCTGTCTCTTTTGGCCAATACGCGTTCGGTTGTTTCATTGTGCGACAAGAAAGAGGAAAGAGACACGAGAGATAGAATTGTATACCGTATTTGTAGACTAAAAAAGTTAACGGAGATCGAATTTTCCTTCGAGAAACGCATTACACTGATTCTAATTGATTATACCGTGTACGCGCTTCTCATATATATAGATGAAAATGCGAGATGTATATATACCCGTCGCAGCTGAAGGACATAATCATTAGAAAATAAATTAGCACATAAATAGACTTGGAACTCTTTAAAGAACGTCATTGTTTAATAAGAAAGTACAGTAAGTATCGGAATACACTTTATCGGAAAATTCCTCAAGTTACAGCCGCGAAGTTGAGACAGGAGACCGAGAGGCAGAGAAATAGAGAGAGAGAGAGAGAGAGAGAGAGAGAGAGAGAGAGAAAGTTAGCGGAAATTTCGCGTTAGACGATAATAGTTTATAACAAATTTTACTTGTCCCCAAGTTGCCGCGAAGTTGCGCCGCGCGAAAGGACGAGAAAAAGGTCTTTCTCTCAGACACGCGGCTCTCTTCGCGAAACTCGCAGGCGAAATGCAAAGGATGACATAGTAAAGGAGAGACTCTTCGTTGTGTCGGTAACGAAATGAGAAAGACACACGTCGCTGTTACATACCGAGTATTCGTACTCGAGTGCACACCTAAGAACTTAGTCCGCGACAGTCGTTGTCGTGCGAACGACGAAATTTGCGTGTCGAATCGTCAAGTGTCAATTTTTCTGGGCGACAAGACACCCTCACGAGTCGGATCGGAAAAGTCGTTGCCGCGGAAATAATTCACCGGAGAATTCACTTCTCGGTACGATCGTGATTATATAAAGATTGAAATGTTCCGATCCAAACGTGTTGAAAATTAGTTTGCACACACACACACACACACATATGTACATACACCTTTGTGTTTTCAAGAGCTATCATTGACCCATAGTTTAAGTATATTATGTATGCTTTTTTCCTCTTTTTATCACATGAATTTTATTACATCAATTGAAATATCATAAATAAATCATAGGTATGTGCGTGTGTGTGTGTGTGTGTTAAATATTCCCAAGTATTGCTCGCGAACGTGCAATTTCCAATAAATGACATATGATATGGTATGTTATGATACAATAACACGTTATTTGCACAGGATGTGTACTTGGTAATTCGCATGTCAGATACAAGCAAGCGCGACATATTTCTTCTTTTCCGGAGTCGTCGAGTCAAGGGATAAAATTCCGAAGTGTGCACCGCGAGCATTGGGATCGTCTCCGATCCCTTAGGACGATGCGAGACCTGTACCTGGTTGTGCCCATACCGTCGCGATGTCTAACTTAAAGATGCCCAGCGTTAGATTAGCGCGCAAGAGATTCCGCGATTGCTGCACCTGCGTATTACCAAAAGATGTGCTGTTTGAGCGATCCTCCACATCTCCTTCGCGCGCTTTGCAATGTTCTCTCAAACGTCACAAGCGCCTAAGTCGTCACCGAGTGGAACTTAAACCCCCGGCGGGATTTAGACACGCTTCTCCGCGCGAGTCTCTCTTCCTCGACAATCCATTCCCGATACTCATTTAAATGCCCCGCCGGACGTAATCGCGGCTCGACAAAGGCTCGACACGGAGCGTAATTATCGCGCTTATATCTCGAATTTATGTACACATCGAGAGCACATCGGCGTGCAAATTGATTCCTGCCGCTTGCGAATGGAGCTTGCGAAAGAAAAACACGTAAGGCGCTATTTGCGCGGGAAACTTACCGAGAGCGTGATGATCTTGTCGAAGAGCATGACGGGCGGCATGTGGAAATCGAAGACGAAATACTGGAACAAGACGAAGAGCGGGGTGAATCGCGGCTAGGCTAACAAAAGGAAACAGAACAAACTGCGTGAAAGAAAAAAACAAAAAAACTGAAAAATTGGGGCCAGCAGATGAGCGTTTTTATCGTAAAAAATTCTGCCTCATCTTTAAATAAATGATGCTAATATTCCGAGCAGTTCGGGGTGCTCTTCGAGTTATCGCAAATACCCCGCTATCTGATTATTTTCGGCATTACCTGGATCGTCACGGTTGATCTTGAAATAATTCCAGAAATCAAGTACCGAGAATTATCGGAGTATCATTCACTGAAATTAGACTGACCTTCCGTCTTCTCGACTAACAGACTTGCTGTGTAACTGCGCTGTGTCACGCAATGGAGATTCCACGTAGGAATGTAAAACGCAAACAAACTCAAAATCTTCCGGAACGCTATTCACGGTTATTAAACATTCCCACAGTCCCGCAACACTTCTAGGTGGGCGCGGCGATTTCGGATTTTCCGAGCGCACGAGAAAATCCGACTTGAAAATAATTCAGTGATAAGCAACGAAGAGAGTCTGCTTCTGCGGCATTTCTAAGAGCGCGCACTATCATCGGCGACTTTGGATATTCAGAAGGCCGGAGGCTCGTTATCCGGAGGCGGATGTTACCCCCTTCCGACATTTTTAGCAACCGAATAATAGTCATTAAAGAACGAGTAGTCACTCGAATGCCAACCCGAATGCCACGAAAGCCACTCGATTTATATGCACGGCGCCAACTCCAATATCCAAGTTCGCTGAATGACTTGCAGCGCGCGCTCGCGAGCTCGGCTCCTTACTTCATTGTAGTACGGACAATTGGTGGACTCCTTGACGCTCGTGTACTTGCGTTGATCGCCGACCTGCACGCACACCACCGGATCCATATTGAGCCCTGCGAGCTGCCTCGCCTCGATGATCGTCACGCACACCTGGTAGTCCTGCGCCTTCAAGGCGCTGTGCCCGGCGTCGCCGGTCTGTAAAAGGAGAGTGAGAGGAACACGAGGTCGCTTGCAGCGAGACGAGCAGGACGGGGCAGCCCGGGTGAGCAAGGGCGCGGCCCTCACCGGCTAGGATCTTTGCCTTTTAATAAACGACTCACGGCGTTGTGACGGACAACGCGACAACGTTAACGAGCGGCGCGTCAAGTCAAAGGATGAGGAGAGATCGATGCAGCGTCGAGTCGCACGATATTTACCGAGACAGGAGTACCTCGCTCCGCGTTAATGCTTCACGAGGTTAGCGCTACGCAACCGAGAGCGCCGTCGTAAAAGGAGCGACACGGTGACGCGTAAAAATTACGCTCCATCCTTCGCTCCGCTGTTTACTCCCGACCCCTTCGAGAGAGAAGTGCTTCATTGCAAATTCTTTTCATTCGTAGACGATACGCAGCGCACTTATGGAGATCGCGAGCCAACAGCAAGCGGCTCGTTAAATGTTAGATGATTTACGCACTCTCGTTAAACATTAATAGGTGTCGCGATATGAGATCGTTTTTGCAGCGCTATACTTTGAAGCTGAGTGCGTCATTGTCACTCTAGGTTTCCCGTCGTTCTCAGTCACGTCATCTGGCGTGTTGGAATCTATCACGCGCGTAATTTAATGATGAAACTTGAATTAAACGGCAAGAAACGCGTGAGAGCAACGGAATATATTTTACGCGCGTAAAAATAACACGCTTGCATTCGCTGCGTATAAACGCGAGCAATGACGTATGAACATGACAATGCAAATTGTTAATCGTCATTAATTAACCTTTGGCTTCGGTCTTTTGGCCGGCTTCAGGGCCGCCTCCTCCTGATCGTGGCTGACGCTCAGCTGACTGTCGTTATCGGACGCGTTCGTCTCGAGAGAAGTCATGGAGTTCGTCCGCGACGGCTCGTTCGAAGTCGGGCAGCTGGAGTCCCGCCTGTCGAGGAGCTCTTTCGTCTCCGAGTTGCTGTCGCAGGAGCGCGCCCGCGGCGGCCTCTGCTTCCCCAATTTCAGGAATGATCGCATGCTCCTCAAAGTGGTGCTTCTGCGGGGAAGCCGTAAAGGGGAGCCGATGTTATCAGCGAGCGGAGCTTCTTCTTTTCGCAAAGTAATTCTCTCGCGATTGTTACGCGAGGAATACCTTCGAGGAGTATCGATCGGAGAAGTGTAATTCAGCGCGACGCTCGATGATCGTTGAGATCGTTGAGATTTCAAGACCTTCGGGTGATCTATCGAGGAGAGGAGAGGAAAAAGAGCAAGAGAAAATGCTCGTGTCTCGCGCATGCCGAAGGTCATCTCTTCTGCCGTCAGAGAGATTAAAGATATTACCGGTACTATTATTATTATTATATTATGTCTTCCTTTCAATCCTATTTCAGGGAGACTATTGCAGGAGACTTTGTTTCAGGCTGCCCGCTTTGGTTCGTGTGCTCTGCGCGGGACAAATATAACTTTCTTCTCAGGACAGTAACGCGATAGCCGCTTACTAGCGCGTCACGTTCATATCAGTCCCCGTTTCTCGCCGACGATCCGTCGTAACGTCGTTCCTCCTGAGCTGTGATGCCACTGAAATCCCGCTCGTAATCATAAGCGCACGCATCAGCGGATTAAAGTGTTCAGAAATGTAAATTGAATCCGCGAATGTTTCCTACTGTAACGAGCAGCTGTCAAACAGCGACAGAGAGACGCGCGCGAAAACGAGGCTCTCTGAATGTTTCAATGTTGCACGCCGTCGAGCGAATTCGAGCTATATACGAGGAGGGAAATGCGTAGGAAAACTTGTTTCAACATATTCGATATGATAAATTTATTATCGCTCGAAATTATATATACGTTTACTCATCAACGCGTCGACCGGCCTGGCTGGTTGACTCTGATTATTTCAACGCTCGATTCGGCATTGAATCGGCAAATGTGCGGTGGATAAATTCGCGACGCGTATATTTCGTTAGCTCGTTTCATTAGTTACCTATCGGCTGTGCAGCGTTTCATTCGTTAACGCAATTAATTACGTTTCGCATGTAAATTAATGAGACGCGATGATATTAGAGCGCCGTCAGCTGGCGACCGGTAGAGGATAAAATGTATACAAACGGATGTAATTTAACACACGCGTGGCGACTGCCTTGGAGCGCAATTCTGGGCAACTTCGAAACAAGCAAGCGAATCCACGTTGCCGTCTTCCGTCGTAACATAATTTTGTCGTTTTCAAGTCCCCCAGAATCCCGAAGTGTGTCCCACATCCTCAGTAACATCCTGCGCGCGTTCCTCCTCACGAGTCTCCTTAATCCTCACAATTTTTGCCTGAGGGAGAGACCAAAGTCCCGAAAGAGATTGCATGCAGTGATCCATCGGACCGAAAGCGCCGGTGGAACTTTCCGGTCCCGTAAGTCGGGCTGAGATTGACACGAGAGTCCCCCCACGTGTCTCGGGACACACGTCGCATCCGTTCCATCGCGACCCGATCCTTCATCGATTACACCACGGCGGCGACCGGGAGTCGTGGGCGGCGGTTTCGCCAACGGCAACGTGTCACGCGGTGTCGCACGATGTCGCCCATACGGACGGCCACGAATTATGTCCTCGGCCACGTCGTCGTCGACGAGGGAGGTAACCGGAATTACCGCGGCGCTCCCAGGAGCATTTAATACGCCGAAGGAGCCGGCGTTCGCGAGGCGATATAAAAAGCATCCTCCGCTCTGCGTCCGGTCGACGCGCCGGGTTAATCCTAATAATAGCCGATAGCCAATACGCCGTGAGTCACATCTTCTTCATTCGAAGAGCCGGTGGGAGTACGAGAGACGAGAGGCTGTCGGACGAAGATGAAGATCGATTGCCGCGAGCTCTTGACGAAACTCGACGACAAAGGGCCGGCCACCTCGCGCAGCGACTGCCTGGGCATTCTCAGGGCGGAGAGAGTGCGTAGGGTTAAAATTTCCCTCGCTCTCCCTTCTTTGTCATTACCACACACACACACACACACACACACACACACACACACATATTCGCAGCAGTAATACGCCCCGTTATTGTCGCGTGCCCCGAGAATCGGGTCTTTTTGCGTTCTCACCGCGTCCCACCCTGACCTTTCCGTTCCAAAGAGACTCAGCCCGATCGCAAGCGCCACGATAATGAACTTAAACGCATCACCGATCAGTCTCCCATTATAAACGGCCACTCTCGTTATAAACGGTCGCTTCACGTTTCAATGATGCGACGACGCGGGTCACGTAGTTACGACACGACGCTAATGACGTCGTCCTTAGCGCGTCGGGCTCGATGTGAGCGGCCACTTGAATGAAGGGAAAAATAACCTCGATCATATTTTTCGTTCATTTATCGTAGCGTTTATTCTGCGCACGCGTTATGAGCGAGCGTTTTCAATTACTATGATGTCGACGGTGAAGGAAAGTGTGAGAGAGAGAGAGAGAGAGAGAGAGAGAGAGAGAGAGAGAGAGAGAGAGAGAGAAAGTAGAATAGAAGAAGAGAGAGAATAAAAAGCGGGAGCTCTTAACGGCACGGCACGGCACGGCAAGGCAAATATTAGATTACGATCATTGCATTGCATTTGAAAGAGCGCGCAAGACCAATTTTTTTAATAGCGGTCGCTCTGAATTTCAGCAAATATAAGGACGAACGCGAGCGCGCGCGTGTTCGGCCGCCCAAGCGTAACGTTATTTGCCGTAACGGTAATTCAATAGCGTCTGGTGCTTTAACCCTTTATCGTTTGGTGTGTTAAACGGAGTTAACAACTTAATACATAATTGCAGCCTGCCGTTCCGGCCCACAGAGAGAGTATTCCCTCCTCCCCTTCTCTCTTTTCCTGCTTCCCTCCATTCTTCCTGCCTCTCGGTCTCACCCTTTCATTATGAAACTCTGACGTAGGAGTCGATGTAAATATTTCAACGTTGCGTTGATGTATTCTCATCTTGAAGTTCCGTTTATAAATACATACGAAAGCACACACACACACACACACACGTTGCCCCTGATAAATGCAATTATTAAACAGCAGCGATGTGTAGTTTCGTGCGGATGCAACGTAACGAGACCGATGATTGTCGTTTCGTCGCGCACTACTGAATGCCACGCAAAATATTATTATTACCATTATTATGATTGTTGTTATCATTAACCCTCCGATAGGCGTGGTTTCCTGATGTCAATGTATTTCTCGTGAATATGAATAGGAAATATTCATGTTTACAATGTTTGATCTATGTTCACACGTGCATACGCGCATACCGAAAGTAATCTTACCCGGATTAGGTTCTATTACTAAGTACCGCGAGAATATTGCACGTATCAAGAATGGAATCGTATTTGTCAGGCACTCCGTTTGTCGGAGGGCTAAATTGATTCAGGCCGAGCTGAAACCCGACGACGAAGAATCGCGATGACCGTCACTCACCGCTTCCGATCGGGAGACTTCTCGCCGGCCGCTACTGATGCACCCCTCGGCAGAAAGCCCTTTTTCGACGTTTTTTCGGGGGTGTGCCATGATCCTCTTCTCTTGCTGCCTGCAGCGCCGCTGCTCGCCTGCTCGAGGCTCCTCTCGAGATTCGCGATGTTCTGCTCGATGTCGATCAGCATCTGCTGCTCGTCTTCCATTATTTCCGTGGCCGCGTAGGAGCTGCAACCTTCGTCCGGGGGATTGTATCGAATTTCGAAACACACCACCGCCTGCAACATGCACGCACACACACGAGCACGCGCGCGCCCAATCGCACGTTAGAGAGATCGATCGGCGATGGACGTTAGAATAATCGATGGATGGAGATGCGCGCGAAATTCGTTTTTCGCGCGCATCTCCATCCATCGCGCGAGATCGCGACGGCTGCCGGGGAGGAAGATCGCGATTCGCGATAGTCCTCCGGGAGATGATACGTAACCGGGAAAAATGCCGAGCAATTTTCAACATCGTCGGGAATGTCGGGGAGGCTTTCGGGAAAAATGGAGAACCTAACTCATCGTGCGGCGGAACGGCGAGATACAACGTCGTGCTTTCATTGTTCCCTGAGAAATGGAATGTGGAAAAAGTGAGAGAAAAACGGTGAAACGGAGAGGGCTCGGAAACGCAATAAAAGGGACGAAGTCTAACTGTCTTATCGCGATACCTTCTTACGAAGTCGCAGTTGCGACGTTTATGCGATGTAACGGAACAGATCCAGCGCGGAGGCGTCAGAAAGAATCTCATCCCGTCGGGAAAACGACACAGAATCGAGAAAATCTATTCTCGCATTCGCGTTTTCCCGAACGACCTCGATTTCAACAGACATCGATCTCGTTCGCGTGGATTCAGACGCCGCGACGAAAGACTAGCCATAAAGTTCGCGTATCCCGCCGCTCACGCATAATTACGGAGTCAACACCCGGGATGAGCTCGGAATTTTACGAATCAGCTGAAAGTTTAATAGGTTTTGTTGAATTCGCAGAAAGTACTTCGCATATTTGCACGGTCAACTTCGTTAGCTCGTTGCGTCTCATCTCGCGAAGACGGACGTTTCGCTTTTTCATCGCGAGCGAAGGAGAAGGAAGAGGAGGAAATTGAGAGGACTTCCATCGCGAGTGATTACATGTAACATGACGGCGAGCACACGCAGCGGCGCGTTAAATACCACGTGATAAAAATAAGCCGAGGAACACAGTTGCCGACGCGACGCGACGCGACGCTGAGAGTTCTCGATAGCGTGAAAAAGTCGATTCTACGGGATTTCTCGTCCACACGACGAATTCAATACACGCCGTGACAGTGATTTTGCTCTGTTGCGTATTTCCAACAGTTGCGCAAGCGGCCGGCCACCACGACCACCGCGACCACCGCGAGCGCTCGAGGCGAACGCGTGGGAAAGAGGAAGGAAACGGGGCAACTGAATTTTACAGAATACGTAAAATTGTTCGAATTAACCGACATCGAGCTGTTTTTTACCTTCCGCGCATTTTTACTTTGTGAAACTTGATTTCATTGCACAAACATCCTACCTGGGTGGTCACGGAGGGACGTTGATGCGTGGGATATCCCGCGATAAAACACGCGAAACAGGGCGGAGAAATAATTGATCTTCTAATTTTTCAGCGATTCTCCCAAGTGACTGGAGAAAACGGAAACTCCCACGCTGGAGAAGATTTATCCCGCTATATCAAGATTGAGATCTTTAGAAAGCTAGACGTGTCGCTAGACGTTGATCGTAATAACTTGAACAACATTTGTCTCGTTTCTCTTTTCCATATATTTTCTACGTACGCGGGATTCCGATTCAAAGCACGTCGAAGCAATTCTGCTCCGAAAATACATTTTTTGAAATATTGGATATTCTCCTCTATCTATTTTTTTTTGTAACTTGATTAAAAATTACTGTCATTCTGTCGTGCCAAATTTCATCTCCTCTCTCTGTTAAATAAAAAATCTATCGACGGCTTTTAAAGGTCTGTTTTTCTTAATACGGTGGGGCACGCCATAAAAAAACCAATATGAATAAAAATTATTATCAGAGGCGATATAAATAAAACGAATGAAAATGCAAATTTATTCCGCCCACGGAGAACGAAAGGGAAGAAAACAGCGCTATTACAAAAATATTAAAGGGAAACTCGCACTTTGTATGCTACGTTTTACAAGCGATTCCGGCGGATCGTCGGAAGGTGAAGCGCTTTGTTCGGAATACAAAACAGCGACTACGTATGCAACGGTCCGACCCGATATATCGGAACGTACCGGAAGCGGTTTGTTATTGAGGTCAACTAAAGAGTCCGAGACCAGGATCCGGCCCTCCCGCACCACAGTCTGCAACACCAGGCCGTATTTCGCCGCGACTTTTTCATTTCTCAAGACCCCTCGCGACACAACTGCCAATTGCAGTACCTCCGCTTCGTCCACTGGCCGCCCTAAATTCCATGTGAAGCTCTGAAATACGAGGAAATTAATTATTTAGAACACTCCTCTCAGAGAAGCTCCCCGAGCTTAGCGCTCGGCTCGGCGATGAAACTAACAGGTGGCTCAGGAAATATCGTCCTGTGACCGGATCTTTCTTTCGAAAGATTATTCTTTCACGACGTTATATACAGGGTGTCTTATAACAAATCTGGCAGAGCTCGTGGAGACATAGAGCGGGTTAAGACAAATATAAAACTCCCATACCGTTTTGTGAGATTCGCAATAATTATCGAGTTATTAATGACAGAAATCTGAGGAATGAGCGCGCGCCGAGACGTTATGGGAGGAGCATTTACCCGCTCAGGCTAGAGAGCATTGCCTAGTCGACAAAGAAACTGTTGCCGGCGGGCAGCGAGAGGAAGGACAACCAATGTTCATGTCCTTATCTCGCCGCTCCTACATCCCGCCGCACCGCATCTAAGTTCGCGCCGATATGACCGTTGAATATTCGCGATTACAATTACGAGATTATTTTATGAGGTATCACAAAAAGCTCATATTGAATTGTAAATTGTAAAGTTCAAGGTTCAAAAGTTCTTTGATCAAGGAAAACGTCGAAAAGAAAAAAGCGATAGAGAGCGGTGAGATCTACAGAGATTCTCATTGTTTTCTATCGCAATCTATCATTTTGCTGCATCGGATCCGAAAGAAATGATATCGCGTAAAGATAGAGTACGATGAACACTTTTCATCGTATTCTATTGTACTCTATCGTTAGGAGAATATTTAATTGAGTATCAGAGTATGATAGAATTCGCGTAGAGACTCATCGTGTCCTATCGTTTTATTCAAGTCTACACGGAAAATATGTTTGGTTGAGTGAACCAATTTTCTGACGAAATGAGAGAGAGAGAGAAAGAGAGAACGATTAAGAAATTTTGATTGAGAATAGCACAATTTTGTTTAAGTTAGCCATAAACCTTGATGAATTAGATTGAATGTTAATATTTCTCTGTATCATTCATATTTCATTTGCAAGCTGTATCATGGACCAAACATTTTTACCATGTATCACGCATAAATTGTTGTCTTATATCGTAATTCTTGTCAATGCTATATTAACGACAGAAGAAACTGAAAGTTCTGTATCGTACAATTGCGAAAAGAGGACCATCGTTGTCAATGGTGCACCAACGATACTCGGCATAAAATTGATTCCTAGGTATAATCGCGATACAACGCCGTAACAAATCCGAGTGTGTTATTTTGACATGCATAAATGTATGATTGATTGACGCTTTCTTTACACGTTTCTTGTCGTCAGAAAATTGGTTCACTCAACCAAACATATTTTCCGTGTAGACTTGAATAAAACGATAGGACACGATGAGTCTCTACGCGAATTCTATCATACTCTGATACTCAATTAAATATTCTCCTAACGATAGAGTACAATAGAATACGATGAAAAGTGTTCATCGTACTCTATCTTTACGCGATATCATTTCTTTCGGATCCGATGCAGCAAAACGATAGATTGCGATAGAAGACAATGAGAATCTCTGTAGATCTCACCGCTCTCTATCGCTTTTTTCTTTTCGATGTTTTCCTTGATCAAAGAACTTTTGAACCTTGGACTTTACAATTTACAATTCAATATGAGCTATCTGTGATACCTCATAAAATAATCTCGTAATTGTAATCGCGAATATTCAACGGCCATATCGGCGCGAGCTTAGACGCGGTGCGGCGGGATGTAGGAGCGGCGAGGTAAGGACATGAACATTGGTGCGTTGTCCTTCCTCTCGCCGCGCGCCGGCAACAGTTTCTTTGTCGACTAGGCAATGCTCTCTAGCCTGAGCGGCTAAATGCTTCTCCCATAACGTCTCGGCGCGCGCTCATTCCTCAGATTTTTGTCATTAATAACTTGATAATTATTGCGAATTTCACAAAACGGTATGGGACTTTTATATTTGTCTTAACCCGCTCTATGTCTCCACGAGCTCTGCCAGATTTGTTATAAGACACCCTGTATATATATATATATATATATATATGTGTGTAAAGGAAAAATGTACAAACGGGGTTATACAAATATACAAATATAAAAAATAGATGAATGTTGTACAAATATATATGATACAATTATATATAATAAAATTGCCCTAACATTTTTCTAGTTCGCTCGGTTTCAATAAAAAGTTCTCCTGCAATCTGTCAATACATCGGAGAAAGATCTCACCGTTTCTTCGTCTCCCTCGCAAATTATTTGCGCTGCTATAAACGAAGCGATTCGAATCACTGTCGCGCGAGCTTGCACGCGCTCTCGGTTCGCACGCACGCATAAAATATGCATGAGAAGTACAATAACGGGATCGGACGCGTGTATATAAATAAAATCAAGCGATCGATAAAATGTAAGCTCAAATGCCCGCGAGAAGACTGAGCGATATTTCCCCAAGAAAGAGAAACCAATGCGGAGAGAAGATTCTGCACATGAAGCCAAATAAAGAACGTTTTATTATTCAGGTAAGAGAATTCGGGAAACCATGAGCAAATCTCGCTTCGCCGAGATTTTTAATAAAGTTACGGCCAGCTAGGTCGTCCTGTTTTCATTCCTGCTGCCTCTCTCTTTATCTTTCTCTCTTTTTCTCTGTTTCTCGTACGCGAAAAATAGATTAATTAATAATTAAATAAACGAGTCAACGTTAAAGAGAGAGAATCGATGAAATTATAAACTTCTGATCCTTTCATTATCATTCTTTCGATTTTCCTGACTGGAGAATTGCGTTTCACGAAATAAAAGCGCGGTCTTTTCTATTCCACGCTGGATATCTAGAGTTACGTCATGACGGGAAAAAGGTAGGAAACGGTAGAACGCGGAATCCGAAAAATTTCGCGCCGATCTCCAGTTTCAAAGACTCCGATTCAATTTCATTCGGTTCAATTTCGTAAAATTACACTTTCTGTCTGTTCACTTAAATTTATTTATCCTTTTGCAAGAAACTTCGTCCTCGTTTGGTTTATACGTTTGCTTGCGCGTCAGGCAAAGTGACTCGAAATTTTCAGAATTGGATTCTGAAACCGCGCAATTATTGAAGCCTGTTCCCCGCAAGAGAAAAGCCAAAATTCTCCAAGTCAATTCTCAACGACGAAGATTGAGCGCACGGGCGCTCGTACGATTAATTTCAACCCGCCCGTATCTCCGCAATAACCTGGCAACTTCATTCTCTCTCTCTCTCTCTCTCTCTCTCTCTCTCTCTCTCTCTCTCGCGCGATGACGCGAAACAAAGTTCCTAATTATATTGAAAGCATTATAAAGTCGCGGCCTTCAAATTTACGATGACGCGCATAAATTGGGCCGTTTATGCAGAGTTCGCACGTTTATTAGTTACATCCTGCGTGATCGCCACGCGGACAACGACAGGATATTGCGAACGTTTACTTGCTACATGAATCGCATTTACGAGGAACGATACGTTATCCCCCCGGACAGAACTTTCAGCCGGACAGAACCACTCGCCGTCACGGAAGCTTCAACCAACTCTGGAGGCATAGTAATGGATTGGTTCGCGTTGGTGGATGTTACCGAATCGAGCTTTCGATGCTTATGAAACAGCTTCCGTGTTCGACACGACGACTACAACACGTCAAGTAGGTCAGCGTTCCGGAGGTAAACGCGTTCGTAAAATCGCGACTGTAATATCTCGCGTGTTCAATCCTTCGCGAAATCATCAGTACGTTGAAAAAAAAAAAGTAGGGAGGATTAAATTTTTCAGGCTTAGGGGTGAAATTTTATTGCAAAAACCAAATTAAATTGAATAAAAATGGGCAACCTGGACGATTGAGTTAGATTTTGAGTCTATTTTATACAATCGGAAGATGAAGAGAATATTATTAAAATTTCGTTGAAAGAAAGTTTTGCCGATAGAACGAGGATAATTGGTCCGCCATATGTGACCACGGAATTACGTTTGTTCAAGGCGACATTTTCATCTGGAGCAATAAAAAAGCCGATCGTTCTTATCGGATATTTTAAAAGTATATTATTTCAGAAATATGTCCAATGAAATGACGGGGATAAAAAAGTAAATATAAAAAAGCGAGAAAGCGAGAATCTTCCACACGGTTGCGTCGGTTAGCGGAGAGATCCTTCACGATTTCAAGTCCTTGAATAATAGAGAATCAAATTGTTCTACGTAATCTTTGCAGAAACCTTTGTAAAAAGTGTTCTAAATGTCTGGCACCGTCTGAGAAGATGAAACATTCAGTTAGAGCCAGCTGCATATTTGATAAAAGATTTTACCCAATTTCTCGAATAAAATGACTAACGACGTTGGTCTACAGTCGAAAATACCTGCGGATTTTCGCAACGCGGGACGCATTGACAAATATATGCGAAAATTTTCAAAATTGTTTTGTAATTTCCTGAGAGAAACTTCTAAAAATCATCTATTAATCCGACGTCGTTTCAAATGGAAATATTTTTATTTTCTCGATGGATACTTTTCACATTGCAATATTCGATAAACTAAATTATTTTCTCAACAAATGTTAAATAATTGAGGTTAAATATTATTCAGACTAAACGTTAACAAAGGTTTGCGTGTACATGGGCGGATACGATATACAAATTAGCGTAGACACAAGGCGAGTGACAGATTACATTTGTAGAACCTTTGTTTGCCTACACGACAATTTATATTCATACGTTATATATATATATATATCTTTCTCTTTCTCTCTCTCCCTCTCTCACTCGACGACGAGGATCGAGGTTTCCATTCCAGCCAATGACAAAGAGCCGCCCCTGTCATTGTAAATCCGCGCATTGTCGAGTTATTGTGAGCGATAAAACAGCGATATCTCTTCCAGAGTGTATCTCCTCGTTCTCTCTCTTTCCATCTCGTCGAATCAGCGATTAAGTTCGCACCGACGCGAGTGGCGCTCGCGCAAGTCGCACAGATTGTCATTACGCTCGCAAATACGATCTCCCACGCGCGCGTGTTATTTCCCCGCAAGTATAAGCGCGATTTATACAGAAGCAAGGTAATCGTACGTTCGCCATCACTGCCGGGGCGAATAAGAACAACACACACGACGTCGCGCGCACGAACGTCACGTTACGAGCAGTAGCGCGAAATTGAAGATCGCGAAAGCAGTAAAGTGCGTCACGTGCGCGTTTCACCGCGTTGCAATGTTGCGCGGATCGATCCGCTGGTCATCACGCACCTTTGTCACCTCGGCCATGACATGAAAGCTGAATGAAAAGATTCGTCGCACCGTAACACCGCCCGCGCGACCGTTATTGCACGCGAAAGTTGAACCGCATCTTGCTCGCGCTGTCTCGTCCGAGCGCTAATGAGAGCCGCGAGATCGTTAATTACGACGAGCACTCACAGTTAACTCTCGCGAGTCCGGTTCAACCACCCGGCATCCATTTTATTCGTAAACGCGCGGAGCTGTATGCCGCGGAAAATTATAATTCAAAATCTGATTATATATTACACTTTTAATCATAATATAATTAAATATTACACATTAATTACGCATTAATGCATTTAATACAATACATTAAGTATGTAGTATAATATTAGTATGTAATATGTTTGATCTCATATACGTTCTTACATGTATTTTATTTATTAATTGGTACGCGAGAAACGCGAGATTTTTTCCTCTTTATATACAGGGTATCCCATTTTAATCCGGCCGACTGAATAAAATTCGAGGATGATATTTTCCAGAAAAAAATGTCAGACAAATGTTGCTCAGTTCTAAGGGGGACATTCGATGCCATCAACAATTTTGACCTCGGGTGAAGGGTTCAAGGTCACTGAAGGTCAACTTTTTTTCTTAAATGGGAACCCCTATTTTTCACATCGGCAATCGATTCTACGTAAAAAAAAAATGAAACTTTTGTCTGAAGCATTTTTTTTTATAACGCAAAATAATTTCACTTATTCAGCCTCCAAAATTGAAATTTTCAAACTTTCTGAATTTTTTACTCGAGAATGGTGGGATTTGGGGGGAAATTGCAAAAGACAAAAAGTTCTTGGAATGCCGCAAGGAATTCACTCGAATTTTCGCATAGTTGATCGTGCACTTTTTTCCGCCAATGTTCTACCTGTCAGGAGGTACCTCGAAAAAAGTAGACGATCAACTATGCGAAAATTCGAGTGAATTCCTTGCAGCATTCCAAGAACTTTTTGTCTTCTGCAATTTCCCCCCAAACCCCACCATTCTCGAGTAAAAAATTCAGAAAGTTTGAAAATTTCAATTTTGGAGGCTGAATAAGTGAGATTAGTTTGCGTTATAAAAAAAAAATGCTTCAGACAAAAGTTTCATTTTTTTTTACGTAGAATCGATTGCCGATGTGAAAAATAGGGATTCCCATTTAAGAAAAAAAAGTTGACCTTGAATGACCTTGAACCCTTCACTCGAGGTCAAAATTGTTGATGGCATCGAATGTCCCCCTTAGAACTGAGCAACATTTGTCTGACATTTTTTTCTGGAAAATATCATCCTCGAATTTTATTCAGCCGGCCGGATTAAAATGGAACACCCTGTATAATATATAAATGTGTTTGATGCCCGTTTGATGCCGTCAATGAAACTTTGATCTAAGTTTGAGACTTCGTCTGAATAAAGCCTGAACCGAAATTGCAGCTTAATCGACGTCGTGCAAAACGGGCATGAATCGCAAATAGGCGAATTGTTCAGAGCGATCGAGGCCGAGGAAGCTCTTTTAAAATGCAAAAGTATAATCTTAACACGGAACTTTAACGCGGTCGCTTTGCCAGTTTGCCTGGAATTATGATTAACGCCGCGGGCAACGCTCACCGCCGGATCGATGGTGGCTTTATCAATCCGGCCTTGTCGAGCATTTACCAAACTTATTCATTACCTCTCTCTCTCTCTCTCTCTCTCTCTCTCTCTCTCTCTCTCTCTCTCTCTCTCTCTCTCTGTATCTGTCTTTCTTCGTCTCTTTCTTTTTCTCTGAACGTCGTGTCCCGTTATCTCGCGCGCATCGCGTACCATTTGATTCGTCGTTATTTGTTTCGCCAAATATAAATGACAGCGCGTTCCCGGGGCAATTGCAATTTTCTTGTTATGCGTTCTCGCATAAGCACATATCTGAAGCTGTTTGCAGGCGGCAATCCGATACGTTTGCAATACGGGGGCACGACGGAATCATTATTTTCCAGACGACACGAACGTTCGCGCTGCCACTCCGACGTTCACAATTACGCTCATAACGGGAACATCGACACTCCGATAATCCAATACTCCACTCGACAACACTCCAGTCTAAAGGCAATTATCTCGCGACGTATCGATTGTAGCGTGTGAATGAGAGAGAGAGAGAGAGAGAGAGAGAGAGGGGGGGGGGAGAGGATAGGAGAATAGTCTAATAGCAAGGGGAGAACACATTCGCGTAATTTCAACGAAAATACGCTCTTGAAGTTGCTCCTCGAGCAGAGCCATGGCGTAGCCACGAAGCGTATAGCGCGAGATCGAGTCAAGGACTTTGATAACTTCATGCTTTTTACATAAGCGTTTTATACGTCGGGAAGGAGAATGAAACTTTTTTACCTGCTCCACCTCGATAACGTCCCCGTTGTCTTCGAGATTCGCCGAGTAATGTGACACTTCTGCAACAGACGAGAGAAAAACACGCTTTATGGAGGACTTGCTGGAAAAACGTCGATATTTTCGGTAGATTAACGAATAAATCCGCTAAAGCAAACGTGATTTCCCAGGCGAATGATGCGCGAGCGATAAAGTCGCATCATCCATCGTGTGAAAGCGAGGTTGGGGGCGGTGGTTGGGGGAGACCGGAGCGATTTTGCGTGAGGCGAGTTCGCCATGCAGTCCGCTCATATACTCGTATTGTATTTATATTAATCACGAGAGAAACCGTGGGGAGGAAGCCGCGCAAGGTGTTTCTTACGGGAAAGAGCTACTTCCTCCGCTGAGCTTCGTTAAAATCGGAGAAATATCGCAATTAGAGGTAAAAGGAAGAAGCCCGACTTAAGCGCGACCGAGAAGAGCATTTGCGAGCTCTCTCGGAAATTTCTTGTTAATATTCTCTGTCGTGAGGTAATAAGGCAAAGTGTCATTAGCGTGGAATGAAGTTTCCAGCGACTGCTGACTGTTCGACGAGATCGGACGTCGGGATTCTCCGGAAGCATGCTATTCTACCGTTCGGTCCGTTCCATTTACAGCGCATCTACCGGGGCTAAGTTTCGAGAAATTTAGAAGCGGAATCCGTCCCGTCGCGTGCACAAGCGCGACAGAAATATTGTCCTGCCCGCCGCGAAGCGCAAAACGATGTTCGTCGCCGTCGACAACCCGGGGCATTCTTTCGCCTTTACACGAATAAAAAATACATCGACGCTTGATACTCTGGCCTTTGCCGAGCTGTTTGCGAACTGCTGTTTGCGAGCTGTCGCGATGCACGACGGCAGCTGTCCCGTTTCTCCAGTCCGGAGGAGAAGCGCGGTTGATATCGCGGCGGTCTCGCTCTCGCAGGCGCGACAATTCCCATTAGAATCGCCAACTCGTCGCAAGTTCGCCGGATAATAATGGACGGCACTCCCGAGCAAATTAAAATCATATTTCGCGGGCTTGCGTCAGAGGAGAGAGCGGCTGTTGGGATTTCACTGGATGAAAAAAAAAGAGACGATACATCGAGCGGCGGGCGCGACTGCGTCGTGCAGGATTACACACAGGGATTCCTCCGCGGCGGTTAGCGCACAAAGTGCCTTTATTCTACGGTAAATGCCGTGCTTCGCAACGATAGTCGCGCTCTCTCGCTCACCGTCTCCCTTTGTCTCTGCCTTGTGGCGCGAGGTACGAGCGCAATGCGATTTAATTGCACTCGCGATGCCCGACAAACGTACGAATTAACCGGATAAAAATAACTCGCTCTTCGCGGCCGCGTCTCGTAACGTTCCGGAAGGATAAAGTGCTCAGCGACGAGAGTACAGCTCTGACGTGTGCGGCTTTGTATCGCGATTACAAAGAAAAGAAGAGGGAAGAAAGCGCATGAAAAGGACGCCCTTGCTTCTGTTTCGCGAGAAGCCACGAACACTTGCCTCCCCCCCCCCCCTTCGAGTGAAACCAAGCCACGTGCAGCTCTGCGACCGCGACCGGTCGGGCGCGATAAAAATAATTGTGTTTACACCGAGCGACTTTGCGGCACTTTCGTCAGATGATCGCGCGCAAATTTACACGTGCTTTCTTTCTCGCGCGAGACAAGTCAAGCGACTGGAGAAGATCCGACGGATGCTCCCCTGCGGCCGGGCTTTATTTACCCGCCGCGAAAATCCGCACGACGTGTTTATCGAACACGAAAAACCAACAGGCACCTTGGCCTGATAACGTTTCCCGTTCGCATGGCTGCGTCTGTGTGCGTGCACGGGTGGGCGCGTGCGGCCGCAGCTAAACCGCGAGATAACGAAATTGTTATCGGCGGGCCGGCCGGTTGGCAAGAAAGCCACTGATAGAAAGCCGAGCCTTTCCACCGAGCAAGTAGATAAAGTGTTTTATGGTCAGCCGGCCACGTGCAGCGACTCGTTAACGCGCGATGACGTCTATCAACGGCACTCGCCCTCCCCCCCCAGTCCTGCAGCGCCACCGATCCTTCGTAACTTCTTTCATCAATGTCGACGTTTTTCAATGTGAACACGGAAAGCCGCGAGTGACGGTTTTCCTGAGCGAAGGCATATAAGAAACGTCGCGCGCTCGCGTACTCGTGAGCCGCATAAAAATGGCGTTTCACGGCACGCCCGCCAGTTCAGTCGCGTTTATTCGCGAAATTTCGAAGCTTCACTCGCGCGCTGGATGCGAGAGAAGCGCTCCGGTGAAATTCCCGACGTGGAAAATGCCTCGGAGAGGCGAGGAAAGCACATCGGCCGGTGCCGCTGGTGCGCACGATGTTTTACGAAACTTGTGGTTACCGAGGGAAATCAGGCGTGTTGATTATTGATATTGATGATACGTGCATATATCCGAATATGGCTGTACTACGTCAAATGCGTAAATAATTACCGCGAACTAATAATGTGATTAATGTGCCGTTGCACAAGCAATGCTACCGAATGTAACGACGTCGATTGTCTCGCAATTATCTCAATCGAATATCTGGCTCAGTCGAGCTCAATTTGCCGGTAATCGTCCACTTACTTGTAGCTCCGGTAAAACAATGACAAAAGGCACAATGATTAACCCTTTAACTGCTACGGTCGAGATAACTCGATTTGGACTTTCAATGTGTAATACTCATTTAATTTAGTTTGTAAAAAGCATTTGAATTGAGCGGGCATATAGTGCCATCTGTTATCATTATAAAATATTTTATAATTGTAAAAATAACTCAGCAAAGAGGGTCATTTAATGTCTCAGCAGTTAAAGGGTTAATGTGGAATAATTCCCACGTGATGCTAATGTTGATTATATACATGCAAATCGACGTCGCACTACTCGGGTGCCTACAGTATGCACATGGTGACTCGGACCTCGCGACCTTAATTTTACCGAGGGCTTTTCGGAGTAATTTGAAGTTAATTTTTCCTCGGCGCAAACGTCAACAGCTTTCCAAGACACAAGCGATCGCAAAAGCGGAGCTCTTTGCGCATAAAACTTCAGTCGACTGAGTGTGATTAGCAGAATTATTCTCTTCAGTCAATTGCACTTAATTTCGGCAAAAGTCCAACAACAACGTGTAGTTTAACAACCTGAGTACGTTGTGTTGAAGAGTCGTCATAAATAATGAACTCCTATGAGATTTTCGCGAACAAATTGCCTCCATGTTGCTCTGACGGAATCTTTTGCTATGATTAGAGCCGCGAGTTTCAGTACACCGTGTGCATAAATAGCTGCGATTAGAGAACATGCAGTTCTTCCACGCGCCGCGATTATTATAAGTTTATTCCTGTCACCAACCTTGACGGTTTCACGGAAAAATACGCTGACGATAAAAAAGTGATTCGAGTGAGCACATAATGCTCGAAAACATTTCTCACCAGCTGCAAAACTCGCTCATGTCGTAGGCGCGGCGTAATAGCTGAATAACTTCCGCGAAAAAAAAAGGAAAATAACAGTCGAGAACGGTTGGGCTGCGGAAGAGAAATACATGAATATTGCATTTTGCTTGCATAACTTACGAGCGTTGTTATCAATTCTCCGTCGAAAGAATTCTATCTATAAATTGTCATTCAGTGCTGAATACTGAACATTTCATCCGTGCGAACATTCAACTCTCGAAATCGTTCACTTTCGAAATCAAGTTTCATGCGATGACTGTTACACAGATTTACGATAAATTTCGCAAAATGTGTCTGATGTATGTCCGTGTTGTTTGTGTGTGTATGTGTGTGCGCGTGTTTGTGTGTGTGTAAGGTATTTATAAAAGGTAAAAGCACCGATGACAAGATCGGTACCTAAAACTTTAAACATTTTCATTACTTTGGTCTTTAAACACGAATATTCAAATTTTCGACGTAAAAATATATATATGTACTTCATGTTGAAAGTTCAACCTTTCCTGAATCGCGTATCGGTCTCTCAGCCGACACGAAATCGTTGTTTCTTCGACAACGTTATCGTAGTCGAATATTCAACCAGGAAGCGAAAATAAATTTTTTTACCACACTTCGCCATAAAAACCAATCTCACAGGCCAAGCGCGAGTTTTTGCGAATTAAGAATGAGTGAAGGAAGATTAAAAATTTATACTCAAAGGTCAAAGCAGCAAGAGAATTTCAGAGTCAGTCATGTATCTGGCAAGGTTGGGAAAGTTATTTTTTAAAAGTAACTCGTTACCGTTACCATTACTTTCGGTAAAAAGTAACTCGTTACCGTTACTCGTTACTGATCTTAAAAAATAACGCGTTACCGTTACTTGAAAGTAACGATATTTTATTTCGTTACTTTCCGTTACTATTTTTTGTTGTAAATCCAGGATTATAAGAAAGGTGCTAAGATAAGATATAAATCGGACATAAGACGATTAGAAATATATATATATATATATATATTTAAATATTTTTATTATTTTATGTTATTAAGTGTTGTACTTAATGAAAAGTTTCTTAATTAGTGGATATGAATTTAATATTTGGACATTAGTGCCTGTTGACTTTAAAAATCTTTGCCATTCATCATAGGCAGATTTCTCATTTGATGTTTGCTATTTAAAATTAAAAAAGTCATCGTTATTATTGTGCTTATCAGACATCAAAAAATTTTTAATTGAAGGAATTCCTTATAAATCTTCTAAATTCGTTTGCGCAAGTTTTCACTTATTATCTCCAGCTAACCAACTCAATTTGGGATGCAAACAGCTGGCAATTATCAATTCTTCGTTTTCGAATGTAGTACAAAACCTAAAGTTAAATCAATAAAATTAAATATGAACATATTGATTTTTCTTTTTGATCAGATGAATGTTGTTTGATGGACATATGTATTAACCAAATTACACCAACTTACCTTTCTTTTAAACCTTTCTGTATAGCTACGGTCAATGGATGACAATATGTGAGTCCATCTTTATTGGTTCTCATTAAATCCAGCATAAAACAAAAAATGCATAGAAATTAAATATATTAAGTTAAGTTAAGTTTAATTAAGTTTAATTAAGTTAACTTAAATTAAGTTTAATTTTATAAAAATTAAAAAGTAACGATTAAAGTAACGGACGTTTTGTTACTCGTTACAAAAAAAATGTATCGCCGTTACTTTTTCGTTACTGACACCAAAAAGTAACGACGTTACCTAATCGTTACTCAAAAAAGTAACGATACCAGTTACGAACGGCGTTACAAGTAACGCGTTACTTCCCAACCCTGGTATCTGGTCACTGGTACTTTTATTCTACGTGCGTGGGTGGTATGTATATCCACAATTGCACCGCACCGAATTGTTCCCTAATGATCGCGTGGTGCAGTTACAGCTGCACAATACAGAAAGTTGCGCTATCGCAGTCGCGCGCGCTATTGTCGTTAACTACGCTACGATGGGAAATGCAAATTTTCTGCATTTAGGGCACCGCTCGGCGCTGACGTATTTGCGGATATTCTCGACGGGACGAATAATTATTATTAATTAGTGGCGACATGTGAAAAGTGGACTGAGGAAGGGGGAAGGAGCGGGGCGGTTAAAAACGCACACAATTTCGCGGCGCTCGTTACGCGCCGCGGTACGATCGGCCACGAATTAATTACTTCACCACATACATATGCGCGAGCCACGTATGCACATGGCAGTGCGCGTTCGTTGACGGAAAAATTGCCGGTAAAATTGCGCGAGAGCCGGTTATTCCGCGATTACGAGAGAGCAGAAAATGCGAAACGTCTGAAGCGGTCGACTGCGACCGATGTATGAAATGAACTTGAGACGCGCCGTGCCTCATGCCGTGTCTGTCATTGCCGCGATCGTGCGACGTGATTATCAAAGGAAAAATCATCCCTCTCCCTCCCCCTCCCCCCACCCCTGTGTGTCTGTTCGTCGATTTCGTGCTCGAATCTATTTGACTGTGTGAACTCGATATGTTCGTCGCATATAATTCATTAGAACGCGCGACACAACGTGTAATATCGCGATACTAACGAATGGCTAAAGCAACATGTTTCATACGGCACGGCATCGATTTGATGCAGCCGGCGGATTTGATCAAAGGCAATCCTGCGATCAGCACGCATCGGACGCTGAACGTGTGAACGAGCGCTTTGATCATTAACGGTGCCGGCCGCTCTGTCTGCGCGACTTATTGTCGCAGCGGAACGTTTATTACGTATCTGAAGCGCGCGCGATATATCGCATGATAAAAGTATTGCGTAATATGATTAAAAGGCGTTATATCGTCGTCAGCCTCGAGAAAGTTTACTCTCTGCAGATGTAACTCGTTAGCGTTATCATTATTCATTGTGAAGGATAACTCGTTACCGCGGCCGTTACTCGCCGCTATTCCCGCCGCTTCATTCGCCAAGTTTTCAAGAGCCCCTCTTACGACCCGCTGCGGGCTCAGCCCGCATACGCGTGATTCTACATAACGGGCGAAATAACGGTAAAAATAACGATTCGCCGTTATCGCCGCGGGAAATGTAATCGCGGCTCTACACTCCCGCCCCTTCGTGAACTCTCAGTTATCTCGCCTGTCGACCTTGCGGTCGACTCTCACTCGCCGCCCTCGTTTATTTTCGTCGAATGTCGAATCGCGTTACCGTTACCGTCACTGACGAGGAACGAAACGTCATTACCAAGCCGGTAACAGCGTTACAAGCAAGCTCGATCATCGTGCGTGCTGATGCACCCCACTGATGAGGGGGTCGCGCGCCGGTGAGCCTCGCCGTGATTATTCCGGAGAAAAGAGATAGCATATCCCGTCACCGGTTTCTCGGAAATGCAAGATGAATATCGGGCCCGGATACACCAAGATGTCCCGCCCGAGCGTCTCGGAGAGTCTCGCATTCATCGCGTTCTAATTTCCTCGGCACGCGCGATAGCGTCGCACAATACGGCGCTATTTGCGTCCCGCGTCCACGGCGATTACTATGGCCGACTCGTCCTCCGATATATTCGAGTAATCCTAATGGCCATTGGTAATCCGGGTAAGCCGACGTTATTGTTTTGCAAAGAATACACGGTGTATTAAGCGAATTAGGCGCCAGAGGCGGACGGTGACCTTGTCGCGGCGCAACGCCCGTAATTCCTTGTCCCTCTAAATAATCGCAAAGTGTTCGACGACTTCCCTTCTTTCCCTCCCACTCTCGATATTATACGCACACACACACATACACACACACACGTATATTCCCCACCCACTTTTTACGTCGACAAATACCGACGTTCACCGAGGAGCCGTCGTTAAAGAGGCTCTCCCGGGTTCAGCATGAACCTTTATGCCTGAACTGGGGCAGATATGATTAAATGAAACGTTACTCTCTATAGCACTTAGGCTCCCGGGCATGCGTCTCGCTATTCGCGTCTAAATTCTCTTTGGTATTCACGCACACATTGAGGCGACCGCACACAATAACCGCTGCGAAACAGCAGCACTGAGATAACATTGAGAAACAAATTGAAACGCCTTCTGAAGGCTCTGAATCTCTCTCTCGTCGAGCGGAAGACGCGTAAAATTTCGGGTGTCCTCTCACCCTGCGACCGCCGCTTCGGCGTAATTCACGTAACCGCGATGGATATTTCGAGTGTTCGGCCGATTCAGTCTGCGCGATACAATTAATCGTGTCGCGATACATACGCTGAGTATACACTTGAAGCGATAAATAAACACGGCGAAACGCTGGCGGTGTAATTTACTTGACGCAACGTACCGCATTGTGCTTCTGATTATTTCGATAATTATTTCTAACGAAATGAAAATCGCTCGCTTGTTCCTCTCACTCGTCTCTCTTTCTGCTTTTTTATCGATAACGAGCGCGGATGTGAATTTTATTCGCGATAGTAGGGCGCGCGCATCCCTCCCCTCTGAACGCGGCGAGATGGGATTGGAAACGAAGCGCGCAACATGTCTGAGCAAACAAAAAGCGATGAGCGCGGTAAACGCGCATTTGGACACCTCGGTGAATTCGCGAAATTTTACGCGCCGCTCCCACGGTCGATCGTTAATTGGCCGATGTGCCGATTAACGGAGAGCCATCGCGTATCGGCCGGTCATTGGTATGCAACATTATGTGCATCTACAATCGGTTAGTCCGAACATTGGCGAATCAACCCCGAAGGGTCGTTATGCACATCCGTAAGGCAAACGTTTACACACTTTCAGTCACACACACACACACACACACACACACACACGTGCTCTCGCGTCCTGGGAAATTCACGAGAGGATCATTGGTCAGGCATGCGATACATCGGACGTGGACGAACGACGCAGCTGAGACGCACGTGGTGTATTATAACTCGATTCGCAGCAATAAGCCGATATTGAGAAAGATGGGGACGGGGGGAGGGGGGGAGAGATATTTAGCCGATAAAAGCCGACAAGTGTGAAACATTAATAATACGCCGAAACGGCACAATTGTTGCGCGGAGTTGGATACCAGCGGTCCGTTATCTCCGCCCTATATCTGAGGCTTCGATGGTTCCCCCATTTTATTTCCGCGAGAGGGAATTCACTCGCGCCTCCTCCGACCTCCTCGGCCAGAGGACGCGATCCGCTGGATTTTTCAGATACGCCGACGTATATTATATTCTGTGTGTACGCTTCGTCCTTTTCATTCTACTTGCCTCGGTCCGCTTTCTATTTCGCCCCGTTCGCTTCAGTGATTTATCTATTTATCTACTTACCCATTTCTCGATGGAAAAAGCGAGATTTATTTTATTTTATTCGATCTCTTGACAGCGAAGCGAATATCGAGGCTGGACGCGAAATTACGCGACGCACGCGAAATCGCCCGGAGCGCGTGCGTATGTTGCGCTCGCTCGCTCACTCGCAATTCCATTTCGCCCGCACACGTCCGCGGATTAATAAACGCGAACTTTGACATTACCTCGAAATTCGATCCTCGCGACCTTCTCGCCCTTGCACTTGAGTCCCTGAAAATTCTTCAGGATAACCACGAGCGACATCCTCGCGTCTTCCCGGCGTCGCGCCGCGGCTCCGCTGGGCGTCAGACACCCGCTAGGCGAAGGGGATCAGGATCCTCGCCTAATCCTCGACGACGGCGCCGCGGGTTGTTATCCAGCCAACGCTATCGGGTACAACACCATTCATCGGTGCCGTTTTCGCGCCATTCATGATCTCGCCGACAGTCGGCCCGCGATTGAGTCGGCGAGAGCTGCCCGAGACACGGAACGAGTCAGCTTCGCTGATAACGGGTATCGCCTCTCTCACGGTCGTGCCGTGCGCTATCCGAGCCGAGTTGACGCTTGGAGCAATCGGCGAGGTCAAGGTGGAGCTGGAGCAGGCCTCGAATCACACGAGGCTGCGAGTGGACGCTTTGAGTTTCAGTCACTTCTCGGCGGAGGCGCACGACGGTGTCGAGCTCGCACGGTGTTGAGCGCACGGCGATGCTGCCTGCCGGGGAGGCTGCCCGTCGACTACCACCGAGAGAGTTCGCGCCTCAAACAACCCCCAGCGTACCGGAGGAGGCAGCGCACGCGCTCCTGCGGCGGTCGTGGCCCGCTGGAACCGTCACCACATTACGCGTACGTGCGAGCGTCATTAATAGCTGACGTAGGGATGCCGATTTTAAATCGATTTAATCGAGGATCGGTTAATCGGAGCCTGAAAGAGCGATTTCAAATCGACTTTCTGGAACTGAATCGATTCGAGGATCTGTAAAGGATCGATCTGTAAATTCTGAAAATCGCCAACACGATTTTTTCAGTTTCTACTAGTAATATAGTTTCTTATTTTAATTCCTTTTAGTTGTAATATTTGAATACACTTAATGGCTGATGGCGATGCACATTACGTTGCCTTTAGGCCGACGGGCGGCCCATGGGCGAAAATTTTCAGCGGAACGCGCGAACCAATCACAGCCACTCCATATAATAGTATATATTATATACGTATGTATATGCATATAATAATAAACGTGATTTCTTATTTAATGACGTTTAAAAACCCTTGATTGATGTTAATGTATCAAACTAATTAAATTCTTAGCATAAAGATTTAAAGATCTTTTTCTATCTTGTTGTGGCCATACACAACACAACCAAAAGCGTACCATCTGTTCAATTTCTTCAATTCATATTAACCCTTTGACTACGAAAGGCGTATATGTACGTCCTCACAAGTCCATCAATATATACGAAAGGCGTAAATATACGCCCTCTGCATTTTTGTACTATAACACCTTAAACACACAAAATAGCTCAAAAAGCTACTTAAAATAAATAAGAAATGGATATTTTTAATTTATTTGCAATTATTATTTTTTAAATCCTAAGAATGGTATCAAATCTCCGGGTACTATTTTGGTCATCAGTCACTGGTCTGCGCAGCGCAGCGACTGACGTGCGAATAACGCGCCGTCCCTACTAATGGATTACTCCGAGATCGCGCCGCAGTGAAAGGGTTAAACTTTATATGAATTGCACGAGATCTACTTTAGAGTGTAGAAATTTGACAGATAGTACAATTTAATGAGTGGTTCACTTTACCCGCGTACCGATTCAGATCGTTCTTCTGAAATCAATTCTTTACAAACCGATTTTTTAAAGATCGATTTTTTTCTTCGTGATTCGAATCGATCTTTAAATCGATCTGTTTGAAAAAGAATCGACATCCCTAAGCTGACGTCTTCGGAGGCTTTCCTCTTTCATCGGATCTTTTGTTTCCTATTTTTCTTCTTCTTTCATCTTCTCCCGAATGATCGACTTTCAGTCGATCGCTCTTTATGTTCGACCTGTTTCTGTTTTTTTTGCTTTGTAAAATCGCAACGACAGCGACACGCCTTGTCCTCGACGTCCCACGACGAATTCATTTGAGAACATATTTTGGGTCGGACCACTGCGAAAATGACTGAAGCATTTGCGTGACTTTCCCTCCCTTTGATTTCCGAAATGCCCGGCAGCTATCGGGTGGATAGAGCGCTCCGAGAGATTTGGGCCGTTTCTCTCATTCTGTCAACAACTTTTGCTTTTTGGGATCATCGAATTTCGACGAAATACTTCGGAGGAGTCTCTCGGACATTTCTGCGACGCTCCACTCCAGACGCTCACGTTGCGATATCTGAGACGTGAGACGGGTGAGGGAATTGCGAGGAGATGCGAATATTCGACATTCTTCGAAGACAGACATTCGTAGCGATACATCGTACGTGAAAATGTGCACATTTCGACCGTGACCCATGTCGTTAGAACGTTGTAAAGATATGAAGCTGCGGCTTTAATAGATGCAACGCGGCGAGTAAGGATCTAATTTCAACAATCGGTCAATGGCGCGGCACATTCGTGCATGCCCATTTCCTCGCGAGTAGCAAGAAAGCCTGGGTTCTTCATGCCGGCTGCATATGACGTTTCCATCAAAAATATGGATGTCGCGATGGAAGTGAGCGCGTGACGTGCGAAGAATAAAGGATCAACGTGTAAAAGCTGGAAGGGAAGAGGAGTTCCTGATGAAACTTTGAAGAAGGGACTAGGATCGTCACGCTCGCCATAGTGGTCCCTCTCTCTCTCTCTCTCTCTCTCTCTCTCTCTCTCTCTCTCTCTCCATCTCCCTGTTGATTGTTGATTTAATTACGTCGGCAGTGTTTCGGCGAAAGCCGCGAGCGGGTAAAATGAAATGATACGTCGCGATTGCTTATATCCGGCCGAACAGAATTTCAAGCTTCACTTCATTATTGGGGATCCCCCGTCCACTCGGAGCCGCGACAGCGTGACAAATGTGAGAGGTCAATCGGCTCACTACGATCGAGTAGCGAAGGGTGCGGACCGTCCGTGAACGGACACAGGGAGGTATTCGATAAGTTAATATCAGATAGATTGCGAAGAGAGACAGGGCAAGCGACGGGTCAGGATATCGTTCGAGGAGTGTTACACACGCCGTGTATACCTACCGAGATTGACAGATCGCTATTAGTGAAATTACACCTGCCATCGCGAGCTCCACAAGCCTTCTCGCTCGCTCTCTCGCTCTCTCACTCTCTCGTTCCTTTCATTAATTTCACACGCCTGCCTTTCGTCCCGCGGACTTTCACTCGCGCTTGGAACATAATTCAGGCGTGACGGGAAAATTAAAATGCCGTTTGAATCTGCTGCTTTTCCTCCCTTTCTTCAGATATTATCAAAGTAATCTACGATATTCGACAACTGTTGTTGTGAAAATGGAGAACTTTCGCGTACACACGCAACATTATAGTTAGAACGATAAATCAAATAAGTTCGAAGAAGGCGATAATTCAACTTCTTAGGCAAGCGACGTGACTGCGAGACATCGAGATTATCCAACTCGCTTAAGGCTGTTAAAGGCTTAAAATTGCAGCTGCGCGTAACTTGGGTAATTGAATAATCGAGTCGCGCCATTAGCATACTTTTATATCGCGTTGCCGGGTCTGCGCTCCAGCGCTCAGCTTCTCGCGTGCATAATTCACCTCTTCAATTCCGTTACAGATGAAGCGCGTTATTGTAACTTTTTTCCGCGTTCATAATCTTCTGAGCCATAAATTTCCGGATCGCCTCGGGCGCGCAAACGTTCATAGATCTGGAGTGTGACGTTGTGGGAGTCCCTCTCTGAAATATTCAGAGACGGTAGAAACCTCAGTTTCCTTGTCTCAAATCGTCGAATCGATTCCTCGGCACGTTCCTCGTGCACTCTTCAAGCTTGAAGCATCGAAAATTCCTGATCTTTTTCTCAGACTCTCCTTTCCAAATCTAACATGGATCTCTCTCTCTCTCTCTCTCTCTCTCTCTCTCTCTCTCTCTCTCTCTCTCTCTCTCTCTCTTTCTCTCTCTTTGTTCTAACATACCGCTTAAAAAACTTCATGCAGAGACACCCGAGACACGTCTCTGACTTGACAGACATTCTCGGGAGGTCTTTTAGTGAGACCTCGGCGCTCTCACGCTTTTTCCGCTGTCCGTTCGCTTTTCCTTTTTCCAGCGCGAACGTTATCTCTAACGACCGAGCCCGTGTTCTCACGGGCTCCTAATTACGAGTCCATAATTCTCGTCGGAAAATAACCCCGTGTTTCATTTATCACGCGTACCCAATTACGCGCGCGCGCGCTCGTATATAATATAACGCGTACGTGACGTTCCTCGATCTTGGCTCCTCGAGGGACTCCTCTGCGAGGAGGTGAACATACCGCACGGCCGAATTCGCGACCGCCAGGAGGAGCTGCTCATACACCCGTGCTGCTGCTGGGGATCGACGCTAGTGATAGCGCGCGGCTATTCGAGAGACACAATGCCAAGTCATCAGGGAGCATCCGCGGCCAGCTCGGCGCCCCGCGAGTGACCGTCAGGTGCAATTTTAATCGCCTACAATAAAATCAGAAGACAGGACCTCTTTCGTGTGTTGTACGTCGCGCGGAGCAGCTGACGTTGGCTTCCGAAAGGAACGCGCGGGGTGGATCAATAATGGAATGGGGTGGGGGAGGGGGTTAGCTGGGATTTCTCAGCGCCATCCCTCCATATCGTGCGGAACTACTAACTGTTGCTTCACCCTTTCCTCCCCGTCCCGCCGTGGAAACCTAATTCCGTTCCGTTTCGCAGTTGGACCCGATTGACCGATATATCTATTTCTTTTTTATCCTTTTTTCTTTTCTTTCATTTTTTTCTTGTTAAGCGCGAATCTCTCTATCATAATTTCTAACTCGTTCGTCAAGTTGGACAGAGTCGCAGAACATGCAGTATTTAAACGCGTTTGTAATATTTAACAATCGACTCATCTGGCACATGGAGATGCAATTTATTTACTGGAGTCAAATGAGGCTAGACCTCACACGTGACGTTTGGATTTTTGCAGAACGTCTCGCGTTTTAAAAACAAAAAAAAATAAAATTTATAACAGAAGATTTTCGAGTAATTTGGAGATGGAAATCCTAATATAAAAAATGTCATGGCTGTGTGTGTGTGTGTGTGTGTGTGTGATAATCTTTAAATAATAAACAATTTGAGTCGGGCGACTACAGTGGCTAAAATTCACGCACTTGCTTACTGCGCAACGCACAGTGGGAATAAAAGCGCACAAATGCATCGTTCCGTACTGGCGCAAAAATAGCTTGCGTATGCCGTAATAACAAGTTGTCGTCATTTGAATAAATGTATCGCATGTACGAATAATATCGTCGCAGCAGAAATACCATGCGAGCGGAATATCCTTGGACGATAAATTAAAAGCCAACTGTCACGTGATATTTCCTTTTAAAGCCTCACTGCTCATTTCGTGTGTTACGAGTTCTCGTCTGCGATAAAGAGACGCACCAAACATTTCGTGTATGCTTCAGTATATATTTATTATTATTATTATTATTAGAGCATGATTCATTTGACTCTCAGGGATGAATACTCTCGGGCGCGCGTTGATGAAAGGTATAATTTATTCTAAGCTTTCTTAGCAAGAATATTTCACTCGCGACATTTCTACAAAAGTACCATTGTATGTACGTAGTATATTTCTTTAATAAGTAACAATAGAGACGGACTTGTTATTATGTGTGCACAATATTCATATAAATGTTACCTTTACTCGTCGCTCATCATGTACGCCGACAAAATCGGGCAAGAGAAATCAAGTGCCAGGATTAAATACAAATGTCGTTACACCAACTGCGATCGAGTGAAGTTAAACGAAAATCGAGTAAAATCACAGCAACAACCGACAATCTTCCTGGGAGTTTTTCTTTCAAAATAATTTAAGAAGAATCCGAGTCTACGAGTAACCAGACGAGGCTCTCCGACACGTCTCCGACTAATCTCAAGGACTCACATGTGGTGTCATGTGTTTTCCCCCACTGTGAATTACATCGTAGAAAAATTTCTTTAATTTATTATACCAACCGCAGGCGGGGGCGTCCACACACATACGCACGCGCACCGCGGCAAAGTTACACTGTCGGCTGGAATGCCAACGTTGAACTTGGCGTGAGTCGTTGATCATCGGCTTCGCGCTGCTCCAAGGTGGATGCCGCCGAGTTACACTTGATCAATATTTATTCCACCCTCATAGTTTCACACAAGATCCGCGAATATATGCCGAGGGGCACAGCTGTGTGCGCGCAATAGCCGTGGCGAGACCTCTTTGCGCCCTGAGAGAGGCATCGATTGGGGTCGCGTCGCGAAAAGTCGTAGCCGGGAAATTGGATAAATTCTCGGGTCGCAATAAAGAAACGGAATTCGGCCTTGACATGCCCGTCGCGTCACACTGTCGAAATTCCGTCGCAGCCTCCACCTCCTCCTCCTCCTCCTCCTCCCCCTCGGACTATTACGCTCGCTCATTCATGAGGTGAGATTTTCGCCGGACATTGGGAAAGATTCCGGGTTTTCCCCGACGCATTAACGCGTCGCGATGTCCCATTTGTTTGTTTCTTCGATTCTCTCTTTCGTCTCTTTCCTTTGGCCTCGATTTATTTTTCTCGCGTATATCTCCAGCCATCGCCATAAACATCTACTATTGGGAAACAATATCGAAGTTGGAACTCTTGAAGACAAAAATATACATATATCCGTCCAGGAACGTTAGGCCATAAAGAAAACGCTATGACTCTTTTATGGCGCCGCGCTCGATACCAACACGTTTTCGCTGTCTCTCCTGGGAGATGGGCGTCGTGAGATTTCATATAGGAATTCTTTACGACATTGAGAAGGGTTCATAACGAAGGACGAATAAATTGTTTAACGGAGATATCCGTAAACAGCAGCGGCCTGAACGGGCTAGCGGCGCGATCTGGAGGGTATCGTCGAAATTGAAGGTTTTTCATTTCTCAGGTGGATGCGCCGAAACGAAGGACGAAAGGGATCGCGCGCGCGCGCGCGCGATCGATCGTACGATGGTCCCTAATAGCAGTTTTCCGCGGTTTAAAGGTCGGTATCAAGGTGTCGTAATAAATGTACCGTTGCGCGTTTGTATGTACACTTTATTCCACAATAAAAATACCTCTGTATAAACTATACATTATATATAATATATTAAGAGAGAAAGATAAAAAAAGATCCAAAGGATATCAAGCATTTGTGCCAATAGCATATTTACCCGGATCTAAATTCTTTCGCTTAAATGGAATAAGCAATCGCTTCTGTGAAAAGCCGCAATTTCAAGAAAACACATGTTCTTCGCAATTACATTTCAGGCAAATAAATATGTTATCAGCGCCTACGTGGAACAAATATCTTTTTCTCGCCTGTTAGACCCGTTAGACCATGTTTTCTCTCGGGACTTTTCTGCATTCTTCATTGGCCGGTAATGATTAACGTTGAATGTCACAACAATTATTATACTTCAGCCTTTGTCATGATGACTTGGTGATCAGGCTCATGAGTAGTGCTCTTAATTATGACCTCGGTGCAAATTTGTCGGAACCACACGACGATACATTAATGAAACCTATATCCATAATCAACGTGTCTCTTGATTAAGGTTGTCGGAGTTTCCTAAAGATGCGTGACGCCTGCGTGACGTCTGATAAATTAAAGCTGGTATAGGCCACTCATATAGCGACGTCCGGCGGCACGCTCGCCTCAATCGGAGATATCCGTGTCCGTGAAGATTGGTTAGAGAGACTCTACCTCAGGTCGAAGTCTAGAAGCAGATTTACACAGCACGCTTTCCTCCATCTTGTATTTAGCGCGCGAACCTGCGTTCGAGCGGTTCAAAGTGCATCGAAAAAGACCAGAGAACTGTCTTCATCGTTTCTCGTTTGCTCGCAACGTTGCACACATTATGCATACTTTATATACATGGTGCGTCTCACAAATTATCTATTATATGTATGTATGCGCACACTTGATTACGAAACTATCGAACGTTTTTTCTCCTGATTATATTGGAAATTCAAGTGGTCATAATTAAGAACATTATTCATGAACCTGACCACTAAGTTATTATGATAAGTATGATAATTGTTGTGACATTCAACGTTAATCACCACCGCAATGAAGAATTCAGAGAAATCCCGAGTATCTTTATTACGAGTTAGGATTATAATAACGAGTCAATATTTGCCATTGCAATACTGTCATTTTAGCTCCTGCCCCTGTAATTATCTTGCAAATGCGACATTTCATGCGCTTTTTTCACCCGATTAGAAGAAACGTGTTGCAAGCACCTTTACGCAAAATCGAGCGTACACCAGTCGATTTAATATACGAAATTATATCTCGTAGGAAATACATCATTAGCTCTGCAATGCTACAACTGCTTGTATCAAGACTGCTACGCTGGTCTGTAAGTCGAAAACACGAGCGAGTATCAAGGTTATATGCTCTTCATGACACCGCTTACGATCGGCAATGACTTCACCTGCTGGGAAATGAGATCCAGGTACCTCGCTAGACTGAAGTGCTTGTAGATGAGATATAATATGCCGAAGTAGAAGAGGAATTTCATGAGATGGTGGATAACGTACATTCTGAAATGAGTGTGTTTCAAAGGGAATTCGCTGTCAGTTAAAAAGTCAGCTGAGAAAACTGATTTTCTTTAACACTTTCGCCGCGACAGCCGCGTCTGCACGCTCTCAAGAGCTGGTCTCTCGCTCGAGAAAGCTTCATATACATTGTGCGATAATTTTGAGACAACCTACATTCAGTGACTGGATCTAGTAACATGTTACAATATTACTTCAGTATACAACGGACGATTCCTGGTCTAAGCGTGCTGCAGCGAAAAAGTTAAAGTTTAAAAAGATTGATGAATTTATTTCTGCCGACTCCGACGTAATTTTAGTAACATGCGGATTACTGTCCCAAAAGTTTCTTTAAACAGCGGATCGGAGACTATTAAAGCTCATCATTACGCGTGGTAACTTGATCGGTACAGGCCAATGTTGCGCAAGTGTGTCCACGAGACATAGATTAGAGAAGAAAGTTTAAACAAACAACATTAAATTTCTCTCCCGCTAGCTTTCCCTTCCGTTATGCGATTAAATGCCTCACTTGGCGAGAATGCAAAGTGTCCTTTACATTGTTTGAGGATGCACAACTCGATCGGTCGCGGCCGAGAACGCGAGGAGCACCGAACGTTATTTTGTAGTTAGAATGCCTTCCAAACGCGTAACCATTTTTTTTCTTTGAAAATTTCCGGAAAGTTGGGCTCGAACGAAATTCGTGGGACTTCTATACATTCCGACGAGTAAAATTTGCATAATGAAGGTTGTGTAATAAATATAATATAATATAATATAAATATAAATATATATATATATATAATATAAATATAATATAAATATAAATATAATATAAATAAAGAATACTCACATTGCCTGATGCCGACGAGCTTGCGGCAAAGTAGACAATTTTTCTTTCATGCAATACTGCCGTGTGCCGAGGATAATAATTTTCATATATTCATCTATGTGTACCACATCAAATTTAACATGGAATAACTTCTGATCCTCTAGTGATAACTGGTCTCGCAAAGTCAGTATTTTGTCATTGTAAAATTTCCAATTTCTCATGGTGAAATATTGCAATATCTCCATGCCGTCAGAAATTCGCTTCTGAATTCTGACCATGCTGTTTAAGATGCACGGCGAAGAAAAGGAAGGAAGACAACGGTTACAATACGTATAGAGCTAAGTACTTACAGCTAACAGTCGACTTGTGAACTTGTGAATATAGAAAACGTCAAACTTACAATCTTTTCTGTCGAAATATCAGCATCAGAAAGTCAATCAGGTATGCGGGGATGATGTGGAAGAAGAAGACTATGAGATAATGCACAAATTTGTTACTGCGCGCATTGCCGCCCGGATACCAAGCCTGTCCTTCGAAAGGATACTGGTAAATGATTTTCCTGCCTTTTTTCAATATATCGCCCCATGTTACCGGCAATTCCTGGTTTTGCGTTAAATTAAAGACTGGTATACTGGCCGGCCTGTTGACAGATTAAACCGGTATTCTAATTTCTAGCATGTTTTCCAAGTCGACCGACGGGATTTAAGTTGTTAAATTGTTTTTGGAGTTACGCTATCTCCTAAATATCTCAGAAGGTACAGTCTTTAATTAAAATATTCAGCGAGTCAGAGAGAAGGGGCCGAGAGGAGATATTCCAAGAAGGGGAGAACTAACAGAAAAAAAAAACAGACATAATTTAAATATCGTCGTCTATTTAAAAACATATCTAAAAATCGTCGTCGCACACAAAAAGGGGAGAAAAGGAAGGAGACAATAGAGCAAAGTCGTAAGATACTCACTTCTTTTTGGTAACGATTGCGCAAGTCATAAGGATCATAAAATTAATCGCGAAGTCAACCGGTATAACTTCAGCGCGATACCGAGTGTCACAAAGCATCGATCTGAGGACACCTTTGCCGGCAGCAACCAGTATCCCAGTAGGACCGTTCAAATTATCGACCCATCCCGGCACAGGCTCTTCGACGGCGGGGGTTACTGTGCGAGGAGATGAGAAGAAAAGAATCTCCATTGTCTCCGAAAATTATCAAAATATGTATATTATAATTACCGATCGACGGCCTGACGATGGCGCACGGTATATTGGAGTATTCTCTGGCCACCAGCGTCTCGGCCAAACGCTTCGTGTAGGTGTAAGTATTTGGATGCGGGTGCAACAACCTACAATCAGGAAGTAAGATAAGCGTGCGATCGTGGAAGCGCGCGACTTCCTACCGACACGGGATGGGATGTCAGTTTTGTCGTTAGTTCGACAAACGATATATGTGTCAATGAACGTTGCATGTACATTATCGATATATTTAATACATCTGGAGTGTCGTGTCTATATCGGGAAGTTTTGTTTGTTGAAGAACAATTTTTCTAAACATTTTGAACATCAAATGAATATAAGGAAAAAAAACAACAAAATATTAGGAGTGTGATTTAGTTTTGCAAAAAATGGCACTAATGTCAGTTTTGTCACATTCCAATCACAGCTATTGTTTCTTAATGCTTTAATATTAATTCATTATATTTAGTCATTTGTTAACAACAGACGCGGTAAAAATCGTGTTTAACACCATCTTAAAAATGAAGTCTCTTAAAGAGCATCTTCGACATGCGTTGCTTTTGCTTTTTAATCGGAAGAAAACGGCGGCTGAAAGTCATTCTGATAGAAACTTATGGTGATGTTGCTCCATCAATTAAGATATGTGAATATTGGCTATTAGACGATTCAAAAGTGATGATTTCAATGTTAACGACAAAGATCGCTCAAACCAAAGCAGAACCAAAACAGAGACAACCAAGAAAGCTTGAAAATGTAGATTTCCAAGCATTACTGAACGAAAATCATACAACAATTACCAAACGTTTACATGATATGGAAAAGATTCACAGAAAAGAAAAATGGGTTCCACATCAATTATCGGAAAATGCCATTGCGAACCGCTTGAACATTTGCATTTCGTTGATCGCCAGACAAAAAATGAAGAGTTTGTTGTACCGAATTATTACTGGAGATGAAAAATGGATTCGATCCATTTCTATTTTGAGAATCCCAAACGAAAAAAATCACGGGTTAATCCAGGCCAACCGGCAACGTCCACTTTGAGGCGCAATATTCACGGTTCAAAAGTATCGCTATGTATTTGGTAGGTTCAAAAAAGTGTTGTGCACTATGAACTGTTAAATCCGAATGAAACTGTCAGCGCTGATCGTTATCGACAACAATTGTGCAAATTGAAGCGAGCATTGGATTAAAAACGATCACGAATTGCGAGTAAACGTCGCAAAGTGATCCTTCTTCACGACAATGCTCGACTTCATGTTATTGCATTATCAACGAAGCAAGCGTTATTAGAGCTGGAATGGAAAGTCTTACCCCGCATCCCGCGTATTCTCCAGACATTGCTTCATCTGACTATCACTTGTTCCAGTCGATGCAACATACTCCAGAGGATATACACTTGCGTAACTTTGAAGAAGTGTGAAAATTTGTTGAAAATTAGATCGATTCTAAAGAAGATCTCCTTTTATCGTCGCGGAATCCATCTCTTGCCAGAAAGATGGGAAAAAGTTGTAGAAAACGAGGAAAAATATTTTCATTAACGTATTCCTTCGTTATCTTGTTTAAGTAAATTAGTTTTTGAGAAAAAAAAAAAACTCTCTCAAAACTAAGCGCCACTCCTAATATATCATTAATGTTACGTCGCGAAGAGCATCATTGACACATCGGGATTATTCGGATGGTACGCTGTTGCCGCATATCGCGCTAATTCAGCTCAATTACTTGGGCGTAATCATATCGATGGTGCTCTCGTCCATCCATTCACAGAGTCTTATAACGTCATTGGGGTCGTCGGGGGAGTCATAGATAGTCTCGCCGAGTTCCTCTTGATCAACATGACAGAAGGCTGTGCTCAGGTGAAGGAACAGCTGCAGATGCTTCATCTGCTTAGCCAGGTCCAACATCCTCCTCGTGCCCAACTTGGGGAGAGTGCAGACATCGAATCTCGTTTATTTCTTACTCGTCATAAAGATCGCGCGCGGATCGATCGCTGTTTAGAGTTTGGCACAGTTGAGTGAGAGAGAATGTCGTAATTAAAGCCTCTGTGCAATCGGAACGAATAATTGAACCGTTTGCGAACACTTCCTGGATGTTAGAAGATTAAAGCTGCATGCACGGCGAGAAAGTCCGCCGCGATTAAGTCTGTCCGCTGCTAATAATTCTCTACATTCATTGTCAATTAGTTCCTTCGCTCTTACAATACGGATAAAATCGGATCGTTCTTGTGAGGGAATATCGAGTATACCTACCGTGGTGGATTGATTATGAGGTAACGATACAGGCTGCTTAGACTGGCTGCGCGTATACGACGCGTATACGAATCAGCGCGGATCTGAGTCGGCTAAAGGATGACATTTGCGGGTAAACTCCAATATCCGCGCGAGCGATTATTAGTTCTCTGAATGTCGGCTGCGCTCAGAGTTCATGTTTAGCCGTCGGCGTCGCTCCGAGAACGCTTATTCGCACGTGCGCTTTCTCGGCTTGCCGGCCGTAAACTCATAACGCAGAAACACCGATCTACCTCCGTCTGTATTTCGCCCAATATCGCCGTCTGCGGGCGAAATATGCGGTAATCTTGCCGAGTCGCGTCGCCGCGGCATTGCGCGCTCAAAGGATCGAAAATAATGAATCAATGAGAGAATCACTCGTTCGGCTGATATCTTACTACATTCATCTCGACAGAGTCCTTCAGCTTCGCCTCCATTCGAAGAGTAGCGGCGAGGTGAAATACCAGGTGCACCTCGTTAATCAGCGTCTCCCGCTGCTCGTCGGTGAGGCCCAGATTATCGCTAGTTATGTCGCCGTCCATCGGCTTCACTTTCTGTATAACTTCCTTCTTTTCCTGACGTATCCTTTGGAACATCTGTGGAAACAGCCGATAGCACGACGATTGTTTATCGTTCACTATGTGTGAATATGTAGCATGTGTGCCAACGCCGCTCGTTAGTTTCGGAACGTAAGGTGGCACGACGTTCGTTAGCGCACACCGGACACAAGCCGGAAGCAAGATGCGACAATTAGTGGCAATTAACGAGGTGTCTTACGGGCAATTTGAACATGTCATCAAGCCGGAGGTCGATACTGCGGCCTCTCTTGGGTCGTATGAGGATGTAAATCTTGCCGATACCGGGACAGCTGTACAGCAGCTTCTCCAAGAGGACCTTCCCCATAAAACCTGTAGCGCCGCTGATGAAAATGTTTTTGCCTTGGTAGAAGGATTGAGTAACGCTCAGGCCGTCCATGCTTGCAAACTGGAACGTCAGTTCGCGGATCACTCGAATCTGCAACGAATTCGCAGCTACGCTACAAGATCGACAATCTGTGGAGAGAAAGGAAGAAGGAGCAGACGCGAGAGAATGAAAGATAGAGAGAGAGAGAGAGGGAGAGAGAGAGAAATAGACAGATAGTTTATTGACATCCTGGGGAAACAACCCCTTAGGTTACATTAGAAAGACAGGTACACGCCGACGGCCATGCAAGACCCGTGATCATACAGAACGTTAAAGAATGCATTAACATAATATAGAATGAAGTGACGCAGAGCAGCCATAGAGAGCGCCTGACCTCACCAAGGCAGTAATAATAATAGATATAATATAGATTATATATTTAGATATATAGATATAAATGTATATAGACATATATATAGATACCATAGATATATAGATATAGGGGAGAGAGAGAGAGAGAGAGAGAGAGAGTGTGTGTCATCCGCAATCTTGAAACAATTCGTAGCCAAAAGATCAGCTGCTGCGCGAAATGTTGCAGACGTTTATAATTTGCTACAATTATCTTTCTCGCTCGCCTCACGGTTTCGCCGTCACGGAAAAGTTTGGCAAATCGCCTTCCTCAACTCCAATTTAGTCTCAACGCCGATCGCACTTCCGTCAGCAACGATGGAGCACAACATCAGAATCAGTGAAAGGCCGATTAAGTGCAACGAAACGAGAAGAGATCGTAACTCTCCTAAGCTTTATCTGTATTATGGCCGGTGAGCTATATAGTGACCTTTTACGGAAATTGCGATCGGAAGCGTGATTGCTGCTTTTCTATTGAATCGCCAATCGCAATAAACAAACGTTGCAACGTATTATTAGTCTGCGCTATTTACGCGCGTAAGCACTTACATTGCTTGGTAAAAATCGACTAGATGAAAAAGATGATTTATACGTGCTTCGATCTATTTCCAAGGGAACTCTCAAGATATCATATCAATTGCACCGTCTTCACGATAAAGCGATCGAGCATTGGTAATCGCATGGTCTTGTATTTTACATACTTAATTTCTCGTACATAAACATCGTCAAAAAAACGTGGAATATCCACCGGGCACGGTATGAGTTGATCTAACAGGCTGACTGAATCGATAGAATTGACTCGACGAGACTCGCGGATGTCGGATATCCCGCGTTAACGATGTATTTTCAATTTTCTTTTTTTCATTTTCTCTCTTTGACACGGAGAGATGCAATTCTCGAAATGACAGAAGGCGCGAGCGGATGGAGTCGTTATGCGTCCACTTATGAGCCATAATCGCGTTACCTCTCGGCTGAAACTGCCGATCAATCGTATTTCAATCCGCGCCGACAGGAAGGTCAAACGAATACGCTCGATCGTACTTCGTAAACAAAAACAAAAATCGACTCGGCTCGTGCAATTTGAATAGTGAGTTTCGACGGGTGCGACTTCTATAACTCTAAATGACCCTTTTTGCGCCGCAATTTATCGCACGTGGTTTTCGGCCGAAAAGTAATTACATCATCGCGCGATTCTGAGCGCGATGAGTATTAGCTAGCTCTTGTGCAATTCGTCCGCGACGTTTCTGCAGCGAAGTAATTTATCCGTGCAACGTAACAAGCGGAATTACACAATCCTGCGCCCGAAACGCACGGATCGAGAATTTCTCCAGAGCGGCATTCGGAGCGCGTCGGGTATATCGGATTCTTTTCACGGCAAACGTCGATCTGCCTTCGACTTTCGCGATCTGACGGGAAAGGCAGGCACAATGTCGTCGCTTCTCTCGATATCGAGTGATCCATTAGAGCGACATGTCCCTCGTGCGACAAATGTATGCTCTTGCCATTGTATCCCGGCGTTGAGTCGGACAGTCGGAAATTTAGGTAACGCATCCGGCACGCGAGTAATGCTATTCCCAGGCACGAAGCCGCTCGAGCTCGTAACGCATTTCGAAAATCCTCCTCGTTTTTGTTCCGCGATATTCAACGAACATCCAACAACGACTGTGCTGCGACTGTTTGTTCACCGATCTTGAGATCTTTCCCGAGCACGCTTTTCCGAGAGATCTTCTCAAAGGAGACTCTGCCGCTTTCTTTGCTACTTAAACGTTTCGTTTGCGGTCGAGTTAACGACTATCGTTCGATGTTTACGACACGCCCTGGGAACTACAATTCGCGGCCTGTGAGCGGCATTACATGACGTAACGATTAGGAAGAGAGGAAAGAAAGAGAAACAGAGAAGGAGCCGCACAGAGTTTTCCAGGCCTGCCGGGGCGGGCTATCTGTTTATCTACGTCGAGCGTAGAAACTGCGCACCTTTATGCGCTGCGGAGCATACACGCGTAACGCACAAAACGCGCACGCTAGCCGCGCGTAGTCGGTCGGGTATTACGTCACGCGCTATGAAGATATGTACTGGTTAACGTAACGACAGTTTACTTGTTAAACGACGAACGAGCGACGGTGTGTTCGCGTATGTAAATCAAGACGAGACGCGGTTAATATTATTGGAAGAGACATAAACGTCGAGCGGGAGGAAAGTGTGCATTTGTGCGTCGCACCGAGCATCGTTTGACGACCGCTTTGTTTTTAAGTCTGTGAAATCACGTAGACGAAAGTATACGATATATCACATGTGTGTGTGTGTGTGTGTGTGTGTGTGTGTCGACTCGTTTAAGAGTCATGATCGGAATCTCGTAATTAAGAAAATAAAAATTTCGAAACCGAGAATGAAGCTGACCGAGAAAGAGACTTGACAGCAAACGCATACATAAACAATCGCGCGTTAATGATCGCAACTGTGAGAACGGGCATCGAGACTACGTCTCGATCGTGCCTGAGAAAACTGCGAAAAATTTAAAGATTTCTTCTTTCTTGTTAGCGATCAAACTTTTTATATAATTACTTTTTATATAGTTACTTTTTATATAGTTACTTATGTTTTTAATTATTTATCTTTTTATTGATAAAACTTCATTCGTCGTAATGATACTTTTTTCATCGTCATTGAAATGCGATTATCTCTTGATAAATAGACTCTTGAAGATCTTGATTGCATCTAGACAATGGAGGTCGAGTTCAGTCTCGGCTGGTCGAGGTAGACGAGCACGCTAATTATTCGAGATCAATTACTCGAGATCTCGTCGGGTAGTTCAATTCTCGAAGCCTGATACAACCTCGAGCTCGGTGAGCTCGATGAAATCGTCTATCATCTATCGACATTCTGAATCTACAGATGCATCGCTAGATGTCCGCTGGATGTCCATAGTACTCCGGAAAATTGGATAAATCTAACTTATAAGTCACGTATTTTCTAGTATTTACAATACTAGAGCCTTAGACCTTCTAATTAAATGTTTGGGTTACAAGATCCTTAAGTTTATACGAGTGTCTATCCCATATGAATTATATGCGTTTTTTATCGGTTAGGTTCATAAGTACCCAATTTTCCGCAATACCTCGTTATTGCTGGAGTTTTCCCCGTATTAAAAAACAAAAATTCATTAAGATTGGTTGAGTTTTACGCTGGCGAGCGACTGTGATCCAAGAACGTACATTGTACGGCGCAACGGCTTTCGAGGGAGGTTCCGCCGACAGAAACGACACGATATGAGTAAACTCGATACAGATAGAAATATATATCGAGTACCTGTCGAGTAAGATGCTCTATACGTCCCGACTTAATCCCGCCGATTTTCTGCGATCGCTGCGCTTTCGTCGCGTTCTGCACTCTTCCGCGTTTGCGAATTCACAAGACTGGGTTGAATCGCGCGAGTGCCACGCTCGCGAACTTACCGAGCACTGTCGTAGCCCACGCTGAAAGTTGTACTGTTATAGAACGACTTGCCGATCTCTCCCTCCTCTGCTCTTTCTCTCGCTCTTTCTCTCTCACGGTCATTCATTCTCTGTCCCCCTCCTTTTTTTCTGTCTCTTTTCTCCCACCTGCACGTATCTCGCAGCTCTGATGACTCTCATTTTTCTTTTCTTCACGTCTGTTTTCAAGCATTAGCCCGATAATTCAAGAAAATACATATCTTACATGGTGCTAACTAAAGTAAAAAAACTAAAGTAAAAACATTTTCCTTTTTTCTCTTTCTAGGAAAACATGGTATCTGACATTGATTGTCAGATTGACATCTGAGATTGACGACGCGATTTGATGACATGTGGAATTTCATTCACGTTTCAACATATTCGTGTTTATTATCGATATTATATGCTGCATTATGACGCACTAATGGCGGACGATAATATGTAACTCTAGCCGACAAAAAGCTACCGCGAATCGATAAGTCCTATCCGGCCGAGAGAGCGATTGGCGGTTTTGGTTTTCCTGCTCTCTCTCTCTCTCTCTCTCTCTCTCTCTCTCTCTCTCTCTCTCTCTCTGTTTCTTGCGTGAGGAATTTTTACGCAGACCTTCATTACTCAGAAATATACGTGAGATCGTTTGAGAATCGCCACGAACGATTGCTTTTGAATTCGGCGCCTCTCTCTCTCATGAATCTCGGACACAATCATAGAAATTTCCCATTTGTAGCTGAAAAACAAATGAAACATGCGCGCGCTATCGACAAAGTAATCGTAAAGAAAAAAAGAGAAACAAATAATTGATGAGACAATTGCATTGTTTATATCGATGTCGTAACAGTCCAAAGTGATGGCCATTCATAATAAAATTATTAGGAGGTTGAATTAGTCCTAGCAATAGATTAACTTTAGTAACAAATTAATAGTTAATACGAATGTTGAAATCTGGCAACACTGAAAAAGATTTGACATTTCTCCATGACATATGACAGACTGCTCGCTATTGTTACTGATAGTTTCATTGTTTATACGCGTCTAAAATAGATCGTACAAAATTGCACTTTCGACATTTATTATTTTTTTTACTTGATTTGAAAAAAATCGGTAACTGAAGCTCATGGAATGCTTGTTACAACTTATGGTGATTAAGCTCCATCGTATTCCAGCTGTAAATTTTGATTTTAACGATTCAAAAGTGGTGATTTCGATTTGAGTGACAAAGAACATACTGGTCAATCAAAATATTCGTAGATTCTGAATTGCAAGCATTATTGAATGAGAACACCGATCAAACGGAAACACAATTGGCTGAACAACTCAACATCGATAAATCAACAATTTCTAAACGCCTACATGCCATGGGAAAAATTCGAAAGAAAGGCAAATGGGTTCCACATGAATCGAGTGAAAGCGCCATTGCAAATTGTTTGAATATCACCATATGCTTGCTTACCAGACAGAAAAAAAGAGTTTTTTGCGACGAATTGTAACTAGAGATGAAAAGTGGATTTATTTTAATAATCCAAAGCAAAAAAATCATGAGTTGATCCAGGACAACCATCAATATCGACATCGAAACGGAATATTCGCAATCACAAAGCAATGTTCTGTATTTAGTTGGATATGGAAAATGTGGTGCACTATGAGCTTCTAAAACCGAATGAAACAGTTATGGGGGAGCGATACCAGCAACAATTGAACGAACTGAATGATGAATTGGTACAAAAAAGGCTAGCGATAGTCAGCAGATTTGTAGCACACAAATATTCCACAGCATATCCAAGATTTTCCATTAACATATTGTACAATACCACTTGTCTCGGTGACTCTTACGTAAGCTCTATACTTAAGAATGCAAAATAAAATCGAATAAACATCAATTATACCAGGCAAATTACCTGGTATAAAACGTGATAAAAGCTCAGTCATCCCGTGGAAAATTACAGCCGTTAGAAATTAACTTAGAAAGAAGCTCGAGACTGTGACCATTGGAGCACCTTTATTGCACGCTTGCACTCGCTTTTACGATACATACCATCTCAATCTTATCGTGACACGCTGCTTGAAAGCTAGCACTGCTAATTCGAACTACTTACTGTTGCCGTTAACGGCTATGATTAAATTTAATACGGAATGTGCTGAAACTCGTGCGGTACTTTTGTAGCGTGAAATTTCCGCGAAAATCCTGATATGAAAATGTCGCGATCACTGGCGGATTCTAAGAGGGAGTTTTGGAGTTAAACCCCCCTCCTTCCAAATTAAAAGAAATCAGTCTTACTAGATCTGTTTAAAAAAATTTAGATAAAATGATACAGGCCGATTAACACAGTCTGTGAATCAAATTCTTATGTCTAGGATCCACTGCATTCAAACTGTCCGATTTCTGATATACAATGTCCGCTGTTATTTGCTGAGAGTCTATTAATGATTATAAAAAACCTCAAAGCTACAGCATTATTGTATTTACAATTTTATTAACCCCTTCCCCCCCCTCCCCCCGACGTCGACTATCGACGTCAGGATTCGTTAGAGGTCGCGATAGTCCATCAACTGTGAGTGATTCGTCGTATATCGATGTTCTGTTATTAATTTCCGCCAATTAGCAGACATAAATAGAGTCATTTAATTCCAATAATGGGAAGTAAATAATATTCGTAAGTATGCTTTTACATCAATACATTTCTTTCTTTCTCCACGCACTATATTCAACATTTTTTATAAATTTACAAACAACTCGACAAGAATAGATACAATAGGAATATGTCGTTGACATATGTATGTTGCATTATAAATCTCTCTCTCTCTCTCTCTCTCTCTCTCATTCTATCTTCATATGTCTCGGAGCATACTTTGATACATTTTTTCTTCTTCTTAAATACTCAACATAAATTTTCAAATTAAGCAGAAACGACAAGTTTACTCTGCAAAAAGTCTATCCTGCAAATAGCTTATCATACTTATTTTTTGCTTGTATGATTGAACAGAATAATGAATAATTAAGAATAGAAACTAAGAATAGAAACAGAAATACATATATTATATCGCTACTTTGCACATGTAGAATATATATACATATGACAGCGGAAAGCACGAAAAGGCTTTTGAAACTTGATGAAAAAAATAATGATAATACATTACTTTTAACTAATTGTAACTACCTCAATTCTGAAAAAAATTAATACGTAGAAATATTACGCAATATAAGAAAATATGAACATATGCACACACATACACAAACATACGCAGAATCCTTCGATTAACATAATTGTTGACATGATTATCAGAATTATTGCGCTCACTGTTGCAACCGCTGTATTTATATGTTACACATTACGTTATAAAAGGAAAACACATGTTTGAAAATTCAATAAGGTGAACACGAAAGGACACAGCAGGATCACGAAACACACTGTGGAAAACTGATTGCACGAATATGAAACAACCTGAAAATTAGTACGTAATATCTCATTCCGCAAGTTTCACAAAGTTATAATTAAAAATTTACTTTTCTACTGAGTTCTACTCGCGCTTTCACTCAATTATTTCTCGCATATGAGAAAACGAATGCAGCGAACGCAAGTTACAATACAGCACACTTGCTCATGTATGACCAGTCGATCCTGCGAAACATATAATTAACAAAAATAAAGCGAATTTTCTCCTAATAAAGAGATCAGACACCGGCATTAATTTGCCGCTCATCGAAACAAGACTTGTTACAAGAAGAATTCGGTCATTCAACCGCGTGGATTAACCCATTCGCATCGTCAAGTGGAGGTTCATAACAAAATGTCAAATATATGTACGTACATGAAACAGATCACAGGAGCGCACACGATTTGTGCGATTTTGACGATGCGATGCGATGCGATCTGGCTCGGAATACGCGAGGATACATTCGTTTCCGTAATGATAGACAAGCTGAACGAACACTCGAATACATTCGCTATATGGGTGAATCAACGTCTTTGTGCGAGCCAATAGGGAGTTTTTGCAATACCATCTCTCAGATACGGTAAACGTAAATCGTAAACGTTATTCGTTCGGAAATAACGTCGCAATGTACGCGACCAGTAGCGATTCACGATTACGGTATTGCAAAAACTCCCCAATATTTCGCGTACTTCTACACACAGTCGTGTCTACGACACATGCAGTCTGTAAAGTAAGAGCGTGTACGGCATAAATGGCAGTCGGCACTTTAAATATCGTCCTAGTTTCTTTTTAGCCGTATTGTGAGGCATATCTCAAGCACAAGCTTTGAGGAAAAAGAATGTGCACTTTGAAGCAGCTGGCACGACAAATTCGTCTCATTTGGAGGTCTTTACCGAACGAATACGCGGTCAACTTAGTGGAAAGTATGCCTCGGAGATGCCAGGCAATTATCAATGCCGGTGGTGACTGGACTCATTATTAATGATATAGCGTTTTTCTTCTCATGGAGTACAACAAATTCATGTACTTAAAAATCACTAAAAATAAATTTTTCTACACATTAACCCGTACACGCTCTTACTTTACAGACTGTAGTGGAAAGTAGCCTCGGAGATGCCAGGCAATTATCAATGCCGGTGGTGACTGGACTCATTATTAATGGTATAGCGTTTTTCTTCTCACGGAGTACAACAAATTCATGTACTTAAAAATCATTAAAAATAAATTTTTCTACATATTAACCCGTACACGCTCTTACTTTACAGACTGTACGTGTCTACACTCGCTTGCGACTACGCAACGAAGAATTCGTCGTATACAGCGAAGTTGCGTAAATTAGGGGAACATTGCACAATTCTGGGCGGAGAACAAACGTGCGCCAGACCCGGAAAGAAATTCGATATAATCGCGATCAAATTGCGCTACGCCGCGAATTCCAGCGAATGCAGCGGCTACCAGTGATTGACCGTCGATGTTGGTAACGTTTACGTCTTCAACGCTTATTGGGCTCGTAGTCATTTAATCAGCGAATCTAAATAGGTTTGCAGAACAATTGGCACACTTTTTCGCTTCGGAATGCTGGACGATGTTCAACACGGAAAGACGATCGTTCTCAGCAGTTTACTTTTAGCTAATTAATCAATTTTAGGAAATACTTTAGGAAAATAAGGAAAAGTTCGACTCATTTCGCGTAAACAAATGTATATGCACACGCCACGTCACTCTCTGAGAAAACTCTATGGAGAAAAAATCTAGTTGAGATAGCGTGACAAAATGAACGAACCAGACGCATTCTGCTCAAAGGGAACGAATTTCTGCTACTTGTGAAGTAAATTCGGCTTCAAGAATCAGAAATCCTGTATATTTCGACTAAAATATACGTTCGGTTTCTTCATCCTTCATATTTCATGTATTCATTCGTTTCACTCATACCAATGTTAAACCGATCTTTTCCTGCGAGTATAAACAGCGTAATTTTTTTCGGAATATATATTTTATATTCATTGAAATACATTTGTAACTGATTGTTCAGTTATAAGTATAAAAATGCGATTTAAAATAAGAACTCGTCGGAATGACTGATTAAATAATTATGACTGTATTCCTATTACATGATGTATTATTGAAAGCGGATGCATTACATAAAGCGGTGTTCTCGTTGAAAAATGACGAATGTTCGCTGATTATTGACAAAGTACTCCTTTTACCGATCCAATCGCAGGAATACTTTTACTCGTTCACTTTGAGAAAGTGTATATCTGGCTGTTATGATCAGAGGAACGTATGTAATTTTCGTCTCTACGCTCGTACCTGCAAGTTTGAGCAGCATGCAAATAATTCTGGTTGCAACAGCCGACCGCATATACGTACATTACGTCGGAGTGAACGTCGATTGCCCGATGAACGAGAACGAGGCGCAATAGTGCGACTTTTTGCCTTTCCTTTGCGCTTCGTCTTTTCTTCCGTTCCAAGCGCACAAACACTTGTAACGCGCAAACAGAAGAGCGCATTCCAACGCGAGAATTGATGCCGCACCTGTGACTGTGTGTTATGTCGGAGATTCACAAGACGATCGGGGGACACAGTCTGTGATGATTATTGCAGCAAGTTCGATGCTCGCACAAAAGTTTGTTTACCCGAAGCACAATTTCCTCCGTTTAAAAAGCTCTCCTTCATCTTGAGTTCTCTTTAGCCGAAAAACAAAAATTCACGCTCGTAAATCCCCACACGTGAAATCTACCTTTTATGGATGAAACTTATTGCATAATTGAAGTCAATAGGAATCAATATACGTCGTTTTTAGTAACATCGCGAATCATAAATATTTTAAAAACGTAAAAAAGTACACTAATTTAAAATTAAATTGACACTTTTTATGTAACTTAGTGGCGATTGGATGGACGATCGAGACATCGAAATAAAAAGAATTATTTTCTTATTTGACTTTTCTTGACCTTAAATGATTATCATATAATAACTGATAATAACAGATAATAGAAGATAATGTTTGCTACTTGCATTATAAAAATTAATAAAATTGCTTCATAATCAAGTTTTACATATGCATGTTTAACGAGAAAAGATGATATCTATATTTTTCTAACAAAAACGAAAATTATTCAAATGTCTTTAATTTATCTCTTAATCATTTAACCTTGTTGTGTCCATGGCATAGTTGTTTAATGCAGCATAACAATAATACCTTGGTTATACATTATAACTTGTATTTACAAGTCATCATCGTGAATTATCGATGCGATTAAAGAAACAGCAGAGGTTTCTACAGGATATGAATATGCTAATTATTGGATAAATATCAAATGTTAACGTAATTCTCTTATATATCACTTTTTTCGAAGTCAAAAAGGAACATTATTCTTTTGCGATATACTCACTGGACGAACTGAGAAACCATGCGAAAGTGAATTTGCTGCTCGACGTTAATAAAAGTATGTAAATATATACACAAATATGTGTATATATTTTAAGAGAGTGTATATATTTTAAGAGTGTGTATATATTTTAAGAGTGAAAGTATACCAGATATTTATAAAACAAGACGTTTGTTACAGCAGTGATTAACGAGTCCACGATCAATTAGGTTATACTATCTACGTCATTAGTCGAACAGTAATAGTAAATTTATTTTGAAGTTCACAGAATAAACGTTTATTTCCTCTATCTTGGATCTTGCAGCTGCAAAAAATCTCACTGCTACATTCCGGTTCTAAATTACCCTTTTTTGCTACAAGTGGATACTCACGTATAAACTTTTTCTTCTTTTTTTTTTATTTGGTCAATAAGTATCTTTGCGTAGGTTTCCATTACGTAGACATAAATTATATAAGACGCACACGCGATATGACGAGCAAAATTAGTGTGCAAATACTTCGAGCATATTTCCCAAAGTATTTTTATTCGAATAATGTTAAAATAAATATTAAATAAAATATTAGAAGAATACTTGTGGTATATATTCGGTAGTATATTTTCTAACCCGATCTTAGTAAATATGAACATTTGCGACATTGGTAACAACTTGATATCGCATAATATTCTATTATATATAATATGCTATTCGTCTATATTTATCACTTACATTATGCTGAATATAAATATATCCGTCGACTGATTAAAGAGTTTTTATGTTTTCAATCAATATCTCAATCGTAAATCAAAAGTCATTAATTCAAATCGATGACAAATGATAGATTCGAAATTACACGATGCGATGGATCTTCCTAACTGCGCATGCGTGACAACATATATGGTCTGTTCTTTATAGCTGCATTGTTGAACTGGTGCAATAAGTTAAAGTGAGACAAATATAGGTCTTTTCACTCTAGCTTATTGCACCAGTTCAGCAGTGCAGCTACAAAGAACAGACCAATAATCTGCTCTTACAGCTACACTTTCTGTTTCAGAAATGAAATAGCTATATGCACGCTCAGACTTGGAAAAAAGTAGGAGAGAAGGTATGAAGTCTACAAGGTGCTGAACTGAAACGAACAGATGTGCACCAATGTGCACTGTCTTTTGTGTCTTTGATGGTGAGAAAGAAAGAGAAGAGAGAGAGAGAGGAAAAGGGAAAATTCAAGTCGAATTAATGTTACGCGACCACGATTCAGTGTTCTCTTTTATTCGAAGCAAAATGTCGAACATATCCGCATATGTTTAATGTCCTTCTATGTGATAACAAGTTTCACGTGTATATCTGTTACGTTTCATAACCTATATTAATATATTAACATATTTCTATTTAATCGTTATAAAAAAAAATACGGAATGTCATCATCACATACGACTGAGCTGACCGAGCAGTTGGTTAAAGATTATTCTAATTACGCAAAAGTCAACTGGAATGACGAGGTGCGTTTAATTTATTTAACATATTGTATCTGTTATATAAAGCAGCAAATAAACAATCTTTACATGTTTTAGATGAAAACATTCCGTGATATTATCGAAGATACATTAATACGCTTAGAGGAGTTTCAGTTTATCATTGCAATGGTTAGAAAAAATAAATTATTGTGATCAAAGCAACATTAATAATCTGCTTGCTATTGTATTTGTTATACTGTATGGAATATTTCTAATCCACCAGGTGGAGAGTGGAAGTGCAGAATGTATGCAACAACATCTTCCAAAATTGCAACATGTGAAGGATAGCATGGCAAATCTTCGCAAAAGAATAGATGCTCTGGAGCATGTTGTTGCAATGGCCAATATGAACTTAAACACATTAGAAGCTGCTGTAGATAAGGCAGAAGCCGAACTGGGTGTGTCAGATAGATTATTCAGCATGCTGAACCCTTTATCATTTTTTGTAAGTACAGTAATTTGAATATATATAATGTGTTAACATATTAAATAAAATAGATTTAATTGTGTTTCTTATATTTCAGAAGAAGACTCAGGAGCCTGTTGCTTCTAGCACCATGCCAATATACAAATCGCCACCTATTTACAGGTCTGATGATTATTTTCAAAGGGACTAAGCTATGAATCCGTGAGAAAGGCATAGCTTTTAATGTACCTGCTGCTAGACTTTAGAAAAATTCTCTGCAAACCCAGATAAATCAGTTATATCTAGTTACATTGCTATAAAGAAGAAAGGACAGTTGAGCATTGATGGATACTTGTTTTTGTGATACAAGTTCACCAAGCCCTACAGTAATCAGCAGTTATTCAGAGTTCAAGGTTTTATTCTCACTCACTTTTCTCTCACGGACAGTTTAATCGCCAGTTGTACAATGAGATCATCTTGTTAAATTTCTAAATTACTAAAATATCCCGTAATGATCAGTCTCGTATACTTCACTGCATTTTCTGAATCATAAATTTCCCTTGTGTTTCTTGTATTACATAGAGCATAAAATTCCATAGATAACTAGTGGATAAGATCATATGTTTTTTAACGGTAATGTTATTACAGTCGTTAAAATTATGTATAAAAGCACACTAACATGCGGCGGAAGTGCAAGTCTTGAACTGAGCTTTCTTCTCTCCTAGGTAAGAATTTCCTCTTGTGCAATGCTTCTATCTCATGATCATCCCTGTCCTGCAAAGGACGTTGCATTTGGATTGTCCCACTTCTTCTGGGAGTCCCATATCTTTGGTTCTCTCCTACTGTTCTTTCCTACCGAAATAACGTTATGTTGGTTATTCATGATTATCCAGTTGTCACCTCATGTCAAAGCGAATTGTGAACGATCGATGAATCAAACGGAATTGTTTTCTCCTTTCGAAGATGCACAAGTTATAATTTTATAAATAAGTAAATAGGAAACAAATCCACGTCATCCTGGAAACCAAATCAAGCAAGTAAACTGAAAAGATCAAGCATATTTCAATTCGATTACTAATACATCCACTGTTTCTCGGGTGGTTAATAATTGATCATCGGTCAACTGACGTACAAAATGAGTTGTAAGCATAACTAGTCTGCGGAGAAATTTCCACCCACTGCTCACAAATACAGTTTTATACGCGCTCAGTTGATTGGCATTGCGGACAGATAAACTGTGAACCGGTCTCGGAGAAAGTCACCATCGATGACTCGTGGTCGCGTGACTCGCGCCGATTCCAATGTTTCTGTCTCGTGTGGCTGTATCCCGTAATTTAATCACGTGAAGTGTTTTTGTGTAATCGCTAATAAATTTAAATTCCGCCGATTCACCCGAGGCGTTATATTGCCACAATGATAAAACATTAATTGGACCGCTAACTTTATGACCCGTTACTAAAAGCAATCAGCGATTGAAAATAAAAATTTTGATGAATTGTGAAAATGCTGTTGTGTGTATATATATATATGTGTGTGTGTGTGTGTGTGTGTGTGTGTGTGTGTGTGTGTGTGTGTGTACATATCGTATATATATTGTAAACATTTTTTTACGAAATGTCGAATTATTTCGTCAATTGTACAAGTGATAACATAGTGCGATATATGTGTTTTCCACTAAGATTCCTCGCTTTTAATGTATCGATGTATAAAACATAATTTATAATAACCTGTAATTAGGTCAATCGAAAAAGGATCGATTTGATTTGTGATAAATAACGTTATGTATACGTAACATATTACATATATCAAGACGATTGTTTGGCTGATAAATAATTTGTTTCCACTGAACGTGCAATACAGCCAAACTTAATTTAAAAATTGAACCGAACTTTTTCATTGATATTCAGTACTTTTTAATTATGTATACTTTATTATACACGATAGAAATCACATTGTTTACTTGCACGTTTCACTTGCATCTTGGCATCGTCGTCACCTTTGCGAATGTCACCTGCCTCCTGTTGATATAAGTTTTTCGTCGGACCTTATTCGGTTTAATTTCCAGCATGTTATCGACAGTATTTGCTACATGAGCAGGAGTAATATTTGATTGCGTGGTGATAAATTCCATATTGCCTCTTTTAAAGATTGGAATTAAAATATTTTTTTATATACATAAAAGAATAAAGACAAACAAAAATTTCGCGAATTGTATTTCGGTAATCACCTGTAAAAAATAGAAGTATAACAAAAAAACCAGAAATCAGCCAAATTCTCGTCGCTGAGATATTTTTCATGTCGGCAGTTTTCTAATAAAAAGGATGTTATGTTATGATTTATTCTCTATAATCTGACGCAACAAACGACTTATGTTACGTACACCGTGATTATAAATAGTCCTCGATATTGCCCTTATGATCTACAATAAAGTCATCGTATACTTCTTATTCTATTATATTATATAGTATTCTATTATATGTAACATTTTAATTTATAATAACTTTAAAACAGAATGTTTAATATCGAATGTAAATGTATGTTAAATATAGTAATATATATTTTTCCATTCCGTTCTGCAAATAAGAAATTCAAGCATTTATATAATAATTCCACCCCAATACCTAAATACGGAAGCAAAGCAGTCGCGCGAGAAATATCATCTTTCGAAAGTCAGAAGCGAAGATATTGTTAAATATTTAAAAGTAATATATATTTATAAAGATCGAGTCCTCATAAACAACAGGCGATGATTAAGATTTGATGCCAAGCCAGCCAAGGAAGCCTTTCGTTTCGCAATCTTTCATACGGCAACTTCTCATCTGCGCTTTCTTGAGACCTTCACTGCAATTGTCAGACAGGCAATGTCGCCAACGAACCTGTCGTCCTTGCCCACAAGTTACGCTACATGCACTCCAGTTATTCCAATCATCCCATGTGTCGAGATCTAAAAAGATGAGAGCAGAGAACAGGATTTTACATATTCGTTACGTGATTGTTAGTTATCACTTGTATCTTTCTCGTTAATGAGTGCGGCTTCCTTCGTGACGGCATTGCGTCTCTTCTCCTTCAATCCCGTTTTCTTTACCGCGATGGCCCGCCGATGCGTCTCGCGCGATTTGCGATGTCTCATGGGACGTTGGTGAAAATTTCGCTCATGAGCAAGCAGCTTTCGCCGATAGATCGCATCAATGCTCGTGCGAAAGCGCGAGCGTGAGTCTCTCTTTTCATTTTTGCGATAATGTTGTGACATTAACTTCTTACTTTGCACCTGGCATCGTGCGAACCATTGTGAAAAATTCGCTCTTAATGTAACGAATATAGAAATCTTGATTTCAGAATCGAAGCTAATATTCACCTTGTTTTCAAACACAAACCTGTAATTTCTTTATGACAAATTGTTGATCGGAGTGGCAACACGACTGCGAGTGAACGTCCAAGTAATAATTTCTACCATTATTGTTGAAACACATTGAATTAGTGAATAGATATTGTGTCAACCGAGATGCCGATTTCATTTATATATTCTCGTCCAAATATTATTGTAACGAACTGTCGAATTGTTTCACAAGTAATAGTAGATAAATAAACTTCGGCAATTTCGTCTGTCTTGTCGATTGCTCGTGGCAAACGTTGCATTGCATTATGAATAAAAAATTTATGCGTTAAAATAACATATTTTATGTATATTATAATGATTGACACTTCCAGCGCAGCAGTAATTGTTAGTAATCTGACAATTTTACCTTTTGGGCTCATCGTTCACCTCAGTTGTGAATACAATTACACAATTTTGCGGCATACTAATCGCAAATGCTCCAACCGTGTAAAATTTCGAAAATTTTACAAATTCATAAATTGCACGATCGAGGTAAATATTAAATGTCATCAATATTAACGTTAATAATACTCGCATATCATGTTTTTGTCGCACAATGATGAACGCATAGAAATATCGAGTAGAAAATTTTCGGCTAAATTCAATATGAAGTATTAATAACATTGATACATCTTCAGACGTAATGTTCTGATTTTAAACAAACTCACGTCTTGGTAAATAAAAGCAAGCTACTTTGTAGAGACTATCGTATATTTATTTTACATCTACAATTTTTCGTCTTTATAGCAATAATTTCATATTTCTCACTTTGTTTGCTTTTAGATTGTCTAGGCTATAATTTAACTATATTTACAACATAAAAGTGACTAATATTTTTATATATATTGTAATTATATCAAGAAATTTTGGAAGATATACGTTCTGATATAGATATACTATGAAATTTCATAAAAAGAAACAGGTTTATGTAGAATATAATACTAACAATTTTGCGATAACGAATAAATACAATGAAGACAAGATGATATAATACGTTACATTAATTACTACTTAACTATTAGAATATGTGTATGTATATTCATGTATCATACAATATATATAATATATAGTATGTATTATATATATATATATATATATTAGAGATGTGCGAATCAAGAATTTTTATGTCGAATCGAATCGAATCTCATTTTTTTAATTCGAATTCGAATCGAATCGAATCTATGAAATTTCATTCGAATCGAATCATTAAAAAATTTAACATGACTACCAAACATGCACATAATGATGGAAGGTTTTAATATGAAAGGGGATATTGATACTGTAATATCATTTTAAAATAAAATATATATTTAAATATTTAAAGTAATTTATAATTAAGTTATTAATTATAAGTTAAGTTAATTACAAGTTAAGGGTTCAAACATACAGGCCCAGATGTCTCGTTTTGTACTTGATGCATGCAACTATAATGCACGCTAATATATTTGATTCATAATTGAATCTTCGATTCGAAATTTTCGAATTATTCGGATTCGAATCATAGGGATTCAGATTCGAATCGAATCGAATCAAATTACATTAGATTTGATTCGATTCGATTCGAATTCGAATAGTTCGCACATCTCTAATATATATATATATATATATGTTTGTATCATGTATATATATTTATATATAATTCATAATGAAATACATATATGATGATCATATTTGTTCTATTTGTTATTTACCTTACATATGTATTTTGAAAATTTTAAGAATAAGAATATTTAAAATTCAGGTATCGATAAAATGTGCACACAATATAAAAAATATACGCAACAATATACGACTTATTCTACATGTATATAAAGGTCAAAGCATAAATCGGATATATGTAGTAAAATAATTGTATTAATAAATTTCGACTTACTCATTAATTACTTATTAATAATCAAGTATATATATATATATTTACACCATTTGAGTGTCAAAAGTAGATGATAGGTTTAACATGGAAAGCTTGAGTCTAACTGTAGCCTGATTGCTAACAATATTTTACAAACGCACATTATACTGTTAAATTCTAATGCCGGCAGGCCTCTGTAAGAGAAGCATTGTACTAATATGTCAATAATATCAGAGTGACTCACATTACAGTCTGAAGAAAGCTTTGTGTGCTCGACCATTTGGTATTTGGCCCTGCAATCTCAATCTGCGAACAGCTTCTCGTAGATGTTTTGGTTGTAGTGGTCCGGTTTCATCGTGACGTTCCATAACATCCAAAGCTGTACAACAATCGGGATAATTTAGAGCTGTATTTTATTTCAATAATAGAATAAGCTTTATCCAGCAAAAGGATCATACCTTCCTCAACGATCTCGCCAACGAATACTTTGGCAATTCCTGACATTGCTATTACAACATTCTGAGACACTGAACAACCTGTTATTGTTTGCATTATCTGAAATATGAACCGTCAATATATCACATATGTATCTTTCTCGAATTACAGGCAGCTGTTTTCTTTCAAATAATAACTTTCTTCAAATAATAATAACTGAAATTAAGATACAATACCCTTTTTATAGCTGCTTTTGGAAATGCAGCGCGTCTATACATCTCATACCTATCCAACTGATCCTCTGTGAAATTAGATACTAATACTCTGTTAAAATAAGGATGTTATTATCAAATATATTTTCAAGACAGTATATATTCCATATATATTTAAACATACTGCATCTTTTCTCGTTCTTCTTCTTCTAGTTCCTTCTTACTCTTTTCCTTACTCTCTCTTCTCTCTTTAGAACTGATTGGCTTTGCACGTGGTATCATGATATCATTACCAAATATATCTTCAGGCATCTGTTCTTCTTCCTTTGCCTCACCTTCATGTTTTACAATTTCTATTTGATCCTCTGTAATTGGAGCCACAGAATTAGGTGTCATGTCTTCTGTGTCTGATTGTGACTGAGAACTCATCGCATCAGATTCTGCCTATGGTATTATTAATTTTTCTTAAAATATTGTTAACATACAGAAATTATGAATTTTAACTTTTAAATATTATTTATACCTTAATCTGCATACTATCAACATCCATAGCGTCGATATCTTTGGATGCTGAATTTTGCAAAGGATTATCTTTGTCATCTTTATCCTCAACATCAACATTATGTTCACTTTCATTCCCGGAATCTTCCTTCCCAAAGATATTTTCCATTATAACCTATAATGGTATAATGGTTCAATAAGTATTGAAAATGCACACGCATATATATACATATTTGCAAACATATTTATAAATATGTCATGTGTATATGAGTATATATTAGCAAAAAGATATCTTGTAATTTTGTAAGATATCATTGTCATAAATGCAATATAAAACACTAAACTTTTATATAATTTTTATATGTTTTTTGTCAATACAAGATATTTAACGATTGAATATTATACATCATAGCAATGCAATGAACAACATTCTATGTATTGTTTAAAAAAAATATGGCAAAAGTGAGTTTATTTATACACAATCGCTCAATGTTAAAAAGTTACATTACGTATATAAGACGAATGTATATAACATCAGTAAAAATATCGAATTTCAACACCGTTTATTCGTTTACTGAATTTCTACGTTTTATCAAAATAATAACGCCTACTTTCTGTCACTTAATCCGGTCAGACCACGTTAATAGATATTGTTCGCACAGTGAATGTATACGACTATAGAACAGCTGTTTCTAACTCGATAGTGACGTCATTGACGCACGGTTACATTTCTACTACGATATGTAACGCCAAGTTCGTAACGTGTATGTATTCTTATATTGTGATGTAAAACGTCACATTTGTGACAAATTCATATAACGTCATATTTTGTGCAACTAAAGACGTGTAATCGTAAAACAACCTGTTGCTGTCGTTGTATGTTACAAGCAATATTATTTAGATTGTCTGTCTCGTCGCGCACGTCCGTCCATATGCAAGTAGAACTTATCAAGTGAGTAAAAAAGTCTTTCATCATTTCGTAAACAACCACGTAAAATTTTGAGTTACTAATAAAAGAAAATTGACGAGAAAGTTATTAACTTGATGCAGTAGAATGAACTGCTTAGATTCATGTAAAATGAAATTTTACAAAAAAATGTCTGAATCAATCGACAGTCTCTTGGCAAATGCGCAATTTATATATAAAATAAGCTCCAATATTTGTATTAAATAAAACACTGAGAGAAACTTTGTTTCCACATAATTAATGTTTACTTTCTTTTTGAACGTACATTCCTGCTACACTTTCATCGAGTGCACTAAAGGTGCGGTCCAGTCACCGCTACAAATGCCACGAAGCGTTTTTATTTCTCTCTCTCTCTCTCTTTCTTCATTCGAATTCGAGAGAGAGAATAAGAAAGAGAAACGCTTCCAAACACTTGTAGCGGTCATTGGACTGCACCTTAAGTGCAGTCACCGCTCATCGAGCACTCACTGAGCACTTCCATCTGATTGGTATATCTTTCAAAATCTAAAAGAACGGGCCAATTAAATCGTGAGCGCTTGACAAGCGGTATAGTACTAAGCGCACGCATTGGTTCCGCCATTTTGAGGACACGCGAATCTCAACCAATGAGAGAAGATCTACGTACGGTCAGATTCAGTATTCAACGGACGCCAGCTCGGACTCGTCAAGGCGTTCTGTATTTTCGCGATTTGGACTCATCTCAGATTGAGTCTCGCGGGCAAATTATCACCGGGAGTACCGAGAGTAAGTGTCGTGCGATTGAGTCGTGACAAAAGATCCGCAAATAGCTATCGAGAACGAGTCTCGTAGTCGCGCGCGATAAAGCGGCGCGCGATTGCCAGGTTATGGTAGCTCGGTAGTTCAAACCGTCGGTAGTTCAAACCGTTTGACCAGTTACGAGAGTCTTGCGTGAATTATTTTCAGCAATATGGTGAATAAGTGAGTGAGTTTTGTGTGGTTCTCGTGTGGTTCGCGAAATATCCTCAATCAAGTTCGTCGAAAATGTTCGGTATGTCGCTGTACAGGGGTGCCGGGAATTCCGAGTGAAGTTACGCGCGTATCGATATTTCGAGTATATTTCAATCGCCGTATATATACACCGGCGGTCAGTGACAAACGGATAGAACGAGCGTTGAAGCGGATTCGCCAAGCCGCTCCGAACTTTTCGAGATTCGTTCGAAGAGAATCTCGATCGTAGGTGAATCATCATCACCGGGAGTGCCGAATACAAGTTGTCGCGTGTGTGTCGTTGCAAAATATCGCCGAGTAGCCGCGGGAAGTTGATATTTCGCGGACGGGAGTGCTGAAAATAAGTCCCGCGAGTATTACAGCGCGGTATCGTTGAAGATTCGCAGAAAGTGAATCTTGCGGAATATTTTGCAGAACGAATCGTCGGGACGAGTGTCGAAAGTCTCGCGCATGTGTTGCAGTATCGTTGAAGATTTGTGGAAAGTGAATATCTGGCGAAATGAATCATCGGGTGTGGCAAAAGCAGATCTCTCGCGTGTATTATAACGTAAAGTGTCGTTGAAAGTGAGTCCGAGTGAGTGCCAGCGGTCCGGATTAAATACCGCTTTTTACCAGGATCTTCGCGCTTACTAAGGATCACGACGACGAGGGACAAGTCGGTAAGTCCAGTTACAGATTACTTAATCGAATTAGAAGTAGAAAATAATCTCGCTGGAATTCCGTGGACGCGTATCTATGAATTACCTAGACAACAAGTAGCATATTGTCGCGTGTATACATCTACTTCATCTCGGCTGCGGAACTAGAAAGAATCAGGGCTTGTATGGAATCCTCGAAGACAGTCAATAATGTCAGCCGCGCTCTCATATATCCCTCTTTCTATTCGTGACTATTTCGCTGGCGCGAGAAACAACCGCGCGAGAACATTTCTGCCCAATCCGGGCGCTCCTTCACCGATAAGATCTCTGCTGCTCGCGGCGCGGTGCGTGGCTCACCATCGAAAACACCGGCGCGGCGCGGCGCGGCGCATCGTGTTGTCGAGAGAGGACGCCGGTCGTCCATCAGTTACGCATGCCGGCCGCGCGGTGGCGCCGGCTGGCCGTGGCGCGGCGCGAGACGGGCGAGCAGACAGGCCGTCGACGGTGGTGTCGCGACGCCGTGCCGAGTATTTGTCAATATCTGCCTGCGCTCGGGATTTTCGGCGTCCTGCGTGGCGAGCGCGCGTGCAGCGCGCCAACGTCCCGCGTCCGTGCTTCATCGTCTCCTCGTGTTACGTACCTACGTATGCGTGCGCGGATCCTCCTGCCGTGTCGCTCTCTCGCTTCACGTTCGCGTCTTCCCCGGTTCTCCCGTGAAGAGGGGCTTCCTTGTCGCCTTGGCGTCCACGCGAACGATCGGCGAAGCGCCTGCTGCTGCGAACCTGGCCGAGCGCGGGTTCGGGCCGAGTGCGCGTACAGGCGCGCCGCGCCGTTCACGCGAGTGACGATATCGCCGAGGGGGTAGGACAACGAAAACGACCGCAACGACGGTACACAGTGTACGACGCATCTCGCGGATAATATCGTGACAACAGCAATCGTAGGGAGCGCCGCGACGTTGTGATACCTAAGCCACGGAGCGTCCTCCTGCCCACGAATGTGGTCCACGACCGGGTATTAAGATGTGAGTTCATTTGCAGTATACAATACCGCGTGTCTCTCTCTCTCTCTCTCTTTCTCCCTCTTTGTTTCTCTTCCTCTGTCTCTCCTCCCTCTCTCTCTCTCTCTCTCTCTCTCGCGCTCTCTCTTTCTCTCTGGTAGTCGCCTCACTCTCGCTTTCTCGCTCTCGCTCATTCGCTCGCGAGCACAAGCGAGCCAAGATCGTGGACGGGTTGTGGTGAGCGCCCTATGAGAGAAAGGGTTTCGCTGACGGCCGTCGCGCTCTCGGCCACGGCCTCGCCGACGTATTGTTATAAACACAGACCGGTTCGCCATGCAGCAGAGCCCGTGCTGTACAGTCTTTTGCATACATGTGTATATGCGTGTATACTGGGTGCTACACAATCGGCGGAAAGATAGTCGCGTAGCGTCCTTCGTTTTCGCGATACTCGGAGCAAACGTTTCGGTCGTAGGAATTCCGCCGGCTTTTTTAAGATTTCAACACTCGACGCCATATCAACGATTAAACCTTAAGTAGGGTGGAGAATGTCCTCTCTCTCTCTCTCTCTCTCTCTCTCTCTCTCTCTCTCTCTCTCTCTCTCTCTGTCTCTCTCTCTCTCTCTGTCTCTTTCTCTCTCTCTGGCTGGACGATGAATTGTGTTCTTCGTGATCTCTCGTCGTGAGTCTCGCTCTCGAAATTGGAATATCGCTCTGAAAAATTAGCGATTTGTCGGCAGATATTTGAGCTAGCAAGTTTCCACGATGTTTTCGGAGGAACAAGCTTTGCCTGCCCTCCGTCAATTCTCGGACACCCCGTACACGACGTCGCCTAAGCTCGCGTGTGCATGCGCGTCGGTGTGAGTGCGCGCGCCGCTGCGTTCGTACAGTCTCGACACACATGCTCCTCGTTTTCTCTCTCTCTCTCTCTCTCTCTCTCTCTCTCTCTCTCGCTCGCTCGCTCGCTCGCTCGCAGTCCGCTCTTCCCCTACTCACAATCGCCCCTCTTGCTCTAGCGCCGTATTTAAGGGGATATACGTGACAGGTACGTGCGCACGAAACCGGTCAACCGACACTTTGGATGCCGCTTTTTGCGAAGGGCCGATTTCTCCCCTTTCCTGTCTCCTCTCCGCGGTCTTCACCTTTCCGTCGCAGTTTCTTCTGGTATTAGCCGCGATTCGCTTTCGCAGAAGTGTCTCACATGAGCGGAGTAAGATGAGTAGATTTAGTTGTTATCGTCGTTATCCGTTATCCAGGGTAATTCGACTAGATTGGATCGCTCTTTGACTAACTCGATGATCACGCTCGAACTGCACATAGTTAAATTAATAGTGACATCGAATTAATATGATATTAACTGTATCAATGTGTGTGTGTGTGTGTGACATTTTATCTTATACAGTCTATATAATCTGATTTTAAACGATATTGTGTGTTAAGCGTGTGAAGATGTTATGCATATATAGTTAATTATTTATTCGCACCCCGATATATCTAGTAATAATCTCTCTCGGACACTTTTCGACTCGAAAAGAGTTGTCCGCGTCATCGCGATCAAGTCATTGATGAAATGAGTAACTTTGATGCGAGAATTGATTACATTGTAGCATATCATGAGAAATTTGGAATTTTCAGGGGCGTTTCTACATCGATCTGAAAGCGCACGTGCGCTTTCGCATCGAATCGAGTCAATCCAATTTAATCGATTTGGCCTCGGATCCGGCAGGCGGACAAAAATTAAGGCCGGTCCACACGGAAACGTGTCTAAGCGAGGCCGCGAGGTGAGTCCTCGCTGGTCGGCCCTTACCTTCGGACCACCCTGGACGCGTATATATCTCGAACGCCGCATCTACCTGTCGACGTATAAGGCGTGTTGTCTGGGGGGATACAAAACTGAAGGTGGACGGTCGTTGGCCGCGAGAGAAACGACCTGAGTCTCGTACCGAGAGATTGAGCGAAATAGAGAACGGGAGAGTGAGAAAGCGAGCCTGCTTTACGACGGAGCTACGCTCCGTCAATTCTCTCCGCGGGCGTTTTCAGAGGTGTGGTGGGAAAGCCGTGATGAGATGATCGCGTCGGGGCCTGTACGTTGCGTTGTTCGATTCGTACTTAGACATTGAGCGCGCCTAATGCGCGACATTAGAGACACGAAATTAATAACAGTCTTGTCCTGTTCGCGCGATGTTGCGCGGCATAAGAAGCGAAGTCCCCGTATAAATCAATGCATGCACGCGCGCGTGCATAATTTGTGCGTATGCGCGATAAAAAAATTATTTTTATTACCCGTGAGATTTCTGTTTTCCCTCAAATGGTCTCTTTTTGTCAGTTTTATGCATCTTCAGTTATGGCATAACATTGTGTCCGCCTTGTACCCTAAAATATGTCTCGCTGAGACAAATTATTGAGAGTTTTGACTTTCTTCATAATAGCTTTAAAGTTCTTGATAAGACAGTTCTACAACGGAATCAAGTGCTACCAAGTTGACAGAGTAAATGTGTAAATAAGAAATATTCAAAATGAATTAAACACATACAAGTATTACACACCGCTCAGGACATAACAATAATTTTAATTCATATTTTAGATAATGGAATGAAAATCTTGCTGTATTTTCTCCTACTAATGAAACACTTACTTCAAATTATTTTGATCTCTCTCTCTCTCTCTCTCTCTCTCTCTCTCAACTTGATATTTCTATCGCAATTTATTAGTAACATCATTTTTGCATTCTATTTTATTTATAAATCTTTAACAGCAAGAAGAACGACTGCGTGTATGTTACTCACATGCCTAGTAATATCAACTTTCCGATAAATCCTCCCTTAACCGTTTGAGTCCCAAGGAGCGCGATCGCGCTGTTCAGATTTTATGTCGAGAAAACCCAGTACATTTCGATCATTGTGGACAACTGACGGTGCGTTACCGATTGTCGAAGTCGCGCGCTCAGATTTACTGAAGCAAGTATATCACACCGATCCTTTTAATGTAAATAGTACATTTTATAATAGGTAGAATAATACTATAATAATGCAATAATACATTACAAAATAAAAATTTTTATTTCATTGTTATCTTCTCAATAATTTTTATCGAACAAAACTTGAAATATTTATAAATTTACAGTACGCATATGTAATAATACAGATGTATTTTATAAAATAACGAATTACAAATTAACAATATTTTTGTGTTATGAACAAATAATTTAAATGGAGAGTAACAATTATAATTTGTAACATCGGTGTTTATCAAAACATGTTGGATGGATTCCTTTTGCTTCGTTGCTCCGTTGCTTCGTCTAATCATTTTGAAACACACAATTATTAACAATGAGAAACACTTACGCAAGAATACGTCCGATCGCTTTGCAAACTACAATAAATGTGACAGAGCGATGAGAAAAAGACGAGAATCGCGTTACCTAACAAATACAAGAAGCGGTATTGGTCCGATTGGGATTCATCGATGTAAAATAAACAAAGCGCTATCGCGCTGCTTGGTATTTCTCGACCTAAAATAAAACAAGCGCTATCGCGCTGCTTGGGTCTTTTCATACTCATTTATAGAAAGCGCGGTTGCGCTGTTTGGGATTCTTCGACAGTGTTTTTTCAATACCCCCTGGGACTCAAACGGTTAAATACCTACGATTCTTAGAAGCGAAAATGTCGATGCAAGAACTCGACGGTTCCTATAAAACTCAATCATCAAACATGATGATCCACGTTTCGTGGATCACATATCGTTTATTGGATGCCTTGTCTTCACATTCGCTTAGATGGCGTGGTAGCGAATCGAAATATTTTACTTGCATCTGATTTGCCTAAAGATATGTTAAAAACATAGATATCGAGAAAATTAGTTATATTATTTCTGGTTTATCTAGTTATCTAGAAAATTATCTAGTAACATTATCTATGTATATAGTAACATTGTGTAATATTCCAGTAACATTACCATATATATACATGCATACATCCATTATGCATACATGCTGACCCGCATTCCATACATGTATTTCTCATTTCGTACATGCATGCATCCAAGTACTTCTACAAATCATAATAGATTTCTCGCAAAAACATAATCATATATCGGGACCAGTTGCACGGCATATAGCTTCAATAGTAGATTTGATTCTTATCATGTATATTGCGACGACGTTATATTTGACGAATCATCAGTTCTACATCGATCAGTTTCAATGCATCGTAATAATTAACGTCTCCGTAACGCGTCACGCTACGTCGACGTTGTTTGTAAGGATGTTACTCATCACGGGTTCGTATTAAAATCTCATTAAATCGTATCTGGATACTTCATACTTGAAGAAACACCACTTTTACAGAAATCGATTTCAATATTTCAGAGTTCACAACTCTAGAACGCGTAATGTCACTTCAATAACGATTGTTTGTATTTTAGCTACACTAATTCCAGATTAAAACCTTATCACTCCTATTTCGTTAACATATATTTGGTGACACATCATTTTTGCATCGATCGATGCAAAACGACGTTTCGGACTTGACATTTCCTCAACGCAACACATTACGTCGCTGCAACTTTCGAGGATTTTAGTTATTTTGGGTTTAGATTAAAACCTTATCTCTCATATTTCGTTAATTAATATTTGATGACCCATCATTTCCGAATCTATCATTTTTCGGTTTTTCATGGTTTCTAACTTCAAAACGGATAATTGCGGCGCAATGCGGTTTTCACGAATCATCTTTATTTCGAACCTAGATTAATATCTTATTGCAAATAATTTTGCAACTTATACCCGGTG